GTGTTTGTTTGCTTACAATAATCTATAATAATGTACATTAAAATTTATAAATATGTGTTGATTTCCTAAATAGACGATCTGTTGCCTGGCCCTTGTCTTCTGTTGTCCCAATATAATGAACACTAATGAATTTAGGTATAGCGTGTCAGGTAAAGAAGGGTGTATTGATTGAGATGGTTAGGACACTTGTTCCTAATGTCGAGCCACCACTTTCCTCGCCACAAGCAATGTTAGCTAACTGAAATAGAGTTGGGTTGGAAAAGATTCAGAGGTGGTCACCAGTCCATGAAGTCTTCGACTGTTGGTTTTTTTAAAGACACTTAGGGAGGTGTGTTTAGACTACTTCCTGGTTGGCGGGGAGGTCCTTGAGATGATAAGAGTATTGGCGCTATGCCTCAAAATTGTTCACAATGAAGCATATCGATTAAATCCTCGTGGTTTCCATGTTCCTATTCTTTCTTCTGCACATTTTCTGCCTACTGTGTAGAGTACGTAACAGTATGGTTGTACACTTTTTTGTTAGATATTGAAATTATAGAGACATTGTACATGACTTTTGTTTCAAACGATTAATGTTGAAATATATAAAGATAACTTCCGAGTACAATCTAAAATACAGTGTGCTATTGATCGCTTCGTCTTCTTACTGGTCTACACTATCTGCTTGCTTCACTCATAACCGTGTTGTATACTTTGGATTTATTGTAGGAACCTCCTATCCTCCCTCATTCGAAGACAATTCTACAACCGGTACACACAGCTTCTACCAGTAGACACAATTCTAGCAGTGAACGCTTCTGTAGATTATATTAATAATTTGTAGCCGTGGACTTTAAATGTATATTCAAGTAACCGTTTAATTAATATATTACTCATTACTATATTTTAAAAAAATCATATACTGTTACACTATCATCTCATTAACTTGGATTTTTATTCACATACTCGCTAGACAGTCCCTTACAATTGTAGTTCTTTTGAATCCGTACCTTTATGTGTTATATGAAGTGTGGTAACTTGAACTGCTGCACTTCTGAGTAAAGTTCTGTTACGTTGAAACTCAGTCAGTGAGCAGTTTGGTTAAGTGGAGTAAAACAAAACAAACGGACATGAAATGATTGAGCAAAGAATATCCTTTTCGATAAATTCCTCTTCTGGCTAAAATATTATATATCTATATGTTTTTATACATAGAATATTCTAGATTAGTAGTCAATAACAATATTAGTGTTTTTTAGATAATATCGATTTGTTAAGTAAGATCACAATGGAATTACAGATCATTGAAGATGCTGAAATAATAATAATAATAATAATAATAATAATAATAATAATAATAATAATAATAATAATAAAGATATAGTAGCAAATAGAATATCAACAAAAATTAGGAAATTTCCACAAAAATTGAAGATCATTCAAACCTAGATGGCCATAGGGGTAAGGATAATGTCTGAACTAACTTCTTTTGGATGCACAAATTAGGCTTGCTAATATGGATCCCAACAGTGGGTCTCAGCAATATGTAGTAGACGAAATCTTAAGGCGAAATTGAGATTAGTTCTTATACGGTAGATGACTTTGAAAGCCACCCCGTTAACATCAATCTTGTGTTCTGTATCCACAAGGTGATATAGAATAGCGCTGCGAATAGATTTGTTTGTCCTTAACTTAGCCACACAGGGTGATGTTCGGAAATTCGATGAGAAACACGCCTAATTGTACGGCCTATGCAACTAACTGACTCACTCCACAGGAGCAGTTAAATTGGTAGATACACATGGAAGAGGCGAAATTAGGCAGTTTGTCTTTTACTACTCCCGAACGCAAAAGAGGAGTGGTTTTGAAGACACAGCGTAATTCAGCAGCAGGGAATGCTCTTCGCTTTACCGCATTTCTAAGGCACTGTGTTAGTATCTCGCTGATGTTGTTCCCAAGGAACTGCATTTGTAAGAACAAGGCCTTTTTTGGAACTGTTGGTAACCTGGGCTGCTTTGATTTAAGATTCATATTCTTATCAATAAACTTTTCTGGATAACAATTTTCACTTAGCAACTGTTTAATATTATTAAGTTCCTCATCAAGACATTCATCCGAGCTGGGTTATTTACTGCATACCTACAAATCTCTATTATGCCTTAAGAGTTCGACTACTAAATATTGCTGAGGCTGGCTGTTGGGATCCATATTAACAAGCCTAATTTATGCATCCAAAAGAACTTAGTTCAGACATTGTCCTTACCTTGGCCATCTAGGTTCTAATGATCCTAATTTTATTTGATATTCTATTCGCTATTATATCTTTATCATTATTATAATTTAAGCACCTTCAATGAGCTGTAATTCCATTGATCTTACTTTACAAATCGATATTATTTAAAAAAACACTAATATTGATATTGACTACTAATTTAGAATATTCTATGTATATAATTGTAGAGCGAGAAGAGGAAATTATCGAAAAGGATATTCTTTGCTCAATTATTTTGTGTTTTTGATGATATGTAGTCACATGATGCCTGTTTTGTTTTGCCAGTCTGCTTATATTTTACTATGTGTATATTGATCGTTACTCCATTATAACTCACAATATGATTTGTCTGTCCATTAACTAAATAAACAATGTATGACCTTTTGTCACATGACATTACAACCAATCAGAATCCAGTTGGTGGTAAGAAAAACTACTTATCCATCTTATTGTTTAATGTGTGTTAGTCATTTTCATATATACTTTTGTATTGTACAGTTGATACACTCACTTTCACACTTTTCCGTACTCTTTAGTACCTTTTCCACTCACACCCCTTTGTGTGACAGTTAATTTTCCTTGTTGCAAAATACACATATCCATTCGTGAACGTGGTGGTGGTCTTCTGATTTGCCTCATCGTGTCATCAGGACAAATTAACTACTACTCAGCAATACCACCAGTCTGTACGTACGTTATCCTCCGTTATATCTCATTAGCGCATATATTTACACTCGGTCAAACCATAATATCGGCAACGACCCCAGTTTTATAGATGTCTGGGCAAAGTTCAAAAATAGCGTCCCAGGAGTGCGAACGCACGAGTGACCTTCAGCTGACCAATCATAAAAATGAGGAATGTTTGCTCAAAAAATGATGTATATTGACAAGAAAATGCTTGAAAACGCATTAAACAGGTTATCTTTCTCTGACATGGCTTAAAAATACATCCTAGTTGTAACGACGAGTATCAGTTGCTAAGTTAGACTAGTTTCTGTACATGGATTCACCGAGATCACTACAGATAAACCGTTTTTGTGAATCGTTTATCGCTCTCATCCTGCTTGCAGTCGTGCAAAAAAGCCCTCGGTTGAACTGTTATGGTTTCCAGCAAGAGAATAGACGACTACTTACCAGGAAAACCTGGATAATAAAGAAAATTAAAATAAATGACATCAACTATAAATCTATCCCCAATCTTAACCACAAGCTTAATCCTAACCCTAATCATAACCCTTATGCAAACCGTAATTCTAACCCTAATGCTAATTATAACCCTGATCCTAACCCTAACCCCAATATTTACCTTAAACCTAATCCTAACCCTAACGAGCTATTAACACATTGTCCAAACAGTACTTAAAAACGTGATCTGGGTGAAATTTGCTCCTAAGTTGGTGAATAGCGTTGATATTTCAACTATGATAATGACAGATGTCGTTAGCCAACGACTAGCATGCGTTCAAGGTCATTGGAGCGTTCACACTCCTGGGACGCTATTGTTGAACTTCGCCGATGTCTGAATGAAATATTTTTCAAGAGTACTGGTTTGTAGGGATTTGGTTGATTGATTATAGGATTTCATTATGAGCTGACAATGGTTAGAGAGCCATTGAAAAACCACCTGGGAGTACTGCCAGACAGCTGTTTCGTCCTGGTTTGGGACTCTTCATCAGTACGCACCCACCGGGGAAGAGGAGGACGACGACGAAGAGGAGAATAAATCAATTTATTGATTTCATACAATCATACATACATAGTGATAGATATATCAAAATCATTGTAAATAACAGCAGATATCGTGTGTTTTGTTTGCTTGAATTTTCTGCTCAAAGCATAAAATAAACAAGAAAACAAACAAACAAGGAAAATAAAATAAAAGAAAGAAAGAACAAACGGAGTCAAAGTAATAGAGCATGAATACAATCAATACAGCAATATTATGATTAGGTTTGTTGTCTGTCAGTCAATCAATCAGGTGTCTTCTGCCTAATTTTTGTACATTATGTGTGTGTATGTGTGGGTGTGTGTGCGTGCGTGCATGTGTGACAAACACCTACACCTACACCTACCTACCCACCACACAATCACAACCACGAAAACAATCAAAACAAACAGAGAATAATGTTCATTTTTCTGTAAAGTCAAAACTTATAGAATAAATAAACTTTGAATGGCGGCAAATAGTGATGTTAATTATTATTATTATTCGTGGAAAAAAATTATCGACAGTAAGGAAGGAAGTAGTATACTACTGATGGTAGCAGTAGAAATGATGAGTAGTATGTTGCGATTGAGCAAATAAATCTGCAATTTGTTTGTTTATTGTTATTATTATCATTATTATTATTATTCTGATTAGCGTGAATATTATGATGAAAGAAGTACTCGGTGCTTCACATAATAGTTTCCATAATAATAATCAAATAAAACAGAACGAACAACTGATAATTTACACCATTTAATCGTCATATCATCGTCATTATTAGTAGTAGTATATCCAGTACTTTTATGTAGGAGTATTAAGGGAGTGAGTATTAAGAGAATATTAGAAAGTTAGGAAGGAACATGGCTATGATAAAAGGAGGAATTAATAAAAAGAAGTTAGACACAGACCGATGAAAGTCCTGAGTAGATGTGTGGTTTATGATGTCAGAGAGTATGTGTGTAGACTTGGTAGCCTTTAAGGCTGCATGCATATACAGCAATATATATATCTATATATAGCAATATGCGAAGATAATAATAATCATGAATACGGTTTTGACATTGATGGAGGTGGGGGTGGTGCTACTTCATGTGAAGTTAAATATCCACTGTGTAAACTGCCTGAAGCTGGTCCAGCTGTTAAATAGGTAGTTGCTGACTGTGGAATATTTGAGATGAACAATGCATGACCTTGATCACGATAATCTGCCCAATTAGGATAACTGTCCAAAATTGCAGTGACCTTTAGGTAAATAAATAATTAAATAAATCAATAAAAAGCACATTTCAGGAATTAGAAATATCATCATATTAAAAATTTATGAATATACACACAACTGATGTTAAATCATGCGCTTAAATTCATCATTTGCTAGTTTATGGGAGTTAAACATTGTTTGATAGTCTCATATCTAGACAGCAGGCTTCATGGGTTAAACATGTCTTCTTATTTCCTATTTCATTTACTTTCCCATTGGAACATAGGGCTTCAAGATAGTCCTGCCTCCTAGGTGAAGACGCTGACATAATGCAGAGTCTTCTGAACATCTTGAGCTGCAATCTACGAATGTTTGGCATGCAATTCGCTCCCGCTGAATGCAAGATGATGTTACACGATTGGACTACACCGACTCCTAGATTATAAATAGGAAGTGAAGTGGTAGAACACGTTGACCGCTTCACTTACTTGGGAAGTACCATCAGCCGGTGCCAACGGGTTGATCTCTGACGAAATCTCAGCACGGATACAGAGGGCTAGTTTCGCATAAGCCAGTTTACGCCGTCTCTGGCGTAGACGTGATATTCGGCTGGCTGTCGACAAAAGGGCTAGCTGTGAGACCTGGTCACTGAGAGTGGAAGACATGAAAAGCCAGTGTAGCTAGCTGTCTTTGATCATAGGTGCCTGTGTTCTATCTCCCATGTGAAATGTTATAATAGAGTGAGCAATATTGAGGTTAGGCTTCGGTTGAGTGCTAGGTAAGTCAAGAAGGGGGAATCAATCGACGAGGCTGTGAAGCTACATCGACTGAGATGTTTAGGACAAGTGTTACGTATGTCTAGTCATCGCCTTCCTCGATAATGGGCAATGTTAGCTGAAATAGGGTCAGGCTGGAAAAGAGCTAGCGGCGGTCAAACCAAAACATGGCACCAGTCAATGAAATCCACAATAGTTTGTTTAAGCCAGCCAAGTAGGAAGGTGTAGACTTCCTGGTTGGGGTCCTCGGGAGGGTAAAAACCAACGACGACTGGAGACAATTGGTGATATGGCCCAAAATTCTCGTTCTCAATGGCGCAGATGCATCCACTCCTTGCGACTTATGATTCCCAATGAAACTATATTGTTCTTCGATATTACTATTGTTTTTGCCTCATATCTCTGTTTACTGTCTCTATTTTGCGTTTCTTGCTTTGTGTGCTGAGTGAAGTGTGGCGACTAGAACTGCTGCACACCAGTGCAAAGTTCAATGTTGAAACCAGACAGACAGATGGATAGACAGATTAAATCCTCATTATTTCTCCATGTGCTTCTCCTGTACATTTCCTTTTATTATAGTTTCTTTGTATGCCGTGTTCTTCTGCACTTTTTTGCGTGCTTTTTAAATTGTGGCAACCTGAAAGGTGTCACACTTTAATAGAAAGTTGTGCATTGTATATTCAGCTAATTTTTCATATAATATCAAAGGGGGGAGCAACACACAAACAGACACACGAATACGCAAACATTATTACGTGAGGATTAAGCTGAAATATATGTCGACTTACTTTAGCCCCATGTACAGCACTATACTGCATAGCTTTCAATGCTTTAATAAGGTAAGCTCGTGTCTGACCCGGTTCTCGTACTGATGACGGGAAACCATTTTGTAGCATACGTAATACAAATCCAATAAGATCATGTTTTAAAGCCTGAAGAAGAAGAAGAAAAAAACAAACATAGAAACAACATTGGGTAAAGATTTAAACATTCTACATTTTGAATAGTTGTCTATGCGGTTTCAGTATAACAAATTTTAGAAAAAGATGTTCGCTTTCCACTGAAACGTCCATCCTACAATTTTCCTGTAGATATGAGGGCGAACAGGGGCGTACCGTAAGGTACAGTAAGGTACTTCCTTCAGAGTAAAAGCAAACCACCTATGTATCCTTCCCGATATGGGCACTTGAGGGGTGGGGTACATCCGAATATACCCTGCAGTGAAGCGTAACCAGAAATAAGGTCATCATAAAAAATATACTTCCAAACACCATGTGAAACATGGCTGTGTATTTGAATGCCCTAGGGGAGTTTTCCCCTAGGATCCTTTCATTTTTGTCTGCATTATGATTATTATTGTTTTCTTTCCTGCTGGGTTGGTTCGCTCATTGCCAGAGATCTCTGATGCTGATCTTTTCTGGCCGGCCACCTGATCTTGAGTAGAATTGAGCGAAGACAGCTGTTAATGAAGGTCTGTAGTTTGTTCGAAGTGCTCTTCATGACGCGGCGCCAAGTCTCTGATCCGTATAGTAAGTAGCACTGAATTCACATTGGAGTTGAAAATCCGGATCTTATTTTTCATGCTGAGTAGTGCTGTTGACTTCCACACAGACTTGAGAGCAGTGAAAGCTTGTCTTGCTTTCCCGATCCTCGCACTTTGATATCCTCATCAGTTTCGTCCGCATGTAGTGGAGAGGATGCTTCCCAGCTGGGTAGGTAGGTGAAGGAGGTTGATTCTTTCAGATTTCTCCCATTTAAGCTGATTGTTGTCTGTCGTTGTTGTTGCTATTGCCGTTGGCTAGGAATCTTCATCACCTCTGTTTTCTCTATGTTGACTTGTGAATATGACTAGGTAGCTAATTTAACCTATCCGTTCAAGATGTTTCAAACGATTATGTTGCATAGCTGAAGACAAACAATAAATACTGAAATTTAGTACAGATGGTCAGTAACTTCAGAGGATGAACAATTTTCAAGCATGTCATTGAGAATTTAAGAATTTACAATATACCTTAGGTTCTTAATATGAACAAAACTTAAGACCAACAGTCATGAAGTGGAGTGGAATGGAGTTTTCTTCAGCTAACATAACTTGTCGAAGAAGACTCAACAAAATTATTGATTAACTGACTGACTTTCACTACTCCTTACCCAACAATATTTCGAATCTCCAGCAATGTGATAAGGTCATAATATATGGTAAAATCTTGTAATGCTATCATATCTTCAGCTTTCAAAAGACAATTTATAGTCCCACGGTGGAATAAAGCGTACTGTACTAGCTTTCCTTGAATTACTAAAGGGATGCTGACAATCTTCAGCGATTTTGTTTTTCATCTCTTTGGCTTCTTAGTGGAACATAGGGCTTAAGGCTCTAAAAGATTTGAAGTTTCAGGCGCAACCTTCTCTTTTCTCTAGGTTTACTATGAGGTTAGGAAACTCGACAAGGTTAAGTGGAGTACGTCAGTCAGGAATCGAACCTTGACCTCCAACCTGCATGGTTGGTAAACAGATAATAGACAAAGATGAGTGAGGATTAGAGAGGTTTCGCGTGCACTTCGCATTGTGAGGGCGATTGTTACTTCCCGGCTGCCCACACCGTGGAAGTTGGATGCGTGACCGCAGAGCCCAGGGGACAAATGCTTGAGGCCGGTCACACACGGCCTGTTTTTGTTTGTTCTTTTTTATTTGGTGTGTCTCAGTAGCGTATTTATCACTTCTGCCCTGTGACACGGCAGCAGAAAGCGCGGTCGTTGTTAATCCGGGCCCCGACCGATCCGGCATGATATTTTGTGATTTATTTGAAGTCATAGGATTGGATTGGGTAACTGCTTTTAGTCTAACCGCTATCCAAACAACCTTTTTGGCATGGTAGGACCTGCAGGAACATAAGTTCCAGCCAGTATAGCTTGTTGGGTCATTGCAGTGTTCAAGCCCGACCACCACGTCAAGGTAGCAGCTTTCGGTCGTTCTATCTCCCGCGTGAAGTCGTATAATAAGGTGAGCAATATTGAGGTTAGGCGTCGAGTGCTAGGTAAGCAGGGGAAATTAGTCTACGAGACTGTGAAATTACATCGACTGAGATGGTTAGGACATGTGTTACGTATGCCTAGTCATCGCCTTCCTCGACGGGCGATGTTAGCTGACATAGAATGGATCAGGCTGGAAAAGAGCTAGCGGTGGTCAAACCAAAACATGGCACAAGTCAATGAAATCCACAACAGTTAGTCTAAGCCACATAGGAAGATGTAGACTTCCTGGTTGGGGTCCTCGGGACGGTAAAAACCAATGGTTGGAAACAATTGGTGACATGGTTCAAAATCGTTCTCAATGGCTGGCGCAGGTGCATCCACTCCTTGTGACTTATGATTTCCAATTAATCTGTTTTGTTCTTCGTTATTACTATTTCTTTGTCCCTCACCTCTGTTTACTGTCTATATTATGTATTTCTCTTGCTTTGCGTGCTACATGGAGGGAGTGTGGCGACTTGAACTGCCGCACATATGTGCAAAGTTCTATGTCGAAAACCGACCGACCGACCGACCGGTAGGTAAACATTGTACGCCTAAAATAGCGACGCATAATCTTCGACGTGATGATCTCCGATATGAAGGCTTTCAGTGTTCAAGTGTTGCACATGTAGTGACTTACTACACCAACAACACCTATAGAACAGCAAAAAAACGAAGAAAACTGGAGGCGAATCAATAAAATAACACATGTTACCAACCAAAAAAAATAATAAAAAAATAAAATAAATCGTATTTTCACTATATCTACACTGTAATACAGACCACATACCTGTTCAATTAATGGATCAGAGTATTGTGTATCAAATAGACAGAATAATGTTTCACCGATTAAGCCTAATTCTTCACCAATGCATTGATTAACAACACGTATTAATCCACCAATCATATCACTTTCAGCCATTGATTGTACACATAACTATGCATCACAAATGAAACACAAAAAAAACAACAACAACAGTCGGAAATACAAGGCATAAACGATGTAAAAACATACATATAAACACACATATACAACAATATTTTATGCAATATGTACAAAAATCATGCATATTTTGGAAAACTGAACAATTTACAGTAATTAATCTGATAAAGTTATTGGAAAGGAACAGTATTAAGCTAAGGCAGTGAGGTTGAATATAGGCCAGTAATGGCTAAACGCACCAGATTTTATGATCCCTCTTTAGACCTAGTACTACCGACTGACTGACTGACTGACTGTCTGAGTTACAACATATAGAACTTTGCATAGAAATGAGGCAGTTCAAGCTGCCATACTCTATGCAGCACACAAAAGTAGTATTGTGAGAGGGAAAGAACAGTAATATGGGAAAACATGCGGATTTTAATGAATCTAGAGAGATCCCAAACAGTGGATGTATCTGTGCCATTGGGGACGACCTTGAGCTATATCACCCACAGTCTTCAGTCATTGGTTCTTAGCATACGTAGGTTTACAAGTAGGGGCAGTCTAAGCCTCCATGGATTGATTGATCCTATGTCGGCTAGAATGGTTCGTCGACGAAAGTGGTGTCTCAGTATTCGCGACACCTGTCCTAGCCATATTTCTCTTCCTTACTTAATGCTCTACTCCAGAACCTCAATATCGCTAACTGAGCACAGGAGATAGAACGTAAACATCTGCGTTACAAAGGTTCATGTCATTCGTGATGAAGTGGACATGTTATATCACAAAATAAATTGCCGTATATGAAACAAACACACACACACACAGTGCCTAGTCTTATAAGAAACACACACTAAGCTAAGGTCTTTTGAATAATGTGCTATGCACATCGCAAAGTCGACGTACTCACTAGTTTACAATAAATGTAAGAGTCCAGTGATTAACTTAATGCTGAAACTCACTGTAGAATGTAAGACACTAACGAAAAATACTTTTAGCGTGGATATTATTACGAAAAGATGTTCGTATTACAAGCGCTGAAGATCTAGAGCACTGTGCAGTTGTTACATCCTATCTTGAGACACCTGATTATGAAGAACCTATAAAGCCATGTAGAATTAAAGTCCAGGAATTGACTTATTTCAAGACAAATCAATGTCAGAAGATAAAATTAGCTAAACAAAAACCCTGTGAAAGTTAACCAGAACTATTTCATCACCTTAGCAACCTTACTGGCTGACTGAGTTTCGAAATAAGAACTTTGTACAGAAGTGTAACACCTCCGGTTGCCACACTCCAAGCAATACACAAAGGTAGAGGAAAAAAGAAATTCAACCCAACCATAATAAGCATCAATGTACGGGGAGAAGAACAGTAGCATGTAAAAACGTAAGGATTTAATGGACATAACAGGTCACAAAGAGTGAATGTGTCTGCGCCAATGAGAACAACTCTGAGTCATATCACGAATAGTTTTCATCTATTAGGTTGTTAGAATCCTGAGGACCCCAGTCAGGTAGTGTACGTATCCCTATGTGGTTCATACCGACTGTCAGAGACTTCATCGACTGGTTTGGGATTGACCAACCTTAACATTTTTTCCAAAACCAGTCCTATATCAGTTCACATTTCTCAGCTGGGCGGGGTTATGGTGGTGGATCGGTATGAGCAACACATGTCCTAGACACCTCTTTAGCAGTGACAGCCTACCTGACGAAGGTTATGGGGGGGATTGTATGAAAGATTTACAGGTTAGGAAGAGATACCATTATCATACATTTACTAAGGGTCTAATGACGCATATTTTAGAACTTCTAGCTAATCATCGTACCATGTTACTGTTATCAAACGCCAGAGATGTAATTGTTGTCTAGATGGAAGGACAGGAAAAGCTTCATAACTAAACCATCAGGATTACAGAATGCAACAACAGCATTTACACACCCATCTCAGTGATACGCTTCCATTATTCTAGAAGCAAAGCAATTTTGCACATTAACTAATCAATAAAGTCTGTTTAAAAATAAAATAGACAAAAATGACAGCAGGACTCACTTTACTTGATGACATTTGATGTAAGAGGATGACAATAGCTCTAGCTCCTTCAGGATCAGCAATTTTAGCTAATAATTCTAATATTCTATGTACATTACCTGATCGTGGCAGGGAGTCAATTAAACCTGGACGATCAGTTAGAACTGTTTTACACGCTCTAGTCAACAGTCGTACTAAAATATTCGACTCCGGTAGCTGATGTACTGCCTGAATAAAGAAAAGAAAATAGAGAATAATTTATGACTGTTTTCGAAGTCATAAAAGTAGTCAGTAGACCGTTAAAATTAAGTGACATCTTCAAATATTTATCAACACTAATGTTAAGTCAGTCAGCGTATCTATATGGCTCATAGATATGGCACGTTACCATTTACATTAGGCTACTGCACACTTATATCAACAGCTACATTTGCTGGCTTCGTACTGAAGATCAGATCACAGAGCGGAAAGAATGAGCAACAAGGAAACTCTGGCGACGAATCCACCAGAAACCCATTGCCCAACAATTATGCAGAAGAAAATCGAGATGGATTGGACATATGCTGAGGAGACCACTCGATGGCGTCAAATGCCAGACATACTCTCAAGTGGAACCTGAATGGGAAACGATGAGTTGGCCGTAGGTCCGAGAGTGAAGGTCGAGGATGAAATGAAAGCTTGTGGGCATTCGTGTAGCCATCCGAAGATTGACTGCAGATGACACAGTGAAATGGTGGTGTGCTGTTGAAGCCCTATGATTCCCTCGGAACCCAAGAGAATAATAATAATGTTGAAGTAGATGAATTATTATTATTATTTATTATTGTTTCCTTTAGTTCCTAGAGGAACATAGGGCTTCAACTGCACGTCTCCATTGCGTTCGGTTCCCCGCCAACGTTTTCATCTGGCTCCACGTCTGCCTAAATGCTTTCATCTCTTCTTCACATGACCTCGTCCATGTTACCCTCGCAATGACGACCAACTCGCCGCTTCACACTCGGTCGGGTTCCACTCGAGCAATGGCCTGGCATGTGATTTCACTTGATGGTTTGTTTTCTCAGAGTATGGCCACCAATCCACCTCCATTTCTTCCTGCATATTTGTTGCACAATTGGTTCCTGGTTGGTTCGCTCCCAGAGATCCCTGTTGCTGATCTTTTCTGGCCAGCTATCTGATCTTGAGTAGTATTGAGCGAAGACAGCTATTGATGAAGTTCTGTATTTTGTTTGAAGTGCTTTATATGACGCGTCAAGTCTCTGATCCATAAGGTAGTAGTGACCTCACATCGGAGTTAAGAACCCGGATCTTATTTTTCATGTTGAGTAGTATTGTTAACCTCCACGCAGACTTGAGAGAGATGAAAGCTTGTCTTACTTTCCCGATCCTCGCTTTAATATCCTCATCAGTTCCGTCCGCCTGTAGTTGAAACGATGCTCTTCAGGTGGGTAGGTAGGTAGGTAAAGGAGGTTGATTCTTCTAGATTCCTCCCATTTATGCTGATTGATGTCTGCTGTTGTTGATGTTGGCCAGTAATCTTCATCGCCTGTGTTTTCTCTATGTTCATCTGACGTCCTATCTTTGATGCTTCTTCTGCCAACTTGTTGCTTTTCACTTGCATTTCTTCCAGTTTGTGGGAAATCAGACATATATCATCGGCGAAGTCCGGATCCTCCAAGTTTTTTGTGTGAGTTTATTTTATGCCTGTCTCCTCGCTTCCCGCCGCTGTCTGTCGCATTATCCAGTTTACGGAAATCAGGAAAATCACTGGAGATAGTAGGCAGCCTTGTCTTACTCCCGTCTTCACTTCGAAGGATTCGTTAAGTTTCCCATTGTGGATTACTTGGCATGCAGCATTGTCGTACAACTGTGGGATGAGATGTATAATTGTCGGTGGCACACCGTAGTAGCGAATTAGTTGTCAAATCACCTCTCGATCGACACTGTCGAAGGCCTTTTAAAAGTCGATGAAGTTGAGATAGAGAGGTGAATGCCATTCCAAGCTTTGTTCAATGATGATCCGTAATGTGGCAATCTGATCAATACATGACTTGTTTCTCCTGAATCCAGCCTGTTCCGGTCGAAGTTTTTCATCCAGGGCATGTTTGATTCTCTCCAGGATGATTCGGCTTAGTATTTTGCTTGGGATGGACAGGAGCATAATTCCACGCCAATTCCCGCATTGACTTAAGTCTCCTTTCTTTGTTACTATTCCTTTTGGTGAACAGAAAATCATAGGTAAATGCGATTGTACAACTAGAGAAAATCAATTTGCCGAAAAGAAACCATTCATTGAACTACTCGTTTTGTTCTTTTCAGTAGAGCCAGGGTGGATATTATTCATTATATATATGGTAACGGATATTTTTACTAAGAAAAGCACACCTTACTAATATATATTTTCAGCCAATGGTAAGATGATAATAAACAGTTCTGATTGGTTCAGATTCGAGAAATAAACGCTGTGACCTGTAGAGTACAGCAGGTCGGGCGTGAGGACGAAAACTTTCCATCGATGACATTGGATGGTGGTCGGGCTATGTAGTGAGTTGGCAAAAATTGGAATTGTTGGGCCGACCATTGGATCAGGTCCCAGTGGCCTAATGGTCTACGAGCCAGCTCGCCTTGTAACCAAAAGGTCCTAGGTTCGAATCCCTGTGGTGGGTGAGTACTTCTGAAGAGTCCCAAACTAGGTTGACGAAACAGTACTCCAGAGTCACAGACTTAAAATGTTGCTTTCGACTTCGTCTACTTCCTATCAATCTGATCTACATACTGACGATAAATCTCGTGAATAGCACACGCCATATATATATATATATATAATATATATATAATGATCTGGTTAGAAATTGGGCCTAGTAGCTTAGTAGACGGACCCCTGGGACAAGTAACCCGAAGGTAGTTGTTTTGAATCCCGTCACAGCCCAAATTTACATCTCACCTTCAATCATGTCATCCACTACACAATCATATATACAACGAAAGAGATTACGAAACATTTATGTAAAAAAAAGCATCATGCTGGATATCTTGTGTTTTCATTTTTAGTTTTCAATTTCTCCTTACCTGATACCATTTTTCCATTAATTCATTTAAAAATAACTCCGGATGACGTAATGTCCAACCAGGATGTGATATATACAAGTGTAAGTAGACACCAGCTACTTGAATTGGTCCAAGACAAGCGACATATTGTGCTATTTCATTCGGTTTATGCTTATTTTGTTCATTTGCTTTTTTAGCGATTACATCAGTATACGGAACTTTAAAGGAATCTGGCAGATTCCATTTAATATTACGATCTTCAGTTTGCTTAGCATAGAAGCTGAAACAGAAGAACAAATTTCAAAAAATAAGACAAAGTACATTTGTAACGACAGAAGACATGGGCACAGGCAACAGATCCTTTATTGAGAAAATCAACAGATATTTATAGATTTTCATTTGCATTATTATTAGCGTTATTGTTAGTAGAGAAGCAACGTCTTCTGATTGGTTGTTTTCCTGCTGAAGGTTATTCTGTCATCAGTTTGTGACCGTTTCTTAGAAAGTTAAGGCATATATCTGCGAATCGTATCCGCCCACGCTAAGTCTGCTGTGATTGGTTGATGAGTTTCCCAAGGTTTCTTCTCATGACTCCGATTCGGGACGTAAACAATGACGTAAATTGTTGTCTACAATTTCGGCTTGCAGACAACTCTCACCACACAGTTTATTTAAAATAAAACACATTTTACCACGGATGAGAAGAAAGCAAAACGTTGGACCGATAGAAAAGACTCTAGAAGATCTGGACTTTGCAGATGTGATTTATGCTTCATATCGTACAAACCGAAAAGTTGGCAGTAGAAGCGGAGAAGACAGGACTTCAAGTGAACATAGAGAAGATGGAGGTAATTAAGATACATACTGGCCAACAACAACAACAACAACAGCAAGCACCAGTCACTATCAAAGGGACTAATTTCATGGAAGTCACTTTTTCCCACTTATTTAGGCACAGTTGTTTCAACTACAGGCGGTACACGGATGAGAATATCAAAGGTGGGATTAGAAAGGCAAGACGGGCCTTCATTAGTCTGTGGTTGTTATGCAAATCTACTGCAAGCAGCATAAGGGATTATACCTGGATCTTCAACACTAATGCCATGTCAGTCAATGCTTCTATAGGGCTCAGAGACTTCGTGTGCGCGACGCACAAAAGCAATTTGAGCAGGCCACTGCAGACTTTCATCAACAGCTGTCTCCACTCCATAGAGAAGATCAGATGGCCAGAATGGATAAGCAACAAAGAACTCTGGGGACGACCCAACCAAGAAATTATTGCCCAAGCAACGAATAACCATAGGGAAATGAAGATAGATCAGACACACGCTAAGTAGGCCATCGATTGAAATCACTCACAAGGCTCACTAAAAGGCCTTGAACTGGAAACGACGAGTGTGGCATGGTGATCATGTGACGAGGAAATGTTAGGCCTCCATGATGCGTTGGCTTCGACGACGTCTGAGGATTAACATAATGTTGTTATGTAGATGATAATGACTAGCAGTGGAATCCACGATGTTCGTTTCGTCTAATTTAGGACTCGTCAGACAGACGTTTCGGTCCAGTTAATAAACAGGGGAGATAAAATTAACTTAAACAAATAAATGACTGATATCCGTTGTACAAGTGGTAGCAGCTCTTGTGACCCAAGTGGTCAAGTGGATAACGCTTTGACGTTTGAAATGATGGGTGCGGGGTTCGAGTCCCACTGGAGGCAGCAGGTAAATCTAGCTGACAAGGCCCAAATAAGACGAAGTGAGCATCCTGGATTCCACACTGCTAGCCACTATCAACTACATCTCATCAAGGTATATTTTACCCTAGCTATTTCACAAAATAATTCAATATCACATTCGCAGGACTTGATGAACTTGACTAGTGTAAGTAACATGGTTCCGTTATAACTTGACGAATGTGATACACTGATAAACAATATATGACATGAAATTACTTGGTAATGACAAGTGTTCAAGCTGCCACTTTCTTCAATCTATACAGTGCGAGTGGAATGCACAGGACTTCAAGGTTGAAGTTTCAGTAACGATGTTGTTTTTCTGATCTAGTGAGGTTGCTAGCAGTGAGTCAAACGGTCTCTCTTTTCACGGATCACTATCAGCTAGTAAACTAGGCTAGGTTTAATAGTGAGTAGGCCGGGAATCGAACAAGGAATTTCAGAGTGCTTGGTGAACCACTGAAGCGCAAGCTGTCAATATATATATATATATATATATATATATATGAAGGCAGTAATGGGAGAGACATAGGAAATGTATATATTCGGACCAAAAATCATGCCACCGACGGTTTCAAACCACTGATTCTTAGAATCCCCAACACCTTAGTCAGGTAGTGTCTAAACCACTTCAAATGGCTCAAGCCAATAGTCAAACACCTCGTGGATCCCACGGACGTTTCGATCTGAGATTATCATTATGTCGTGCTAGGTGCAGTCACTGACTATTCTCCAATTAAAAGTATCCAATATATTGTGCTACAGAAAGTCAATCGCGAGCCTGAATAGCTCAATGGTAATATGTCTGAGTGCAGCACTGGGTTCGAGTTTCAGAAGGGATATGAGTTTGTAGATGCACCTTGCTGATTAGTGAGTGCTGACTAGCACAGAAACTGGGTCGATTAAGACTTGAATTTCCTGGAGGGTGGGGTAGTTGATTGTGCCATGATGTGCCTAGAGAAACTCAGTAATGTAATCATATCAGATATTACATATATGGCTGTTTCAAGGGTGTGAATATCAATTTTTTCCCACAATATAAGAATATCGGTTGTAGTGTTTGCTACAAATATATATGCGCAAAAATGCCTCGCAACAGCTTTTCTCCTTACTGCCGTGGAAAAAAAGCATTAAATGCCTTTTGCGTTATAATAACTTTGAAGTATGTTATGTGATTATTTTCAGGTCATTAACCAGCAGTTCATGAAAACCCATGCGATAGTAAAAAAACTCAGCTCGTTTTATCCAGCCTGGAAATATCTTCATGCTTGCTTTATTCAAACTGTTTGGCTGAACTGCTTGGCAAAATAGAACTTGGCACAGAAGTAAAGCAGTCCAAGTTGCCATTTTAACTCCATGTAACACACAAAGGTAAGGAGAGAAAAAAGAGAGGGAGAAAGGAAAACCAACAACCAAAAATTGTACTCCCACAAAACATTTTGTTAACAAGATAATAACGCTAAGAATAATAATAATGTACCTTTGACTCTGTTCATTTAAAACTTTGCTTAGCATATCCCGTAGACTTGCATCCCATATAATCTCTGGATTTTCATGATCAGCTGAAAAGACAATTATGAAAGTAGCTTATTATAATTACAGGGTGAAAGATTATACTGAACAATCATACAATTTAATATTTATATAATATGAGATAATTAATTACATGATGGTATATACTACTGACTGGGTGATATAAGTAGTTGGAAACCACTCAGATAAACTAGTAGTGCTTGTTAGCGGGATGGAGGGGATTTAAACTCCGGATACCTCTACTATGCTCGTCCGAGGTTGAGATCATCGGTAGTGTATTGAAATACGACGATACTCACTGACAGAGGAGAACTACATAACAAAAACGATAAGAAAGAGTTAGTTCTTTCTGTGACTCAATCCAATTTTATAAAGCGAAAAGGTAGAAACACCTCTCCTCTCTAGGTACAATTAGATAGTTATTAAGTGGCTGGACGCAATCAGCGACAATCCTTGAAACTAGATTTTGCGATTTTTCGCACTCATCAGAGAGGCGTAGGCAACCTAGTGCTGCAGTCAGAGATATTACCACTGAGCTAATAGACTGTGAGTGAACAAAAAGAAAAAGAATACCCAACTATTTATGTTTAACCTTTTAAAACAGTGACTTGTGAAGGTGCCACCCAGCTTGATGACGAAACGTCCGCGATCAACTATCATAACTTGAAGGAATAAGCTTCCACGTCTTTTTTTATCTTACCACTTACAGATTGTTCTGACGATTTTTGAGTACCTGGAGTTATATTTTGGGGCTGAGTGATTTTCCGGTAGGAAGAGCCACATTTAAGAGTTGTAATCTACTTACTGTACCCCTTAGTGAATAAACATTTTTAAAATTTGGGTAAGCCGCTTTGAGGTTCTATACATATAACTTAAATATAGTCACGTTATCAATTATCGCCCACTACAGCAAAAAAATCCAAGTCCTGGTTATGTGGTGTGAATGATGTACATGCTAATTAATGAAGTGCCTCTATAAACGACCTGGTATGGTCGAGGGTGATTAAACGTCGGTGTCCCCCCCTAACTCGAAATATTCTCATGCTACCACGCATTCATACCCTCTACCAGCTAACTTCTATTCACTGTATTTACGTGACGGCGGTGCTCCTCACAAAAGCGAAAGGGAGAATTATAACGTACGGTGTTCACAATCGGACTGGTGAACACACTCACGTCTACCTAGGGGAACTGGAAAACCCAAATTCCAAACCTATAGTGTAGATGCGCTCCAAAATCGAAAAGGAGCAAATGGCGTGTGAACCTGCTTTGGTCACTAGTAACCATGGGAACGTTTTCTTCTTAATTCCTTCACGTTCCCAGTGGAACATAGAGGGCTTCAAGCTAGAGGCTTGAAGTTTCTGTAGCAGTGGTGATTATTTTTACGGGATGGGGTTGCTAGCCAGTCTCATGCCCAACCTTCCATTTTTACCAGTCTTATTACTGGTTTACCGAGGCAAGAGAGTGCGTCAGTGGCCGGGGATCGAACCCCGAACTATGTGCATGGTTGGCGAGCGTCCTAACCGCTGTGCCACCGACGCACAACCATGGGGACGTAGCTCCTGATACTGCTACACTGCCAAGTGGATTAGACTTCAAGTCAAAGGTTGAAGGACGGCCTACTAAGACAACCACAGGCTTCAGTCTGTGAGTGTGGCACATCTTCTGGTGCCTATAAAGTACCAAGTCCCTATTCTAATAATAATAATAATAATAATAATAATAATAATAAGATGAATTCCAGTTATAGACAATATTTTCCACTATAATTCTTACTACACCATTTTGCATTCAGTTTACTAATAATTGTATCTCTCTTCATACTTCTGTGCAGCATACTGTCTATCTAATGAAAATCAAAGACCACGCACTATTCAATTAGTTGAAATCAGTTGTTACAAATCATTCAGTTATATGCCTTCACCGTAAATTACTTGGTATGATTGAGAGTGGGAATTCAACTTTTTACTTTACCTTACTTCCTGCTATCTACGATGTGGAGCAAACTTCAAGTCAAAGACATGGACAGTTACCTCTTAAGACAAGTGTCTGCTTTAGTTTATCTGTTCAGACTATAATCTCAGGCCTCACATGGATATGGTGCATTTCCTACTGTCCCTACCGATAGCTGCTACTTTGACGTGGTATGGCTTGCACATATCTTAATGGCTCAAAGAAATACACTGGCTGGGACCAATATTCCTCTAGGTCCTACTATGCAAGAAAGATGGTGTGGATAGCCATTAGACTTGATTAAAGCAGTTGCCAACATAGATTACGTCTCTTACAACTGTGTTGGGAATCTGTGGGCGAAGTCATACTTCTGGCGAAAATGGATATCGAGGCAGTAAGGTGTTTACGTCATATAGCTAGCAAGCCAGTTATGCTGTCACTCCTTTGTAGGGAGGGGAAGTGAAAGGGCTGGAGAAAGTCGATCCCGGAATTTGTCTTTTCAGACATAACTTGCGACAGTCCTATCTTAATTTATTTATTTTTGATTACAGCTTGATTCTATATCGTATTTTTCGGTACAGGTGTGGAATTTTCAGCATGTGATATCGGTAGCCCAAATTTTGCAGGCCGATCATAGATACCAGGTGTACGTCGGCAGGGGATCGAATCCCGAACTATGTATATGGTCGGCGAGAGTCCTAACCACTGTGCTACCGATGGAAATCCAAAAATCCGCTTCAGATAGGCCATATGTGTGACCTGCCTCAATTAGTTGTCCCTTAGACTCAATTTTCGCGATATATACAGGCAGCCGGGAAGTAATAACTGGGTGCATACTTCCATAAGCACACAAAGCAACATCGTATTCAAGTTTATGTTGAAATAAACAGAAAATAACTATAACTCATTAGCTTACCATCAAATAATGATAAAAAATTCTCTGGTTGATCTCTCAATGTATCAACAAATACACTCGGCAAATATTGATTCATAATGGCTTGTATCCGTCGTCCAAATTGTTTATTAATTAAGCAGTGCGATAATAGGCGTACTGTAGCTTGACGATCTTGTTGTTGTGGTGAACTACACACCAGTTGGAGTAAATAGATTAAACCACCAGCATAGATAAATTCTTTAAGTAGCGTGGATGATGCTATTAAATGATCCACTGTTTGTACAAGGATAAAATGTGCTACAAAATGGGAGAAAAGAAGGGGGAAAGAAACATTCAAAGATGAAGATGGGGATCTGAGACAACTGAGGATTGGAAGAAAACTACTGAATATGATAAATGATGATTGAAGGTGTGTTTGATACATATTTAAGACAAGCAACAAAAGTTAACAAAACAGGATTAAATGAATACATCAAACTTCGGTAGACCTACTCTTCAACTGGATACTCTCTCTCTCTCTCTGTATATATATATATATATCACGTGAAAATGAGCGATGGATGTGAAGAAGAACATGATGGTAGACTACACCTCCTTGATGTCCAATTGAGCAGAAGAGAGGGTGGTTCACTCAAGAGAGATGTCTATAGAAAACTTACATCTGTAGGACAATATACACATTTCCTCAATTTTGTTTTAATCCGATACAAAATCACTTTGGTCCGATGCCTCACGAATAGAGCAAGATGTATCCGTACAGCTGATTCCCTGGAAAATGAGTTAGGATACATCCAAAATACACTGGTCCAACTGGGTTATCCTAGTTGATTTGTAGGGAGACTGGCACACGGACACCATGTAGTTTATTCTACCCTTGTCTCTCCCTTGCCTGGGCTAGGTAAATTCTAATCAAAACCCTCCCACCCTTTCTTATTTTCCATCTCCTTCGTAATTTTATGATATTTATTTAAACTCTGATTATCTGTCCGCTTCACTTTTAGCATTACGTAACATTTAAGATTTAACCTAATTTATTGATTGATTGAATTGTCTACATATACACATATATTACTACCTTCATTATTCTTAACGACAACTGCATAAACCTTATTATCATTATTTTTTGTTATCATTATGATCATCGTTATTGCTGACGTTCGGGACATTTAACACATTATTAACACTATTATTATTAGATCCACAAAATCATCGTCATTGGTTAAAATTTTTAAATATAAATCTGCGTAAATTAGATTCAAGCCTGAGGAACACCTAATTGAAAACAATATTGTTCGCTTATGGGTCTGTTTAAAGTGTTTAACAAAAGGTAGACTGATATTTGTAAGTCTTAGGTCAAATTTTGATCACAACTCATACAATTATATTCATTATAAATGTTGAAACCTGTTCCATGACTCATATGACTGGACAAAGTTTTTAGAAACAAGAGATGTCCTTTCTATATACAAACCTGAAGAAGTTCGGACCATTTTGCCGAACACAGGAAACGTTGGAATTACTCATTTCAATTTCTCTGAGATTTTACAAATATAATGTTTACAAATGTCTACTTCCCAGTCGGTGCCCAATGATTTGGGAACTATTCGGTCATGTCTTGATCGCAGTTTACGTAACTGTTTGTTTGTTTATCACAGCACACTAGGTGCTCAGCTGAGTTCTCTGTCAACCCAAGGTTATCACAGATAGTTTTATCATCAGTTAACAATATCAAGAGGTCGCCGACAATGCACATGGCTCGGGGTCCGATCCCCGGCCGACACACTCCTTTACCTCGCTAAGCCAGAAATAATGCTGGTAAAGGGAAAAGGTTGAGCATGAGGCTAGCAACCCCATCCTGTAAAATAAACACTGCTACAGAAACTTCAAGCCACTAGCTTGAAGCCCTATGTTCCACTGGGGAATGTGAAGGAAAAGAAAAAAGAAAAGAGGTCCCCGATTTGAATTTTTTCACAAATTAGATATACATTTCACTTCCATTGGTTGTCATTTGATTCAACTAACTGGTTCATAATTCGATGATACTAACACTCATATATTTGTCCCCTTAATCCCAAAAGAACTTTAGTGATTCGGATCTTATGTTTAGGGTTTCACTGTTTAGATTTATAGGAAACTTGACTGATTACAAGTCAGATTTCATCGCCAGTCAACACGTACTTGAGATAATTTTAACGCACTATTCATTTGTAACAATGACTATAGAATGAGATTTACCGGGGTTATGAGGAAGCATCATGACATATGAAGTCCCAGTGGTTGAATGATCAACGGACTCACCCAGTAACCTGGATATTCTGAGTTCAGTCTCTAGTGGTGTTAAGCATACGTACTAGCGAATAGTCTTGAACTCCATAGTTTTCAATAGTTTTCCAGCTGATGTCAGTTAGTGGTGAGACCTATTTGAGACAGCTGTCGGTTGGCATATTACCAGTTGAAATAATGGGTGATGACTGAGTGTGTATTGAAAAAATCTACGCCATGGAAAGATTTCCAAACAGCGGCTATCGAACAACTACTCCGACGAGCTACCAAATCAGCGTCGAGACACAACTGATTAAATGCCAGATTAGTAACTCGGAGCCCACGCGTGTTTGAGTCCTGTACGCTACTCAGATTTTCATTTCACACTCATTTATTCATCACTCATGCCATCGAAGAAAAGGAATACTCCAATAAACACTTAATTAATTACTTACTTACCTCGTGGGAGAATAAAAAATAATACAACCAATGATGTTAGTAATTGTGATGCTGCCATATCTTCAAGGCACTGTGGATTGGTTGAAACAGACTGAATAACCTGAAGTACAAAATGAAGAATATAATCACAATCAGAAGAACACACAAAATACCTTCAACCAATGGCAACTGAAATCCATTACACACGATTTAGTTCTTATAGCCTGAAGGATAACGTTGTGGCGTTTAGGACGATGACTGGACACTGGATTTGAGTCACAGTGTGAACAGCTTTACACATTGAGGGTGGGGGGTGGATGCAAGTACACCCATTAGCTGATGATAAGTTCCAAATTTAGAAGAAATAAACAGCACGCATCCTAGATTCCACTACGGCTAGTCACCTCCAACCAAATAATATTATATTACTGTGATTGGACACTAGTAACTACTAACTAGTGTGATGTGTCTAGTCCTATCTTTGGTGCAGACTGAATTCTATCAGTCAGCCAGGTTTGCAATGCGGCCACCATGCCACTAGGTAGTTCAGTGGTAACCTCTCTGACTGACTGCAGGCGGTACTGGGTGACGCGGGTTCGAATCTCAGAATGGGGGACATGAATTCATTCAAGGTGATTGCAGATACGCCTTGCTGACTGACTGGTGAGTGTCAACTAGCGCGAAACCTATGTCAAGTGGGATTTCCTGTGGCCGATTGCCTTCAACCATCTAATATCATGAAATATTATTACTGTGTTAATAAGATGTTGAATCCTTGCATGAATTCAAAAAGAGTAGCTACTATCTGTTATATGAATACCCCTCCGTTCCTAATAGGAAATCACGGTGAGATGTGACCTAAGGTATGGTAACATTTGCAAAAGAATATCTGTGCTCCACTAGATGATTGGCTCTCGAATCTATCAATCCTTATTTCATATCACTTGTATGAAAACAGTAAAATATCAAATGATAACAACCGCTGCAACTACCAAATGAAAGAATGAACCAGACGTTGCAGCGGTAGAACACTCGCCATCACGTATGTCATCCAGGATTTTATTCCCAGTCGACGGACGTACACTACTAAACCTCTCCCAGTTTACTAGTCAGTCGATAAGTAAGTCCAATAAATATGGGAGGTTGGGTGTTGTGAGATGAACAGATTCACCCCGTAAAAACAAACAACAACAGCACATCTATTGAAACCTACATGGTTTCAAGTTTGAAGCATTTTGTTCTACTCGGAATGTAAAAAAAGAAGCAAGGAAATCAAATGAAAGAAAGTGTTAATCAAAACTTACATCTAATGCACGCAGCTGAATTTCAGGATGTTCATGAAGGTCAAGTATTGAGAATAGTAAAGAGAAATGACCTATGCATTGGATATCTAGACCTGTTAAGAAATCAAGCAGAGGGGGGGGGGCAATTAAAAGCATAAAAAAGATGAACAGTTAATCGATGAGTAATAGTAGTGTACAGTAAAACACAGATGATAGCACTGCCAATGATTCCCGAACTAGGATGAAACAGCTGTCCAGTACTCCCTGGTTTTCAATGGTTCTCCAACTGATTTCAATCCGTGATCAACTCGTAAAAACAAAACTAATCCTTACAAACTAAACTATAGAAAATTAACCAAGGACGATTAAGTGTGGTGATGACGAATTATTTTTGAACGCCTAAAGTTGGTTTAAACATTCTAGTTGCTAACCAGGGATTCCACAAACTTTAGGATACGCCCTCCCCCGAACAGGTTTTATGGATAGATAGGTTTAAAAAACGTGTAGACATCAATGTTATGTCCTGTCTCCTCCGTAATATGTTTCGCAATAGAGGAGCTAGGTCGTTGTCTGTTCTCACCATTAATGGGTTCTGCGGATTCTATTAGCTTCTGAAGCCAGCCCTTACTTGCAGAGATCAATGAGTCCTCCCTATGTATGTGTGGTCACACGTACATTCAAATTGGTAAACGTAGTGAGATGTGACATCACTTTACGAATGTACACAGGGCTTAGATGGATATATTGGCTTCACATTTTCAATTATTATGATATTAGCTGCATAAGAGATTGAAAGCTGATGTTAAAAAGACTTTTTATGCAGCTAATATCATAATAACTGAGAATGTGAAGCTAATATATCCATCTAAGCCCTTCGAACATGCGAAAAATGATGTCACATCCGACTGTATTTACCAATTTGAATGTACGTGTGGACACACATACACATGGGGAGGACTCATCAATCTGTGAAAGTAAGGGCTGGCTTCAGTGCATATTCCTAAATGGCTTCAGAAGTAAACAGAATCCCCAGAACGCATTAATGGTGAGAATAGACAACAACCTAGCTCCTCTATTGAGAAACATGAAATTGATGTTTACACATCCTTTAACTGCTTATCTGCAAAACGTGTTTGAGCCAGGGCGTATCCCAAAGTTTGTGGAAGTCCTAACTGGCAATTAGTAAGTTTAAACCACCTGTATGCATTCAAAGCAACAATTTGTCATCACGCTAAACATTCCTTGGTAAACTTTGTTTTGATACCAGTCAGGGTAGATGCACTATTAGCTCTCTCTTATTTGGTTTAGTGGTCTTCATTGTTATTTTGACCTTCAATATGTCCCTTTTAACGTGACCTAAGTCTACTTTCTCACTTCTTAACTCTTTATTAACTTCGTATATATTCCTATGACAAGTCGGTGTGTGTGTGATCAGATTGTTCGCAATGTGTTGTGCGTCCAAATACATTACAGAATTTTTTTTGATGTGGTTGTGTTCTCTGAGCTGGATGGTTAATTTGTGAAGCTTTCATTGCCCAGGCTTCTAAAAATTAGAAGCCTGGTATTCCAGTGAATCATCAATCAACAGACACGCCGAGATAGAGAAAATTTATCAACCGATAAGGAAGAAACCTCACACACAAAGGGTCAAAGTTCAAGTCAGAGAAACAGTCAGTTCCAATACTGTAATGAAATAAAAACCACCATAATGCCACTAAATAAGTTTCTTTTTCTTCTTTTTTCAGAAAGAAACGCTGACGTGGCCTCACTGGAACAGGAGGAAGATCGTTTGTCCAGACTTGTTATAAATGATGGTAATTAGCTGTGTACCCGGGTAATTCAACCCTGGCGTGGTTGAAATAAACATCTCCCTCTTGTCTCTTCGTCTTCTTCCTTTTCGTTGGTTGTGGCTGTTGCCTTGCTTGTAACAATACAAGTAGCCTAGGTGTGAAAACACACAAAAACAATCAATCACGTTCATGGTCACCCACCTGGAGAGGTGACTAATAAACTCGTGGAGAAAGCTAAAAGTTCACTTCAACGGATTGAAGTATGCGCTGAAGGAAGATGTTGCTTAGTAGGGGGCAATGAAAGCTTCGCAGGTATAAACCATCCAGCTAGCTCAGAGAACACAACCACATAAAAATCATCCACCTGAGCTACAAATCTTCTCCATCATATCTACATTACAGAATTCAGGCAAATTATATCTTCTTATTGCTTTGTCTAAACTCATAAAGGGAACTAATTGTTTTAATATACATGAGTAAGGTGGTTGGCGATGATTAACAGAAAATTTTGACCTAGCTTATCGATAACTTCAAAGGAGGGAGCTAATATCCCCCGCAGAGATTCGAATACAAGTCATTCAGTACTGCAGTCAGAAACTTTTTTACTGAAATATTCCAGCTGACCACTGACCTACTTGTGCGTCGGTGGCATAGCGGTTAGGACGCTCGCCGACCATGCACATGGTCCGGGGTTCGATCCCAGGCCGACGCACTCCTTTACCTCGCTAAGCCAGAAATAATTCTGGTAAGGAGGAAAGGTTGGGCATGAGGCTAGCAACCCCATCCTGTAAAACATAAACACTGCTACAGAAACTTCAAGCCTCTAGCTTGAAGCCCTATGTTCCACTGGGAATGTGAAGGAATAAAAAAAACTGACCTACTTACTCTGTAAGGCTGCAATGGATTGTTTACTCATGTGTAATCAATATCATATACCTAGTCCTTTGAAGTTGAAGATGAGCCTTGTTGTCACAGTTACGAATATAGACGTGAGACTTTACTTTTTTTATTTATTTTTGACTACAGCTTGATTCCATACAGTATTTCTTGATATAGGTATGGAATTTTCAGCATGTGATATCGGTAGCCCAAATTTTGCAGGCTGACCATAGATATCAGGTGTGCGTCGGCAGGGGATCGAACCCCGGACCATGTACATGGTCGGTAAGAGTCCTAACTACTGTACCACTAGTCACCGACACTTATATCAAACAAAACTGCCTGCCGATCACAACCAACTATCTAACACTAAAATCAATTCAAACTGCACCCCACTTAGCGATAACACTATTCAAATTTGATTGATGTAATCTAATCAGCACACATGATACTGGTTAATTACTAGTGATCGTGACCAATTAATGTATATTATTGAACTAATATTGTAATCTGGAGTTTAATTAGTTAGTATTCAGTGTTATTGTTTCACAAACTACCTACACTAATTTTATGTGCATACCAGTAAAAACATAAAATGCGATAACATAGCCACGAGATCACATATGATGTTGTCGACAGCCATTGTTGAGCATTATTGTCAGTAAACAACTGTTAGGAATTAAGCAATTCGTGCAAAAAAACACGCCTAATACTAAAAGTACTTCATAGTTTACAACTTGATAAAATGCTTCACAATCCAGTTAAGGAGGAAAAATGGTAATCTGAATTAAGAAGAATATTCTTTTCACAATAATTTCTCCTCTTCAGGTTCTTACAGTTATAAGATAATTATAATATTTGTGGTCGTTACAATAATGATAGCCAGTTATCTATGCGGCGGATATATTTTTTTAACGTAGAATAACAGCTTAGTTATCATGGGGTGTCAAAATAAACAGTAGTATTTGTGTGACAAACGTGCTAGGCTGAAATAGATAACAAAATATTGTAAAATCTTAATAAATTTGTAGAGTGCGGGGTAGGAAAATTGATAAGTTAGTTTCAAGGTTATAGAAGGTGTCAGGTGAGTGGCTAGTACAAAGTGGTCTGTGTTAAACAGGAGATAGTAAGACTGCAATGAGAGGTTCATCATGAAATAACGAATGTGTGAAATGAAACAGGTGGGGGCACATATTGAGAAAAGAGATAATCATGGAAAATTCCCATTGTAACATATAGAAAATCAAAACAAATGATTCAGTGAAGAGACTCTTTTCAACGAGTTTATCATCAAGCTGTACAAACGTATATATATGGTTTTTAAGAAGTTATATCCGGTGAGGGAATTGAAACATAGGTGTGAATGCATGAAATAATAATAATAGTAGTATGAAATGCAATTAAAACTAAAATGTTTGTGATTATAATCGTAGTTAAATGTCAAGTGGCAAAGCAAATTAATGTCATATATAGAATAATTCATAGGATGAATAGAACTTGAAAAAGGTGTGCAATTATAAGATTAGTAGACAAATCGAAAAATAAAAACGTTACGTAATGTTGTGTGAAATTTAATAGCATAGAATTTAATGTTGCATAAAGGAATTGATTTAGAATGACAAGTGGAACAAGTGAAATAATACCGAGGACAATTAACTACGATTATAATCACAAACATTTTAGTTTGAATTGCATTTCATATTATTATTATTATTATTTCATGCATTCACACCTATGTTTCAATTCCCTCACCGGATAAAACTTCTTAAAAACCATATATATACGATTGTACAGCTTGATGATTAATTCGTTGAAAAGAGATAATATCACTAATAATAAGTCCGGATATTGTAAACGAAAAATTCGATAGTATTGAGAGAATGTTTGCATGAAGGGCATATATTATGACGAATAATAATAATAATAACAATAATAATTGTAATAATAATATTTGTAATAATAAGCAAAGGAAAAAAAAGCCAAGAGGGTTAAGGGGAAAGAGCACTCTTGGTGAGAAGAAGAATCATCAATCCAAGTTTCGCCACAGTAGGAAACAGCGTCTGGACGTGTTCTTTTTGGATACAAAGTTCTGATTTAGTCGACCTTATTGCAACAGCTTCAGCTATGTGTAGGCGACGTAAGCGAACTGTACATGATAACGACTTCGGAATTCGGTAAATAACCCTGAAGGCTACGTTGAGGTCGATGCAATGTCCAGTATCGACCAGGTGTGACAGGATCAAGCATTTTATGCACTTAATTTCCTCCCTGCTGAACCAAGCTGGTAACTTTTCTTGAACCCGTAGACAAACTTGCCTAATCGTGCACCCTGTATAACTTGGACCACAGGAAGAGTTGAAATGGTATTTGCATGAACAAGAGCTAAGGTTAGGTAAGATATCTTGGAGTTGCTGGGTGAACATTGAACGGCTACTCAACCTTCTTAGTTTTTTCTTTCTTTGCTTATTATTACAATTATTTTTATTATTATTCGTCATAATTTATGCCCTTCATGCAAACATTCTCTCAATACTTTCGAATATTCCATTTACACTATCCGGACGTATTATTAGTGATATTATCTCTTTTCTCAATATATGCTTCCACCTGTTTCATTTCACACATTTCATGATGACCTTCTCATTGCAGTCTTACCATCTCCTGTTTAATACATACCACTTTGTACTAGCCACTCCATCACCTGACACATTTTATAACCTTGAACTGACTTGTCAATTTTTTCTACCCCACATTCTACGAATATATTTTGACTCACTAATCACCATCATTGTCTCCGATTTTACAGTATTTTGTAATCTATTTAAGCCTACTAGCACATTTGTCACACAAATACTACTATTTATCTTGACACCGTACGATAACTAATCTGTTATTCTACGTTAAAAAAATGCATCCACCGTATAACTAACTGGCTATCATTATTGTAACAACAACAAATATTATGATTATTTTATAATTGTAAGAACCTGGAGAGGAGAAACTATTGTGAAAAGAATATTCTTCGTTCAGATTGACTTTTAATTCATGTGATATGGGAATATTTCACACTATTAAACCTTATGTCAAGTGTACCTGAGAAGAGTTTCAAAAACGAGATCATGCAGTGAAAATGAAGACAGTGTCGATTACAAACAGACAACTGAAAGTTTGACAACAAGAACGGACTGCAATAACGAGCTTTTTGCGCATGTGTACAGCTGACAATGTCACGTGGAAAATCTTCAAGAAAAATAAGACGACTGAAATTGAAATCAAAAAATATGGCGCATAGCAGAATTTCCCTTAGTGATATTTCAGGCAAATCAGTTAGCCGAATACCGAAATATACAAGATTCGGATGCCGAGATGAGTCGTTTGCTTAGTAGTGGCTAGCATAGGAAGCGAGGATGCGCATTCCATCCCATCTGGGACTTGTCAACTCCACGTACTTGTATCCATAGTGAGTGACGTTGTTCCCATTATCACTTGAAACCAACACACTCATCGTTTCCACACACACATACAGTGAAGCAGTATTAACAACTGGATGACAAGGTTTCGAGCGTAAATTATTGCCACTCATAATCATATCAAGGTACGTCCCTTCTTTATACGCCAGTCTCCAACTTCCCTGTCACATAAAGAAGGAACGTCACCGGCCTTACGTAGAATTCTCAATGAGGCTGGAATTATTCAGGATGGCATTTAAACCAACCAATTCACTGAGACATAAACTTTGTCGGCTTAAGCACCAGCCCGATAGATCCAATTAGGAAAAATGATATAATTTACCAAATACTATGTAACGCAGACTATGAGGTCAATTACATAGGTCAAACTAGTAGAGCAGGGTTAACTAGATTATTGGAACATAAAAATCTAGCTAGACCTAGAATAATTGACCCTGCTAAGTCAAATAACCTAGAAAAATGCTCAGCCATTGCCCTGCATTCTCTTGCATGTAATCACAAAATAGGGTGGGATAGGGTGAGAGTATTAACAAGTAATATAGTTAGGTGAAGACAGAGAGAGGTTAATCACTGATTGAAACTTTGTTTATCGACTCAACACCACACACATGTGCTATCGGAATGACGCAACGCAATGCCTATACCGGAGATATGGAAATTGGCAATGTACAACAAAGGGAAGTTGGAGGGATAGACAGAAAGAGAGAAAATATGTATAAGACAAATTGTGAAACCGTGTAACTAAAATTGATATGATTATCAGCAGTAATAATTTATGCTCGAAACGTCATCCACTTGTCAATACTGCATCACTATGTGTTAATTAAAATAAACTTATCTAATATGGAATTTCTAAAAGTCTGGTAATCAAATGAATCAGCGATTAACAAACATACGACTATGGACTAAATCTACCAACCAATAAAAAGTAAATCACCACATGACAAAAAAGTTCAAATTCCTAGTCAGTCAATAAAAGTGATCAATAGAGACGTAAACTGACAATCAATCACGACAATTTTGATGTGGTTGTGTTCTCTGAGCTGGATAGTTAATTTGCGAAGCTTTCATCACCCTACTAGGTGACATCTTCAGCGCATACTTCAATCTATTGAAGTGAGCTTTTAAATTTCTCCACGAGTTTATTAATTATCTCTCCTGGTGAGCTTGGACGTGATTGGTTGTTTTTGTATGTTTTCACACCTTCTAGGCTACTTGTATTGGAACTGATTGTTTCTTTGACTTGAACTTTGACCCTTTGTGTGTATCGTATCCACGAACATAAGATAGCCGTCAAAAGACATGACATCCACTCCCTCATATCACTACATACAGACAACCACGGGCATCAATTCGACTGGGACAACGTTCAAATATTAGACAACAGAGGAAACACGAAGAATGCTAGAGAATTTTTAGAAGCTTGACATTCCAGTGAATCATCAATCAATAGACACATCGAAATTGACAAAATTTATCAACCGATCAGAAGGAAATCTCACATACACAAAGGGTCAAAGTTCAAGTCAAAGAAACAATCAGTTCCAATACAAGTAGCCTAGAAGGTTGTTTTTCAACATCTTTTCGAGAATCATAAATTCTTCCTCTAGTTTCTCTGCAGAGAATATTCTACTAGCTCTATAGTACAGAGTCTTAACTAGTGCTCGTTTAAGGTTATTTGCACTGAAGATGTTGTCGAGGTGGGGACTGGGGGATAACGAAAGCCTCTCAATTAAATCAACCAGCTCCTCAGAGAACAAAACTAAATCAAAATAAAATTCACTCTTAAAAAACACATCAAAATTGAACAAAAGAAGGAGAAAAAAGGAAGAAAATCAGTTAACCTACCAGTATTATGACGTATCACATTTGTTAATGCTTCCAGTGCAGAAGTAACATTCATTACACATTGACTGGTAATATGTGAAGCTTCTGCAGCCCAATCAATTTCACCATCATCATCTAAGCTAACTGGATCATCAATAGAGATGACTTCTTCTCTTTCTTTTGAAGTGAATTCCAACTCTGAATTAACACGATTTGTCCGGGACAATTGATCACTGGAGTAGAGTTTCTCTGAATTGAGATTTTGTAATTCAATTGTTAGAAATTGAAATAGATCGATAATGAAACCTTTAGGATCCTGAGAAAAAAAGTTTAGAGAAGAAGGTGAGAGGGGGGGCACTACATAAAAATCTACGCTGTATTTCAGTATATTATAACAAGTAACACTAAACGTGGAATTTCTGAACACCACTCACATTGGCGTTAGACAAAAGACCAAATACTGGAAATCAATTCCACACTAACCACCTCTGTCATACTTTAAGAGTTCGATTGTTAAATGCTGCAGAGGGAATCTGAATTCAATTGAATATAAGTTAAATCTAAGTGTTCAAAAGAAATTTGCACAACTCCTTTATTTGTCTTCGCTCTCCACTTAATACTGCACAGAGTCGTACGTGTAGTGAACCCCTACTCTCAACTCACTGCTTTCGTGTATCGAAGGTTGCCGGTTTCGCACCAACCATTTAAGGGGGGATAACCTGCAGTGCACCTTGAATGTTTGAATTTCTGTTTTAAAGCATTCATTGAATATGGCGCCACGCCATCTTGTTATTTCCGGCGTGACTGTACGCACACACGTGGTTCGCTCCCTTGTTGTGCTACCCACTAAGCGCGCTCTTACAGCTTACAGCCGGGCAACAGATAAGTTGTACAACATTCTTATTTTATACGGCTGACTTATATTTAGTATTTACTAGCCGAAACATGATTCAACAATGCGTTAAGGATAAACTACCGCTTATGTCCACCTCTATGTGCATCTATTCTCATTCACATGCTTGTGTGGAGTTGATTACATTGGACGTTTTAAGCGTGATCTCCGTAAATGTGTGGCTGAACACTTTCCAGTTTGGTCAATGAAAGGTGAGAAAAGGACGACAAAGTTTTCAATCTGTGAGCACCTTCTGGAGTCACATCATTCAGCCCCCCACAAGTGATTTATCCTTTAAAGTTATCTACAGAACTAAATCCAATCACTCCAAAAGCATACGTTTTCTCCATTTATGCATAACCGAAGCTCTAACCATACATGAACAGAAAACTAAATTATGTGTTCAAAAACGTTTTGTTAAACCCCTCTCTTTACCTTGGTCATATTGTTATGTTCTTTTATTTTATTCTATTTTACCACTTGAATTCACTCCACTTCACTTCACTCCCGCCGTCTTTATTGTTATCATCATCGTACTCTTAATTTTCCAGACAACACCTGACCTACGATTTTAAAAATCTTTAATCTTTAAAAGTTTTGTTATTCATCCACTTCAACTCTACCACGCCCCCACTCAGTACATCACTTTAGTTATCTTTATTCTTATCATCATACGTGCAATATTCACTTCTGAGCGATTTCTAGTGCCCCCACTTAATGCCTTCTTTTTTCTCCGTAATATAAATACGACTGTACAGCTGGCTTCGAAATGAAGTCGTTGAGAAGAGATAAGTTTCTTCGCTGAACGGAAAAAAAACAACTGTGTTTTTCCTTATGAATTAATGGGTATATTTTACGACTAGTATTAAAGTCACACCTTGTGTTGATTTAATCATGAAACAATATGAGTTAGAGTGTCACTAGGACTAGGAATAAAGAATAAAACTCCATCTGAAGTTAACCGATTTTCTCATTCATATGTATCAATATGACTGACTGTCTTCAGCTATTACGTAGTTGAGAGAGTTTGAGTGGGATGATTTCATCGCCACAAAACCTTCATATCGATAGACGCGAATGGCAACTTGAAGTCAAAAAATGGCAAGTATCCTATGCCCAATATTCCTGTATGTGTCCCATAACTTTTCGACAGCGAATATCCAATCAAAGCAACGTGATTCAAGTCTGAAGCCTAGCTGGTATTTTTGTGCATGTAGTATTCGCAAAACAACGTCAATGGCTGATGATCCACACTAGTCCAGGTCATTTTCTCAGCCATCACATGGTTATGGTGTATTCCTTATTGATCCGACTGATAGCTGCTGCCTTTACGTAGTGGGTGGAATAACATATCTCAGTGGCCTGAGGAGCTACACTCGCTGAAATTGATGTTTCTCCATGGCCCAATCATACTAAAAAGATCATTCGGACAGCGGTAGGACTAAAACAGGTTAACATTATAATGTAGGTCCCTCACCCTATGTTGGGGGTCCGTGGGGAAAATTCGTACCTTTGGCAAGTAGTGACGTAACAGAAGTAAGGTGTTTCACTCAGATGACCAGAAAGCCAGATATACTGCTTCTCTGCTCTAGAGAAGGAGGTTTAGAAAAGATAAACCCCAAATATTGTACATCCTGACTTAACCTGAGGAGGTCAGTGGTTGACGATTAGATCCTAATACTGTCGCAATTCAAAAAACCCAATTCAAACAGGTAGTGTGTAGCTGACCTCAAGCTGTTATCCCCTGGGCTCTCTCTCTCTTTTAGGTACTTCAAGAAGAAGTCAACTTCCATGGTGAGGGCAGCCTGGAAGTAACAACCACCCACACGCCTCTAAAAGCAAACGCTATTCTCCTGATCACCACCACATTCGGGCAGGCCTACCTCAGTTTTCTGTACATCAGCAAATGACTTGGTTACTACTCCAGCCGACAGTTGATCACCATAATCCTTAAGTACCTCTAAAGCCCTACAGTTTTGCATTATTTCAGACTATAAACAACTTCCGCAACCTCAGATAGAATTGTTGAACTAATATTGAGTTCCCCACTCAATCTTAGTTTGGATAGTAGGCAACTGTTGTAGCACAGCTGAATTGTTCTGCCCAGGAGTTACTTGTCAACGGGATAATACACATGTAAAAAGGATAAATAATACACAATAAACAGATTTGTCTTACATCAAGTGCATAAGATGGTTGTTTATTGTACAGCCTGACAAATACTTCACCAATCAGTAGCTCTTGAGCATATGCTTCATGTGTAAAGGTTAGAACAGAATTCGGATTGCATTCTCCCTTGTTTATGCCAAAGCCGAAACAAATAGAAAAAAGTTAAAAAAACAAAATAAAAGATACATGAAATTACAAGTAATAATAAAAATAAATATATATTTGACATGCACATTAAGAGGGATTTCGATCCCACTGTAGATTCCTTCCTGAATCAACATCAGTTGAAGGAATATCCGAAAACTTGGAGCAGAGAACAGCTTTTCATCTTTGTCTGGGACTCTTCAGTAACTAGAATTCATTGGTTACTGCGTTCCAACGCGGTAGCTGAATGGTAAAACAGTCGGCGTTGTTGTCAAAAGGTGCTAAGTTCGATTCCCCGTGGAGTCGTTAGTGTATACTGGTGAAGAGCCTCAAACTAGGACGAAATAACTGTTTAATGCTCCTTGTCGGTTTATGACTAAGACTTCATTGGAACAAATCAAATCCCTCGGCCCGCCCCCTCCTACTGGCAGGAAAACTAAGTACTACTCATACATATTCAGAATTTCGGTAAATTCCTTTGAGTTGTTCATTTATATTTCAGTGGAAAATTTCTGGTGATTAATAAATATTCTCATCACCAATTTTCTACAACCTTCATCGATTCTTACCATCTGGAGGACCCCAACCAGCAAGTCAGTCTACACCTCCCGACGTGGCTGGTTTAAACTAACTGTTATGGATATCACTGACCAATGAAGCCATGTTTTAGTTTGACCACCGTTAGCTCTTTTCCAACCTGATCCATCCTATGTCAGTGAACACTACCCATCGAGGAAGACGATGGCATGCGTAGCACATATCTTGACCATCTCTCTCAATCAATGTGACTTAACAACCTCGTCGACCGATTTCCCCTCCCACCTACCTAGCACTCGATGTCTAATCTCAACATTGCTCACCTTATTATACCACCTAACACGAGAGATAGAACGCAGATACCTACAATCAAAAACAGTTAGCCATTTCGTATCTTCCACTTTCAATGGCCAGGTTTCCCAGCCGGTCATGAAGGAGGACAGAACGAACTGCTGAGTAGTACACACACCCATCGGTCGACAGCCAGTCGGATATCACGTCTACTAAGCAAGAGATGGCGTAATTTGGCATATGCCAAACACGCCTTTTGTATCCATGCTGAGATTTCTTCAGCGATCAACCATCTCTATCTTCTGAACACTATTTGTTACAGGTGATTAGATTGCACATTCGACAAAATGAAAAAGGGCCAACCTAAAGAATAGCAACCACGCACCGATAACCTTGAACGCACGTCATTCTCGTTGGATTACAGAACCTATCGTTAATAATACAGCACCGTTGTGAACACACTGTGCACAAATAGATGTACACATTTGATTCTGATCTCATTTTTAGGTACTGTTTCGACAATGGGGTTGAGATAACACGTTAAGGTTGGAATTAGTATTGAGGTTAGGGTTTTATTGTCATTGTCTGTATTTTTCTTGTAAATGGATAAATAAATGGGATGAGAATGTTTCGTTGTTCATATAGATGAAACCGTTTTGATAGCTCTATGAAACTTTAAAACTGATACATCTCATTGTAATTTGAAACTAATTTCCAATTACGTCAGGGTGAAATATCATCTTTAATGTGTTTCATGATTATTACTGAGTTAATTTTTCTCGGAAATAAACGACTTTTTGACGTATAATACACAACAGGCTCTATAATCCAACCACTGGGATGCATTCAACATCATTACTGCGTCCCACATTCCGTAGTCGCTATTCTTTATGTTCCCAGTAGAACATAGAGGGCTTCAAGCTAGAGGCTTGAAGTTTCTGTAGCAGTGTTTACTTTTACAGGATGGGGTTGCTAGCCTCATGCCTAACCTTTCCTCTTTACCAGCTTTATTTCTGGCTTGGCGAGGTAAAGGAGTACGTCAGTGGCCGGGGATCGAACCCCGGACCATGTGCACGGCTGGCGAGCGTTCTAACCACTGTGCCTACAAAAAATTTCTCGAAAAAAGAAACTAACACGCACACACACGAAAATTATAAAATGAAACTTACAGTTTTAATCAAACGAACCACCTGAAAGTCGATCAACGTTTCCAATTCAGCTCTACATCGATTATCCCATATTAAATACGGTGTTACAGAATTTGTTGTCAACAACTTAGCCAATGAACGTAAATACTTTCCTCTAGGTGTATCCGGTGGGAAATCGTGTATTATTTGTGAATCACTCGTACTACCCGATCGGCCAACTTGACTTGAATCGTAGACATTCAGCTCAAGAATTTTACGTGCTAAATGTGGTGTCAGTAGTCGGCTCAATGCCTCCATAACATCTGGTCCTTCACGAGCTAGAAAACCGTCTTCTGTTACCTCACGACCAGTAGTATAACTATTCACCATTCGGCCGATAGCCCATAAACACAGCAGAGCTAAACGATTAGCAACCACCTGAAATTATAATGAGAATACACAGAGATTGTACTAATTGTATTTTCTTTTTTTAATGCGGAAATTTGTTATATTGCTATAATGAATTTCATGAAAACAGGATAGAACTTGACTAATCCAGTTGGCATTAGTTAATACATGGGTAGCCAAATAATACCATGAATGCAGATAGAATAAGGAGTCATGATTACAGGGTTGTTAAACTGCTCAAGGCAAAGCATCCGTACGTACTAACGAATGAATGACCTTGAACGCACCAATCACATGATAAGGGCGATATTTGCGTATAAAACACATACGTATATCCATGATAAGAATGAATTAATAAAAGGCATGAAACTGCTACACAGCATGTTTTTCTCTGATGTGTGATGAAAATGCCTATCAGTTTTGGCATTGGAGCATCAACAGAATATTGTTGATATAAGTATAAAACTTGGGCACTGTGGTAGAGTAAAACTTCATTATGGATAAGATTTTTATTTTGATAAATCACACAGTGTTCGTATACAGTAATGTTTACCGATAACCACCTTTCGAGTACAATTTATTACTGCTCATAATTATATCAAGGTACTTACTCACACAACTTTCTTGACTCATTGATACATGATGATTAGACATTTGAATAAAATCAATATAAGATAAAGTACATTGGGAAACAATATTAGTGTTATCAATAAAATACAATAAGATGGGAAATAAGATTTTTTTATAGTAAAATAAATAAGCAACTTGTTAGAATGTGAAATGAATTGAATACATTTTAACATTATCTATTATCCTCCTCTGATTTGACTGGTGGTAATAATATCTTCCATATCTCTGGTATTTGCATTGAGTCACTTCTATTAAGCATGTGTTGGGTGTAGATTATTCGATGAACCAAGATTCACTAATCGATCTCTCTCCCCACCCACCTAGGTATATTACTTTTGGAATTTTGACTCTGTCCCACACACTCTATTGTGTGGTTGCGTGTTAAGGCAAGCAGTGCGATTGCTGATTTCTTTTTCCAAATTACTCATCCTCGTGGGATCAATCATTCTAACCTTAACTAAATTCTTATGTTCTGACAATCTAACTACTCTTGATCTACTAGTTTGACTGACCTATGTAGTTGACTTCAGTCACAGTCATTGTAAGGTATTTTGTAAATTATATTACTTTGTTTAATTGGGTTCTTTAGCCTACAGAGCTCGTCACTGAGTGAGTGGGCTTGTATGTTTGAATGCCATCCTAATTTCTCCTTTGTTGGGAATCCTACGAAGGGCCTCAGATGTCCGCTCTTTATATGCTATAACAGTAGATGCCTTATATTCTCTCTTATTTATGTTATCTTTATGATTACTTTCACCATTATTTTTACTTTGCTTTTGACCGTTTCTGATCTTCCTAATGAATTTCATAGGATAGTTATTTATTTAACACCGACCAGCTATTCTTCTATCTGTTTCATTTCTAAACAGGAGTAATTTAACCACATTCTGTGCATGTATTTATCTAAGTCTTCTAACCCTAACTCTAATCTTTCCTGAACCTAACCCTAACATCAAAATTTTCCTAAACTAATCTTAATCTAACTCGAATCAACCTTAATACCGCTCTCATTAGGTTAACCTAATCCTAACCTGTCTTGTCCTTAGCCTAAACCTTAACTTAATCATTCCCAAACCTAAGCTAAAACTTTTCAGATATCCCGTTTAATTGTCATAACACTTCATCAAGCATATTTCATTCATGATAACAGTATTATTTGCCTAGTTTTACTAACTTGGTCATTAGTATGTACTTTTGTTTTTATTTTACTGAGTAATTGTCATGAACTTTATTTTATTATTGTTAACCATGTTAGTTGTAAAGCGGTTGTAAAGAAACTACGAAATGATATCATCTCGCGAAATTTGTCTTCTTAATGCCTTATTCAATTCTTATCAATAAAAAAAATCAATCTGCACTTCTATCCTCCTTAAAATGACACATTTTGCTAGTAGTGTATTTATCATTTATCAGTTTAATGCAAAGCCAAAACTACAGTGACCTTGAACAACCAATCAGAATTCAGAAGCAATAAGGTCGTATAATCGTTGAAAAATACACTAAAAACCATTACAAACATGATATTATACCAAATATAATTGTCGCTTATGTATTGTAAGAATTTCTCCCAGTCAATATACACAGAGGATCCTATACAGAAATCATACCATGTGTGATAGATGCATTCAACGAGGTGACTGCAGGTCATGGTACTCAGAGATCTATTGGTGTTTCTGATGCAGTTCTTTGACCTAACCCTAACTCTTACTCTAATCCTAACCTTCTAGTATACACTTACAAAAAAAATAACTAGAAAATAAGCAGAATACTGAATCAGCCTTCTCCAAGTCAGGAAAGGCAGGCATGATTTTATTTGGAATGACCTATCATGACATTCCGTGTATCTGATTGGTTCTTGAAGGTCAATTTTTTGAAGACCTTGGCTTTGGCTATAACACTTCAACCTCGCCCAAAAATCTTTATCCAGTTTTAGTTGGTAAGGATTTAACTGGTTCCAGTTTCGATAATAGGTAGATAGGTATCAGTGTTAAAATAATCATTGATAACCGTACGAGAGTACTGAACAGCTGTTTCTCACTAGTTTGAGACTCTTTAGCAGCAGTACCCATGACCCATTCCACCGACGACAGTATCCAGAATCCTAAGCTAATTCATCATTCACAGCCGCCACTGGGAGAGAATCCAATGGCCTATCATCGTTAGGCAATGCCGTCGGGGAGTATCTATCTTTCAGACCCGACCTGGTGGACCCAATGAGGCACGGATTCACACTAGGAGACTTCATGTTACTCTATCCTATAATTAGTCATTATAGAGCATAGGAATGGTTTGGTCACAGATTGATATCACTTAATGAATCAATGAAAACCGGTGTTATGGGAGTGTACCACTGAAGAGTCCCGGACTAAAGCGAAATAGTCATCGATTTCTCCATGGTATTCAATGGTTCCCTGACCAATGTCAGTCTGTGACCAAAACTGAGATCAGTTAAATCCCTGCAAAAAACGCTTGATATCATATGGTTGCAGGCAATCAGCAGGAAGATTTCAACCCCGGTGTCTCCAGTTTCAAAAAACTGGACACATGACATTGTTTAATACTCATTAGCGACCAGCGATACAGTCATTACAGTCTTACATGAGGATAACTCAGTGATAATGCCTCGGACTACAGAAGTGAGTGAAGCCAGGACATAGATTCTTTTGAGATGGTAGACACAAGTTACTGGCATGTACCAACAAGAACTTTACGTAGCGTACTAAAGTTACCAGTTCAAAACATCAATCAATGCATTATAATAATTATTGTTCCCTTGGGTATCGAATGGAAAATAGGGCTTCGGTAGCGCATTTCCATTTTGTAAGACAAAAACGTAAACACTGAATAAAATAATTTTTTCAACGATTCATTTTCAAAAGCTGCTGTACAATCGTAATTATATTTAACGAAGGCTTCATAAGACGACCAATCAAATTCTGGTAAAGTCTGTCATCAAAAACGTATTACATGATGTGAGGTGTAGTCTAGAAGGGGTGACCAATTGGAAAATAGAAAAGGGGGAGTAGTTGTCTGAAGAAAATATTTCAAGCAGCCACCTTATGCATCACATTCTCCAGTAGACAGTTAATCCAGTCTAACGTTAGGGATAAGATACTCCAATGGCTACCTCAATGTGTATTTATCAGTTTACTTGTTCGTGTGGAGCAAAGTATATCGGTCGTACGCAACATCAAGCCTGCAAACGTGTTCTGGAACACTGTCTAGCTTGGTTAGTCAGAGGAGAAAAGAGGAATACTAGAAGTGTAACAGCAGAAGGCAAGACACGGAAGCCAAGGTTTATATTTCATTGATCAAACCGCTGTTTATATATATATATATATATATATATATATATATATGAGAATAATATTCCTAAGGAACACATTGTCCGTATCTCATCACCACAGTAGCTCCATCCTCAAACACCTTGTCAACCCTAGACATCGAGCACTCCAGCATGAATGCTTCACAGTGCTACACAGAGTCTCTTAATATCACACGAAAGGACTTCGAATACGCCATCTGTACATAGCTGAATCATTGGCTATTCGGGATCTGAAACCGAACCTCTGCATTCAAAAGCACCACATACATTCACTCGCCCTACCGCAGCCACAATAACATTCTTACTATAATTTTGCCCCTTTTTACTAAGTAAGTTTACTATTATTATTCTCACCGTCCTTTTATTACTATCACTCTACTACTGTTTATTATTAACATTGCGTTTTCATACAGGCTTTATAATAACACTATCGCCTTTCTACTAGTTCCTATCCACTCTACACAACTACACTAATTAGTCACTTTCTCATACAACATCCCAACTTCTACCCTTTTCCTAATTTCCAACTAGTCACCCCTTCTAGAGTACACCTTACGTTACGTAATACGTTTTTCGATGACAAATTTTACCAGAATGATTGGTTGTCTTATGATTTCCTATTGTACAGCTTATGAAAATAAATCGTCGAAAAGAAAATTTTCTTCGCTGTTTACATCCCGCCTTTTCTCATAACTCAATAAGGGAGAATATTTCGTTCATCTATCTTCACTAACTGGCTTCAAAATTGACCAAAAGCCTTAATTTCCTCCTCATAGGATTTTCTCCATATCACCCTCAGACACACATGTCCGACTTGTCGTTTCCCATTCGGCTTCCACTCGAAGGCCCCATGTGTGATGTCAATCAACGGTTTCCTCAGAGTTCGGCACAGCGATAGAATGCTCGCCGACCACACAGGTGGTTGAGGGTTCGATCATCGGCCACCGACGCACTCCTTTACCTCTCTAAGCCAGTAATAACACCTGTAAAGAGGGAAGGTTGGGCATGAGGTAGCAAGCAACCCACCCTATCCCATAAAAATAAACACCACTGCTACCGAAACTTCAAGCCTCTAGCTTGAAGCTCCCTATGTTCCACTAGGAACGTAAAGAAATAAAAAAACAGTAATGAAATAATAATTATTATAATGATAAACTAATAAAATAGATAAAAAAAACCATGATAAGCATACTTGTGAATTAGTCTCCTCGTTAATCTCGACACCCGCCTCTTCCAAAGTGAAATCATAAGCGAAAACATGTTGAAGTAGTAGAAATAATCCGCCATATTCATAACATGTAACGCATAACCAATAATCTATACAAAATGATGCTACGCATACGGCTGTTTTACAACAGAGTTGAGGTAAATTCTATAAAAAAACAGGAGACAAGGGCGGGGGGATGGAGAGAGAGAAAATAAAACATAAAAATTAAATTTGAATGAGAAAAACCAATGTTATCATTATATTAATCTTTTCCTGCTCCACTGATAAGTGACCTGTTCAACGAAGGAAGACCTTAGCATAAAGAAATCTCTCCAGCATGGCAAAATTGGATGAAACGTACAGGAAAGAAACTTTATGAAACTATACGGGACGCGAGACAGAATGTAAGTCGAAGTATGTGCACAGTCATTGATTTCTCCTTGAAGTATCTGAAATAGAAGGAGCATAAGTGTTACATGAGAGCATTACACAGACAAAACTGCTTGAGACTGGTCACACACAGCCTGTTCCAAGTTGTTTTTGGATATTATCGCCGGCTTCAGACCACCACAAGGTGAGTCGGGATGTATACATTTCGGGATCGATTCCTCATCAGAGTGGAGAGGCAGCATACCTACCCGGTTTGCTGGTCATCGGAAGGAGATGCCTTAATGTTCTCACTTTTCTGTTTACTATAAGTAGGACTTCGCCCACGACCCCCTCAACATAAGGAAAGCGACTTACACCAATGTTGGTAATTGCTTCAGTCTAACTATTATCCTAGTGACTGTTTTTAGCAAAGTACAGCCTGGAGGAATATATGTTTTAGCCAGTGTATCTTGATAGATCATTACGATATGCAAGTCTGACCCACCACGTCAGGTGGCAGCTATAAGTCGGGAGGAGACATAATACTCAGATAAAGATTGACAGTTGATAGGAAGCAGTCATAGTCTTTATTTTGTGTCAGTTGATTCCTGTCAACCTGCTCTTGTCGGCATTACTATACAGTTGGATAATTTAAAATAAAAAGGGTACTGCAAGAATATTTCACACTATTGTCTGTCTGATCATCTTGTAACGTGTACTACTGATAAGATTTATCAGTAGTATATACAAAGAGATGTTCATCGGCATTAAAAACATGAAATAGCAGGGAGATAAACTTGATGTCAAAGAAAGCAAACTATACAGCGTTGAGGAGGTACATGGGAGACGTCAAAGGAACTCAAAGAAATGCAGTATGAAGGAAGATCAGAAGTGGCACGATACTGAAGATCTGTGCAAATGGTGCGTTGAAGATAAGATGTACATAATTTCGCTAAATAGAGAAACAAAATTCCAAGTCTTTTGTCTTCTATCGTTACAGTAGTAAAGCGCTACACCTATTCTGTAAGGGTTAATAATGTTACTTTCCTATTCAAACATCAGTAGACAAAGACACAGTTTAAACCTATAAACTACTTGGTTGGAAGTTGAGCGACTAAAGTAATGGAACTACAAGTCTTACTTCATTGCTAATAAAATATGTAATACAAGCTAACAGGATGGTCAAAATATCTCAGTAGTATTGTGTTTAGAGAATGTATTTATTGAACGTTGCAGATATTTCCCTATCAACAAAATATATGCCTTATGAAGAAGTAAAACGTGGAATAAGTCGCTTTTATTTTCAGTCAGCCTGCTTCAATCACTGAAGCTATCGAAGTACTTGAACTCTTTTGAATTTGTTAGCTGAATTTCATCATGAGCTGCTGACATCATTTAGAGAACCATTAGAAAACCAACTGAGAGAACTGGGCAGATGTTTACTCCTAGTTTGTGACTCTTCACCAGTAAGCACTCGCCGCTGGGGTCCGAACCCAGGACCTTCTGGTTACAAGAGTAGTGAGCTCCTAGAGCATTAAGCCACTGGCACCCGATCAAATAGCTCATGAATTTCAAATTCTGCCAATTCAAGACATAGCAAGACCACTTCGCAATGTCTTCTTCAATGACTAACATAACATTGGATCGGGTCCTACTGGCTTAATGTTCTACGAGGTTGCTCGCCTTGCAAACCAGAAGGTCCTGGGTTCGAACCCTGGTGGTGGGCGCGTACCGATGAAGAGTCCCAAACTAGACTGATGAAACAGCTGTCCAGTACTCCCTGCTGGTTTTTCAATGGTGGTTCTCTAACTGATGTCAGCTCATGATGAAATCCTCCAACCAATCAAACAGAATCCTTACAAAAACCAACAGATGAAAATCTTTTGAATTTCTGATTGCTCTAGTCATTCCAATGATCAGTCCATAAAACTAGGGGACATTTTTAATTATCTTTCAACAAAAGGCGCTGTGAAGCTTTTGAAGGAAATGAAGTAATAATATCGTAGAGAATTGATTCTTTCTTCACATGGAACAACACTGCATCATATGGTATACTGCAGATTATTATTATTTGACTAGTAGATCCTGTACGAAGAGGAGCTGTTTCGCAACTATATGAGCTGAGAATTTGAAGAAATTAAAGCCAAAACCACAGTGACCTTGGACAGCCAATCAGGATTCAGACGCAAAGAAGTCGCATGACCGTTGAAAAATACACTGAAAAATATTGCAAACTTTATATTACACTGTATAGTTGTTGCTTATGTGTTGTAGGAATTTCTCCCAGTCAATACACAGATGATCTGTAGAGAAATCATACCATGCGCGATACACCTATTCATCCAGGTGACTGTAGGTTGCGGTACTTTGAGATCCATTGATATTTCCGACACTATTCTCCAACCTATTCCTAACTCTAACCATAATCCTAATCTTCCAGTATAAATTTACAGGAAAAGTACCTAGAAAATAAGTAGTATACTGAATCTGCCTTCTCCAAGTCAGGAAAGGCAGGCATGATTTTATTTGGAATGACCTTTTATGACATTCCCTGTATCTGATTGGTCCTTGAAGGTCAACTTTTGAAAGACTTTGACTTTGGCTATGATACTTTAACTTCGCTGAGAATTTCTGTACTGTTGTGGTGACAGCTGTCTGCAAGACAAAATTGTAGACAACAATTTACGTCAATGTTTACGTCCCGAATCGGAGTCATGAGAAAAAAAACAAGAACAAAGCCTAACCTTGAGGAACTCAACAACCAATCACATCAGACTTTGCGTGGGCGGATACGATTCGCAGATATATATCAACGGACTGTCTAAGAAACAGCAACGAATAGATGACAGAATAACCTTCAGTAGGAAAACAACCAATCAGAAGACGTTGCTTCTCTGCTAACAATAACGCTAATAATAATGTACATAAAAATCTATAAATATCTGTTGATTTTCTCAATAAACGATATCTGTTGGCTGGCCCTTGTCTTCTGTCGTTACACTATGTATTAACATACTGTCTGAAGTAAAGCTTTATTATTATTATTATTATTAAATGATAGAGATGTGGATTTTACTGGGCTCAAAATCATCTTTCGACATATAATTTATGGTTGAAATTAGAAACACCTTAGGGAAGATTTATACAAATACATGTTAGCGAAGTAGACAAAAGTATTTTCATTTACGGCAAAGTTTTTGTTCAACCGAGGTGAGGATGACCCATGATTTAAATTATGAAACAAAATGTTCAGGGTTCCACGGGAGGGTGGGTGTAGTTTAAAACGGATTCAATTCACCGAGATGAATCTATCTAAGTACACAGCTGATGAGGTAGGAGCCCAAATTAACGAAACGCCTGTTATCTGATGTTAAAAATCTTTCGAGCAAGAACGCTACTGGTTGACACGAGTGATTACCAACTATTCACATTACATCAATCAGCGATATTAACTGTCAAGTATTATTATGATTTTACTTTCATCTCTTCAAATAGGATTCTTCTAAACAGAAGCCTAGAATAAGTACAGTTAAGCTAAATAAAGTTGATAAATATAAATCCAAGAAATAACTCACTTTATAGTACAATAATCTCATTGTATCTTTTACCAACTGTGGTGTCTCTTGAATATGTTGACGTGAAGTCGGGAATAATGATGCAGCAGCCAATACAGAAACAATATGACCACAGACTTGTACAATTATGTGGGACGGTTGACTTGATGTTCGAGATAGCAGATTTGAACATTGTGAAAATGCTTTCTGCAATACGGGTATACCATTTTCACGGCGTAATTCTTCTGCATTCAATACACTAGTAACAACTGTTTCATAAGTGAGCTCTGTGGCAGCCACCAGGAGGACAGCATTCTCTACAGTCTCAGTTGGTTGACTACTACTACTGCTCTTGCCATCACCAGGAGTGGTTGGCTGACCAGTGGTGGTTTCCTCCGTACTTTCACTTTGATCTGTTTGTGTTCCATAGGAGAATAACTTGTCTTCAGCTGTTTCAGCGAGTATTGTAGCCACTAGCATTGGGTAACCAGCATATTTTTGTGATAGAAGTACTAGATGACGGTGGAAAGGATAAAAGGAGTTTGTGAGAACACTAAATATCTATATATCTATATATATATATATATGCTTATATACATATTGAGAAAGGAAAAAAACTCTAGTATTTCACTTCTAGACATCCTAATGACCAGAAAAGAGAACGGCACAATAAGAAGAAGTGTACATGGAAAACCTACATCAACGGGTCAGTATAATACTCATTTTCTCAGCTTCGTACCCTTGAAATACAAACGCAATGTGATAGATAAAGTGCTTGGTCCACAGAGGAAGAGCAATTCGCTCGGATGAATGTCTTGATGAAGAACGTAATAATATTAAACAGTTACTGAGTGAAAATGGTTATACAGAAAAGTTTATTGATAAGAATATGAATCAAACCAAGTTACCAACAGTTCCAATAGAGGCGGCTTTCAAAGTCATTCACAGCATATTAACAAATCTTAACTTCGCATTAAGAGTTCGACTACTAAATATTGTTGAAGCTGACTGTTGAGATCCATATTAACAAGCCTAATTTGTGCTTCCAAAAGAAGTTAGTTCAGACATTATCCTTACCCCGCTGGCCATCTAGGTTTGAATGATCCTGAATTTTTGTGGAATTTTCCTAAATTTAGTTGATATTCTATTTGCTACTATATCTTTATTATTATTATTATTATTATAATTTAAGCATCTTTAATGAACTGTGGTAATTCCACTGTGATCTTACTTTACAAATCGATATTATTTAAAAAACACTAATATTGTTACTGACTACTAATTTAGAATATTCCATGTATACAAACATATATACAATAGTAGAGCCAGAAGGGGAAATTGTCGAAAAGGATGTTCTTTGCTCAATTGTTTTGTTTTTTATATAAAGGATTATTATTCTCACGAACCATAGTGTTTGTTCACTGTATATTTGTCCTACCTAACCAAAAATGAGCAAAGCTTGTTGAGGTGAATTAGTAAGAAACCAAGACCTTCGACTTCACACTTGTTGCCAATCGTCAGCAAGGCATATCTGCGGACAGCCTCGATGGAACTATTCCCCCCCCCCCCCCAGAAGAAATCCAAAAACACATCACCCAGTTCTGCAGTAAAAATGTGTAATGACTAAGCTATTCAAATTGCTGTTCATACACCAAAAGACGAGAACAGTTCTGTTCATATAAGTATAGAATCCATGACGAACAATCCCCTGTTCAATTCAGTCAACGAGAATACTTAACTGGTATGAGACTTTGATTCCAATATAACGCCAAGAAATCTTTTTTATTCCTTCACGTTCCCAGTGGAACATAGGGCTTCAAGCTAGAAGCTTGAAGTCTCTGTAGCATTGTTTATTTTTACAGGATGGGGTCGCTAGCCACATGCCAAACCTTTCCTTTTTAACAGCTTTTTTATTTCTGGTTTAGCGAGGTAATGGAGTGCGTCGGCCGGGAATCGAACCCCGGACCATGTGCATGGTCGGCGAGCGTCCTAACCGCTATGCCACCGACGGCAAGAAATACATGCAACTATTCAATCCATCTGACCGAAAGGTAATTTTCGAGAGTTAACGTGTAGACATTTGTTTGGTTTAAGTTTAATAACGGAATGATGTCATTTACAGAACCCCTAAAAATCATTGGGGTCCACCACAAAGTCAGGTGTGGAGATAAATGCTCGTAAATCATATCGGCTGGTGATTGGGCTAAACTCAAGAATTAACACAAGTTAGAATCCGTATCAATGACTGAATGGTCAACAAGCTTCACCTCGTAGCCCGAAGGTCCCAGGTTCGATTCCCAGCGGAGTCCCTGGTGTGTACTGATGAAGAGTCCCAGCTATCCAGTCATCCGTATTCGTGGCTAGAGAGCCACTGGGATCCGACCCAATGGTCAGTCCATGAATTCCAACTTCTGCCAATTCACGATATAGCGCGACCGCTAGCCAATGTCTTCGGCGGCGAGTATTTCTCCTCACACCCAACCTGCTGCACCCTACTGGTCACGACGTCCCACTAAAAACCCAGGTAACTACCTACCTGAATAAGGCTAGTCGCTAGAAGGTCCTGGGTTCGACACCTGGCTGCGGGTGCGTACCGATGAAGAGTCCCAAACTAGACTGACGAAACAGCTGTCCAGTACTCCATCCAATGAAATATAAATTTGACACGAGAAAAATATATTCAACAACGATTAGCTAACGGGCTGTAGAACTTTCAAAGACTATAAAGACTGAACATATCTGGGATAATGAGAACAGTCGTGAGTCATCAATCACAGATAGTATCTGGCCATCGATTCTTAGCTTTTCTCAAGAACTCAGAGAGTCAACCTAAACCATTCTATGTGGATCAGGTTAATACACAAGGAATTCATAGTGTGATCACCTCAAACCAATTTTCAAATAAATTCTGCTTTTGTTAACGCTGCTATAGTCAGTAACGTGTATTAGGAAACACACATTATAGTTCTTACACACAATGAAGGTTTTACAAATTTCACTTACAAAATTCATCTCCGACATGCAGAGTAACCTGTACTGAATTACAACGACACCGGTTCTTAGGATCTCGAAAACAGCAGTCAGACAAGTCTATGTCTCCTTACATGGCTCAAACCAACAGGCGAAGAATTCATGGATTGATGACACACCTTTAACTCTTCCCCAACCACCCACTCTGATGTTACCTAACATTACTTGACGAGGTTAACGATAGTTTGGCATGCTTAATACATTTCCCGGACATCTTGTTCGGTACAACTTAAAACCCCATTGATTGACTTAACCCCCCTTACCTAATACTCTGCACCTAACCTAAACATCTTATAGCTCTTAACACAATATATAAAACGTAGACAGCTATGGTCAAACACGCGCCTAGTCCATTCAATATCTTGTCATTCGTTTGATGTCATCGCTCAAATAAAAACTGGAGTCATCATCAATAAATTCGACCATCTAAATTGAGTGTCATCGAAATTTGAATTAATGTAAACGGTGAACATTGGAGAGCGGGGAAACTGGTAAGCAAAAACATATAGACAACTCAGTTCATTAGAAGTGAAGGTAGGTGAAATGGTCATTATATTACAGGAGGCAGTATAAAAGTCGAGATTACCACAAAACATAATCTTTCTGGTATCCATTTAAATCTACCCAAAAGACCAGCCAATTTCTTTCATATCTGACCCCTAGAAAAGTCGAAAAGTCGGGGGAGAAAAATGCAACAAACAAAGAAAACTTACACGGCCGATAACGTCTGTACACAATACTTTGAGCACGAAGCATCAATTGAATATGTAAACGATTCGGTCCACGCGACAGTTTACTTCGATTGCATAAAAATTGATAGGCTTTAGTAATGGACTGAAATTTCTCCTGAGAGATTAGGAAAGAAAAGAAAAGGAATTAGGCGTCTGTATAAAGAAATAATTATGAGAGAAGCACTAGATTGGTTTCTCGTATACATACGCTGGGATATATGTGAATCGTAGCAAGTGCCCATTGGTCTGATAGCACTTCAAAATGAAAACAATTAAGAAATCTTCGTGAGCTAATTCATCCTCCATCATTTCAATACTTATTATCACTGGCGAAGACATGGTTCATTGGCTGGAGTACTCGTATTTTAGCAAACGGGTCGAGAGCTCGAATCCCGTTTTACTTACCTAAACCCGGATATCGCTCACACAATAATTCGGTGGTTCATAGGCTGTCAGTTTCAGGAAAAATCTGATCTGCATAGCCGAGATAATCAATCACATGAGTTTTAAAAAATATGTGTTGAGACCTGTCTGCTAACGAAAATTGGTAGACAGCAACTTACGTCGATGTTTACGTCCAAAATCGGGGTCATGAGAAAAAAAAACAAGAACAAAGACTAACTCAACAACCAGTCACAGCAAACTTCGCGTGAGCGGAAACGATTAGCAGATATACATCAACAGACTGTCTAAGAAACGGCAACAAACAAACGACAGAATAACCTTCAGCAGGGAAACAACCAATCAGAAAACACTGTTTCTCCGCTAACAATAACGAATAATAATGTACATAAAAGTCTATGAATATCTATTGATTTTCTCAATAAACGTTCTGTTGTCTGGCCCTTGTTTTCTGTCGTTACAAATATTGCTAAAATAGGTTATACCCCACTACTTCTAAATTATACCCGGTACCACTTAGAAGTCTATATCATGCTCCTATGTGCTTGAGGAGATATGTCGATAATGTTCACAGTGTGTCTATGAGAATAAGTGGGCTCAACACTGTAATATGATCTACCTGATGCCAGTTTGTTGTGGGAAGTCTTTATGCCATGTGCTGGTTCACTTAGATTCAATGTTAACTGGCAGTTGTCGGTCATTTAAGATGTGTAAATTACACCGAACAAGAAAACACCTCTCCTTACACATTAAATTTCCAATCACGAAAAGGTGTGGAATGTACAGTGAAGGTATCAAAATATGGATATTAGAATTATAACTGTCCCACAAAAACTATTATCATTCAAACACACAATAAATGTACAAACTATATGCACCATATCAACATATCCATCCACAATAAAGAACAACGATTGAGAATAAGACACATAAGGCATAATAACCCATTTAATTTTGTCAACAAATATAAAGGCCCCAATAATGAAGCTGAGAAATCTCACTAAAAATCGATATTCTTCAAAAGGGACCTCCATCACTTAACAATGTATCGACTATGGAAAGCACCGAAAACTAAACAATGGGGAGGTGGGCGTATGGGTTACCTGGACAACCAACTATTCAGGTCATAAGTGTTGGATTCTTAAGTAGAATGTACACTACCCTACAGTCTTGTTGTTCGCGATGTGAGGTCTATCTGGGAGTCACGCAAACGCCTATAAAACCTAACAGTCGTATACGTATATGTATACTTTAAACAAGTTGGCAATAATAACACGTAATAATCGTAACTCACTCGACCATTTGGATTTTTATCTGGATGATACTTCATAGACATTTGATAATAAGCTCTACGAATAAATGATTCTTCATTTGACCTACACAGAAGGAAAAAACACAACAAAAGATTTCATGATTATGATATAAAGTAGGGATGAAATGCAGTTATACATAAAAGGAATTAAAACATGATTTAACAACAGTATGCGAGCTAGTAGACAACACGCTGCTGTTTGAAACGATGCGTGCCGGGATCCACTCTCAGTGGGAACAAAATCTCTAACTGCGAAGGTACGTACGTCGAAATCACGCGTCCCAAATAGTTCAGAATGCGCATCCTAGACTCAACTGCTGGTCACTAACAACCAAAATAACATCACTGTTAATCTTTAGACGTCGTCGAAGTGTTCGAACTAGGAGCCAACATGTTAACAGAGGCTGGACATTTTCATCCGCAAACAATCAATCAACATCCAATCGGCGGGTCCTAAATAAGAGGAAATGTGCACCCTCGATTCTCTACTGCTAGTTTACCATCAACCGAAATGACAAAACCATAAATTGAGATACCTCAAGAGAAGAACACATCTACAATCCGATGCAGTATCAAGTCTATGAATGGCATTTCTTACAGTTGAGTTTACAATATTCAGATGCCACTGGACAGAACCATCAGGTAGCAAACACATTCTTTACGGCTTATATTCTGGTAGACAAAAATTTGTTCTGGGTGACAACTGATTGACTTCTGACAATAAACTAACTAACTGCTCTGCTCTACTTCTACAAAGCTGATGTAGCACCAGATGCATAAATGATCATCTGCTAAGACAGAAGATGCATGAAAGCCTGGTACTTCATGCTAAAAGTTAATATCTTCATTATGTTGAGCTAGAAGAGTATATCATAGATGAATGTTGATTTCATTCAATACAGCTGTTCTTGCCATACAATTATGTGAGTAAGTATCCTGTCTGTCTGTCTGTTTTCGACATAGAACTTTGCACTGATGTGCGGCAGTTCAAGTCGCCACACTCCATGTAGCACACAAAGCCAGAGAAGAAAGTAAAATGAAATGCAAAACAGAGACAGTAAACACAGATATGAAGTAAGAAGAATAGTAATATCGAAGACCAACATAGTTTTATCGGGTATTATAGGTCACAAGGAGTGGATGCATCTGCGCCAGCCGCTGAGAACGATTTTGAGCCGTATCATCGATTGTTTCCAACCACTGCTTTTTACTGTCCCGAGGACCCCATCCAGTCAGTCAAGAAGTCTACACCTACCTACGTGGCCTGCTTAAACTAACTGTTGTGGATTTCATTGACTGGTGAAGCCACGTTTTGGTTTGACCACCGCTAGCTCTTTTCCAGCCTGGCCCTACATCAGCTAGCATTGCCCGTCGGGGAAGGCGATGACTAGGCATACGTAGCACATGTCCTAACCATCTCAGTCGATGTAATTTCACAGTCTCGTCGATTGATTTCCCCTCCTTACCTAGAACTCGACGCCTAACCTCAGTATTGCTCACCTTATTATACCACTTCACACGGGAGATGGAACGCAGACACCTATGATCAAAGACAGCTATCCGTCCTTTTCATGTCTTCCACTCTCAATGACCAGGTCTCACAACTAGCCATAAAGGAGGACGTAGCGGACTGATGAGCAGTACACACGCCCTTTGGTCGATAGTCGGATATCACGTCTACGCCAGAGACGGCGTAAACTGGTTAATAGGCACGATACATCCTCTATGCAACATCATTTCAGATTTCAGTATATTAACACGAAACATCAAAAAAAAAAGTACAGAGCATCGTTTACATCGTTCCATCTTTCCCACTGACCATGCTGAAAATCTGATAGGCATACTTCAAGTCAGTTGGCAATAAGGAACTGATTGCTGCATATTTGTTATCACGAAGTATATATTTCGAGTAGAAACACACACGTGACTACCTAGCCATCATCTCTCTAAATAATTTACACAACAAATTATTATTGTTATTATAGTTCCCTTAGGTTCCTAGTGGAACATAGGGCTTCAACTACACGTCTCCACTTGCTGCTTCTGTCTACTGTTGTACTTTTCACCTGCGCCCATGTCAGTCCATACTGTTTCAACTCCTCTTCACACGATCTCCTCCATCTCACCCTTGGACGTCCCACTCGCCGCTCCCCTTTAGGGTTCCACTCGAGCGATGGCTTGACTCCCGATGTCACCCAGTGGCCTCCTCAGCGAGTGTCCAATCCATCTCCACTTTCTCCTGCATATTTGTTGGGTGATTGGTTCTTGTTTTGTTTGTTTCCAGAGTTTCTTGTTGGTGATTCTTTCCGGCGGCCATCTGATCTTGAGTATAGAGCGAAGACAGTTGTTGATAAAGGTCTGCAACAGGCTGTTGGAAATATTCTTTGGGACTACACAACACATGGGGGAAGGGAAAGCAGAATCTTCAAATCAGCATGAATTTATGCAAGACTTAAGATGTTTGTTAAGACGTATATCATGTCCATTTTTCAAGGCATATCTTGTCAAGTGACTTCCAAACATCTATCGTAAAGAAATTAGAAAACAACCATTATATCCTACAATAGCGTTATTTACATCCAGTAAGAGAGAGTGTGACGTCGAAAGTGACATGGAGGAGATAACAGCTAATGAGGAATCGTGGAGCCACCTGAAATGTGACTGCAGACAACAGGATGAAATTATTATTGTTTCCTTTAATTCCTAGAGGAACATAGGGCTTCAGCCGTGTGTCTCCATTGCGTTCGGTTCTCTGCTAGAGTCTTCACCTGGCTCCATGTCTGCCCATATGCTTTCATTCGCTCTTCACATGACCTTCTCCAAGTCACCCTTGGACGACCAACTCGCCTCTTCCCTTTCGAGTTCCACTCGAGCGATGGCTTGTCTAGTGATATCACTTGATGGTTTCTTCAGAGTATGACCAATCAACCTCCATTTCTTCCTGCTTATTTGTTCTACAATCGGTTCCTGGTTGCTTCACTCACAGAGATCTCTGTTGCTGATCTTTTCTGGCCGGCCATCTGATCTTGAGTATTTAGCGAAGACAACCATTAATGAAGGTCTGTAGTTTATTTGAGATACTCTTTATGACGCACTGGCCAAGTGTCTGATCCGTATAGTAGCACTGACTTCACATTGGAGTTGAAAATCTGGATCTTATTTTTGATGCTGAGTGTTGTTGACCTCCACACAGACTTGAGAGTAGTGAAAGCTTGTCTTGCTTTTCCGATTCTTGCTTTGATATCTTCGTCAGTTCCGCCTGTAGTTGAAACGATGCTTCCCAGGTAGGTAAAGGAGGTTGTTTATTTCAGGTTCCTTCCATTTATGCTGGCTGATCGTTGTCTGTTGTTGTTGTTCTTGCCAAGGACTCCTTATGTTCCACTGGGAACCAAACGGAATAATAATTATAATAATAATGATTACTTACGAGTTTAATTGATTCACATCTAAGCCAAGTTCACGTAATGCTTCTTCATAGGACATATTTACAGGCTTTTTCTGAAGTTCATCACGCCAAGCTTTCAAAATATCACGTATCAATGCCACCTGTAAAATAGGGAAATCAAACATAGACATCTTATGGTAAGAGGGATATTACGCAATCAATTTGTTTTAGCAGCAATAGTTACCATCAATGAACAAATAAAATGTGATTGACAGGTTTAATCAGATGCAACATTTTTAGTGTCAAATTTTGTCATCCATCTGAGAAGCACTCAAAGCATAAGAGGTGAAGAGATATAAACGAGACACAACTGTGATACTAACCTATGTGTATACAATGAATCAGCGGTTTAGCCGTAGAGCACTCACACCAACCATGCATATGGTCTGTGGTTCGATTACCAGCCGGCGCACCCTTGTACTTCGCCGAGTGAATTAGCCGACAAAGACGGAAGACTAGGCACATGAAGCTAGTAAATCCAACTCGTGGAAAATAACACGGCTGAAAAAAATTCTAGGCTTTTAATCTCAAGCTCTATGTTCCACTCGGAATTCAAGGATTATATATACTATTTGATGATGATTATCTGAGACAATCTTGGGTTAGCGGACGGTTATTGATGTAGCGAAGATGATGACGATTGCAGCTGGAATGGAAATCTACGTTGTATGTGTGTCAGAATTCGAACAAGCGGTCGTGAAATAACTAATCCAACGCCTTACCAGCTGATTTATGACAACCAAGTACTAACCAAGTTGTCATTCCACAGCAACCACTACGAGTAATGCCCAGTTGCTATGTGAATATGCTACTGTGTGTATTTTTCGACATACTAACTGATCAGCTACGTCTCCAGTTGTCTATACTTATCTTCTAACAAATTAGACGGAGAAAAATAATTTGTTAATTGATGATGAGATCATCTGGGAGAGCGGTGGTCGACATGAACTGATATCAGTTATAGAACCATTAAAGGATAAAAAGTACCGAACAACTACCTCACCCTACTTGAGGACTCTCTAACAATAGGCATACAAGACCCTGTCGTGGATCGAACCCAGGACATTCGGGTAAAGAGGTGAGCTTATCAACCATTCAGTCATTTGTACGGAATCCAACAGCCCATGTATTCTAACGTTTCTTGTTGATGTAGTATTTGCTAACTGAAGGTGAAGTGGAAAACTCGGTAGCGGCAGGATTCGAACACATAACTGTAGTTTAACCTTAATAATTCTGCAATTTTTAAAACTATTAAGACTCAAAGATAAATGCAGTTAATCATTTTCTAAGATCACAAAATCCGACGTAGACTTCTACTGGTTTTTTTCTGGCGAATCTTCAAATTTTGTGAAGCCGTGACCAGTAGGTTGAAGGTGAGGCAGTAACTCATCGAAGAAGACATAGAGAAGTGGTCACGCTATGTCATGAATTGGCAGAAGTTAGAATTCATGGATCGATCATTGAGTGGGGTCCTAGTGGCCCAATGGTCTACAAGCTAGCTCTCCCTATAATCAGAAAGTCCTGGGTTCGAACCTCACAGTGTGGGTGCGTACTGATGAAGCGTCCCAAACTAGACTGACGAAACAGCTGTCTAAGTAATCCCTGTGGTTGTTTCCCGGTGGTTCTCTAACCGATGTCTACAGCTCATGATGAAATCCTCCAACCAATCAAACAAACAAAATTCCCTACTAAATCGGTGGCATAGCGGTTAGGACGCTTGCCGACCATGCACATGGTCCGGGGTTCGAACCCCGGCCGATGCACTCCTTTACCTCGCCAAGCCAGATATAATGCTGGTGAAGAGGAAAGGTTGGGCATGAGGCTAGCAACCCCATCCTGTAAAATAAACACTGCTACGGAAACTTCAAGCCACCAGCTTGAGGCCCTATGTTCCACTGGGAACGTGAAGGATAAAAAAAAAAATCAATACTTGAAAATTTTCAAATTACTCAGTCCGACTTCATCAATTTAAACTGCAAACAGAGAAAAAAGAGGGACATCAACTTACCGGATCACGTATAGGCCAATCAGGGAATCGCCGTGTATCGCATAAATGACGTAGATAATAATTATTACAGAATAATTCATTCTCCAATTGAGGATAGATAATTATTGGCATACCAATAAATCGGTAGATAGCACGTATATTACTTTGTAGGCGAGGTGAGAAATCTGCTAAATGTGATGTTATCCGACCAATCATATACCTTCTATAAAAAATTGAAGAAATCCGCGAAACAATTGATAAGTAGGCAGTCAAGATAACATGCTTACACAATGATATCAAATCTAACATCAATGATAGAAAAGTCTAGAAATACGACAGTGGATACACTCTAGTGACAAAATAAGTGTATCTTTTACAATCCTACACAAAGTGATTCGTGAACCTGAATTTCTCCGAGAGGATATCACTCCCAACGAAGTTGCAGATACACACTGCTAATGAAAGTTAACAAGCTAAAAACCTAGGTCCAAGGCATCCCAACGATTTATGTTTAATGTCACACGCACAAACTCGAAGACTTGCAGGCAAAAACTAACAGACTGGCAGCAGAAGCAGGAATTGAAGACAGGGCTCCAGGTAAACATAGAAAAGACGGAGGTGGTGAAGATATCCAACGAACAGCAGCAGCAACAACAACCAGCGTCAATCACCACGAAAGGGAGAGATTTGAATGAGGTTACTTCGTTCTTTTATCTAGGAGGCGCGGTTTCAAATATAGGCAGAACGGGTGATGATGTTAAAGTCAGAATCAACCTGAAATCGGTTTGGAAATCTTCTGCACTCACTCCACAGCATAAACAACAAGATTCGGATTCTGTTCAACACCAATGTGAAATCAGTCAGTCAATTCTTCTGTACGGGCCAGAAACTTGGCCAGCAGGTCACGAAAAGGATCACGAACAAGTTGCAGACTTTCATCAACAGCTGCCCACTTCGCTGACTATACTGAGGACCAAATGGCCAGACAGAAAGAATCAGCAACAAGAAAATCTTGGGTGGAACAAATCAACCAAGAGCACATTGCTCAACAAATATGTAGGAGAAAAAGGAGACGGGTCGGGCGTACGTCGAGGAGGTCGATGAATGACATCACACTCCAGGTAATCGCTCGAGTGGAATCCCAATGGGAAGAGATGAGTGAGTCGTCCAAGGGTAAAATGGAGGAGGAGATGAGAGATTATGGGAAATCGTAGACCCGGTTGAGGAGGACAGAAGAAAACAGAAGAGAGTGGAGATGTGCTGTTGAAGTCCTATGCTCCACTCGAAACCCAAGGGAATAATAATAATCCTGACTTTACAGTTTGTCCGTGGACCGGATGGGCTAATATCGAACAATCGAGGCATTTTATTATCGCTTTTCTTACTAACATTAGTAGTTCCCAAGCATATATATTGTGCACTTATTAAGTTTCCCAAACCTACCGGGTGTCGAATAATCCAAACAATAGAAGCCATAGAGATTCGTTTGGAACAGCCAGAATATGTATACAGAAGGAATAAGTCTAACCAACGTTTTCACCAGGTTAGGATGGAATAAATGTCGGGGATATTGTACTTGATTGGTTTTAAGGTACTTATTTTGTACTTCGAAAGTTACGTTTTCTGTATAACTGTCTAACTGCATTGATGAGACAATTTTCATCATTTCTTATTATTGCTAAATAGGATCACATAGATCTTACGGCGAATAACCATCTTTTTACTGAGCTAGGAGCGTTTTGTGACTGTGTGTCTCTCAAGGAAGCTTCCAACAACTATAAAGTAGGACGCAAAGATCAGTTTCCTGCGTTCGGACCACAATGAATCGGTTTCGGTCGTTACACCTATTCCGTTGTCGAATCTGTACTTTCATAAATACTATATTACGTCATCTGATACATTTACTTTTGTACCTCTTCTAATTTAACTTTGGTTAATAATACACACGCTCATTCACACACATGCGCACGCACGCACAAAACCTTTTACTCTATTCGCCAATCTGCTTTTCCACGTTAACATTCGCTTATATGAAGTTTATAATAAGGCCGGATAAAAATTGGTTTCAACACGAGGGCATTTACTGAGAGATATTCATTTTTCCTCATGATGATCAGCTTACTGTAGTACCCGATGTCTAATTAAGTGCTAGATTTATGCACATTATCACATATTTTGAATTGTAACATAGTACAGATTTACTACCATATATACCTCTCATAGACCTATGATTCTATTGGCGGCCTGCTTAGAAATTCAGATACCAAAAACTTCCATCTCCCCACTGCATATATTTTCTCTCGTTCGCTTTTGATTTAATCGATCAAGATAGTAACCTCTAGTGGTATTATCTACCGTCATGTATATTTAAAATGCTTACAAGCTTCTGATTTGCAAGTTCTTAATAAACTTAAGGATAAGCCTCATTGTCGGCGGCAACGTGTTCCAATACATCAGATAAATATTCATCAATTATGTCACTGGGTCTCACAGAATGTACTTCTGAACATCTTACAATTGGCTTTCAACTAGATATGGTAGATGGATTTCTTGAAGGAGACAAAGCAGATATATATCATAATGGAATGGATGTACTAGTGTCAATTAATATTTTACTTGAAGATATTGATTGTACGAAGGGAAAATATCAAGCAATAAACTCCTTTGAAAATTCCCTACATTTTATAAATACTATGCAGAATAACGATGTTATTATTATTATTAATGATTCAATAATATTTGAAAAACACATCATTCCCGTGAATAACTATTATTATTATTATTATTTATATATCTATTTATTTTATTCTTTTACCCTCCCAGTGGAACATAAACTTTCGAGCTAGAGATTTGAAGTTTCAGTAGCAGTAGTTTTATTCTCTTGTACGGAGTGGGACTGCTAGCCTCATGCGTAATCTTCCCACTCTACCAACCTTACTACTGGTTTAGACAGCGAGGTTTTGGAGTGTGGCGGGAGAGTACAGAACCCCGGACCACATGCGTGGTTGGTTAATTAATACTCATAAGGATGCATAGTAATAGTAAAACGTGATCGAAAGGGATTACTACTGAATTCTCTAGCGGCCTGCTTAAACCACTGCACTATTGAAATTTCAATATTTTGTTGTTTGAATCTTCCCCCAATTATGTCCCTAGATCGAAATATAAACTCACGCAAATTTTGAAATGGCTTATAACGTACCGCTGTAGACGACTTAGTCTTGTTCCAGATAGAATGACGCCGGGGGAGACGATAAACTGTCGATGAATACTGTTTTACTTGAAAATTCTATATGAGGAGTAAATATATTTTCTTCAAGAAGTTATGCAGAGAATTCTGTGTTGTGTCTAAGCACAGTTTCCCGAACAGAGCTGTTATCATTATTTAGATTAAGGACGGCTTTCGTAAGGATTCGGACGGACTCATTTCAAATGTAGATTTCGTCACGAACCGACATCGGTTAGAGATCACTGAAGATTACTAGAGCGCTGTTTCGTCCCAGTTTGGGGCTCTTTATCGGCGTGCACCTATCATCCCACCAGAGATAGACACTGGGACCTCCAGGTTTCAGGACTAATCTTGATGGTTTGCAATTATGCCAAACTGATGTTTTGCATTGGAACTAATTAATTAATTCGAATCTTTACAGAAACCGATAATCTAAGTATCGATCTCCAGCTCATTGATGCCTACCGGATGGATGTCCTGAGATGTTGTGGCCAGCAGTGTCCACCATGTCAAAATGAAGTGAATGCTCATCAAAGGCATTGGCTGAGGGTGTGACGTATGCTACCGACAAGATTTATCAGCAGTATATAGATACAGATTGATGGAAAGTAGCCAAAATTGAAAAAAAAAACATTTTAAGTCACTGACTGCAGAAGTAGAAGCATTTGGCATTCATTCCCCAAATCTGGATGCAACTTAAAATTGTGGTCAGGAAATAATCTCATTGGACAACTATTTGTCTCAAGGTTTAACCTTCAGAAAATCGACAATCAATCAGAACAACAGTATATTATCCGCTGACCTAGCCGACCTTAAATGTGGCTAAAAGCGCATAAATATGTTATGGTTTTCCCTAATAATAGAGTCCTCTACCAAGTCTCTTGTTACAAGGGTAACGCTATAACAGAAAACAACGAAGTAGGAATTGACGAATCACCATCGGTTAGTCACACTGGTAGATGTTCCCGTGCACGAAAAATCAAGTTCCTAGAACAACGATCAATAAAACTCGCTCCACACGCGCAATTCAATTAGTAGATACAATTAGAAGTGGCTAGTCTAGGTAATCCATCTTTCAATTGAGAAATCACCATCACGGATCACTGATATTCAGCCAAAATGTATCAGTAGTCAACGAACTGACCTGAAGTTCTCGAGTTCGATCCGTCGTAAGGTCCTGGCTGTCAAACTATCAATGAACAGCGGTTCAGGGATTTTTGGTTCCCAATGACCACTAACTAACTAATATTGATTCGTGACTAAATCGCTTCATAATCGAAGGAATAGAGATATAAACACAATGGTAAGCAGAGTACACATCGCCAATGAATACCACTCGAATTATAGTTATATTGTGGTGAGAGCTGGCTGCTAGCCAAAGTTCTTAGACAATAATTGACGTCAATGTCTATGTCCCCAATATTGGTGGTGAGAAAATGAGAACAAAGGCTTTGCCTAGGCGGATACAGTTAGCATATGGATGATCTGACACAGCCAGCCACAAAGAGATGCAAGGTTAACTTTCTGTGAGAAACAACCAATCAAAAGACAGTATTTTCTACTAACAATAATCTACAATAATGTACATTAAAATCTATAAATATGTGTTGATTTTCCTTAATAAAGGATCTGTTGCCTGGCCCTTGTCTTCTGTTGTTACAATATTAACAGGTGATGACATAGTAACGTAAATGAAAATCATATAAAACAACAACAAAAACAATCAGGATAAAACGTACCGCATTTCAGGATTCCATATAGCTTCAGGTGAATCAAAATCACCAAGGAATATTTCAGCAAATTTCTCCGGTGAATGATTTTCTAAATAAGCAATCATTGCATCTGGTAGCATATTCCCCAATATGGATCTTGAAGTGAGATCAGCTCCAGATGATCCTGTGAACTGTAATACATATGAAATTTAAAAAATCAACAACAAAAGACTTAAAATTCATTAGGAAAACTACTGCAAGGAGTGTATGTGCGGACGCTGAACTACCTTAAGAAACACAAAGAATATGAAGTATTAATAGTCTGTGTGAATTGGTGACCACTCCTCTTGAAGTCTATCCATATTATACCATTAGCGCAAAACTTGAAAACAGTGGTCTGCTTGAATTCTCGGACTTTCTAAATTTTCTATGCATAGAATGTGTTTTAATCAACCAATTATGTCTAGGAATAACAATGTCTACTCTGGCATATTTTTAAATAGGTTTCAACCTACTGTTATGAATTGTTTGAAGGAAATAGAGGAAAAACACTGTGGAGTAGTGTTGAAGAATGCTTCGGATGATATCTTATCGATGATTACATTACCTAAAGATGCTGTACAAGGAGTCTCAAAACACGTTTAGAATTCCGTATTGTGTATAAACGCGTTTTCCAGAATGAATCTATTATTTTCCGGGTTACTATCGATAGTTTCCATTTGTACCAAAGATACATGGATGATACTTTCATCATATGTGACGACAATACAGACTGACATCGAAATGATAACTATGGAGTTCAACAACTGCGATCATTATATCTAGTTCACGTCGCAATAAGAGATGAACTCGGAATTCTACTTTTTGGATGTTTTGATAAAAGGGAGATCTGATGGTTTCTCTTCAAAGATCAATCTACAGGAAACCAACATGGAATGGTCAGTACACAAATCTCCATAGTTGGGTTCTTTTGAGAAGAAAGAGAAATCTGATCCACTCCTTATATTCAAGAATAAGAAGTATATGTCCAAGTGATACAATCGATGGTGAACTTAAGATACTCAGACAAGCCCTCGTGGAAAATAGACATCCTTCAAGATTCATCGAGAAAAAAATGAAAGTGAAGTAAAAACCCAAAAGAACCCAGACGGTGCCAAAGAAACTGCTATTCATGAACGTTGAATTTAAAGGTGATACCGCTGCTGAGATCCTGAAGAATCGCTTATCCAGATCACTGAGAAAAGCCTTCTTTTTGGTTGAGCTACGGATCCATTTCTACAACCGAGAAATGACCAGTGGATGTGTGAAGGATAAACTACCGCTTTGAACGGGCCACTTCAATGTGTGTTTATGAACTCACCTGTTCTTGTGGGGTTAGTTATATTTGCCACACAAAGCGCACACTTTCCAAACGCATCTCTGAACATTATCCGGCATGGTTAGCAAAGGGACAATGCAAGACAATTACCAGCTCAATTTTCGAGCATTTGGTGAACTCAGGCTACGTAGCCCCACCAGAGTCGTCTTTCAAGATCATCTATAAGGTGAAGCCAAATGGTACAAAGGGTGTCAGGTTTCGGCTTTTGTGTATGGCAGAGGCGCTGGCGATTCGTCAATACAACCCCGAACTCTGTATGAATAAAAAGTTTGTCCAGTGTCTTATTCTACCATGGTCTTAACCTCTCCACTGGCCGTTCCCTGTGGAAAATTTTGAATTTTGTCTCTTCTTTTCTTTTTGATTTTTAACTTTTTTAATTTTTAGTTTTAAGTTTGCTTTTGCTTTAATAATTATTTCACTATTATCACTCTCATATGCTCCTTCTGTACATTTCACACCCTCTTCACACTTGTTAAATTGAAACTCAACTACCTTTATTCTCACTCAATAGCGATTTTAACCTTATCAAAAATCTAACCTTGTGCCGTTGAATACCACGTAATTAGCAACTTTTATTTTTTACTTCTGAAGCCACTTTTGAGTATTTATATCAATTACGTCACCCTTATTACTCAATAATAGACCACTTTTTGTAAGTATTAATACGACTGTACAGCCTCTGAAGATGATTTCCTCGATAAAGAAAATTTTCTTCGCTGAATTTGTCTTTTGTTTTCTTCATAAATCTGTTATTATTATTATTCAGCGAAGAGACTCTTTTCAACGAATTTATCATCAAGCTGTACAATCGTATATATATGGTTTTTAAGAAGTTATATCCGGTGAGGGAATTGAAACATAGGTGTGAATGCATGAAATAATAATAATATGAAGTGCAATTAAAACTAAAATGTTTGTGATTATAATCGTAGTTAAAGGTCAAGTGGCAAAGCAAATTAATGTCATATATAGAATAGTTCATAGGATGGATAGAACTTGAAAAAGGTGTGCAATTATAAGATTAGTAGACAAATCGAAAAAATAAAAACGTTACGTAATATTGTGTGAAATTTAATAGCATAGAATTTAATGTTGCACAAAGGAATTGATTTAGAATGACAAGTGGAACAAGTGAAATAATACCGGGGACAATTAAAAGTGAGAGTAGTAATAGTAACAATTGACTTAATAAGGAAGAGTATACAAATTGAATAGACAAAAAATGAAGAAATGAAAAAAAAAAAAAATGAGCTATACATCTTGAGGAAAGTCCTAATAGAAAATGGATTTCCACCACGTTTTATAGATAAGAATATTCATTCAAATCCTAAAAAACGTGAGTTATCAACCGTACCCAAGAAGACACTTTACATGAGCTTGGAATTCAAAGGGGACTTAGCTTCCGATATCATGAAACGGAGGATATCACAATCCCTGAAAAGAACATTCCCTGCTGCATCCCTGAGAATAGCCTTTTCTAGTCGACCATTATTGTTCAATAACCTGAAGGACAAAATCCCGCTGTTGACCAACTCTATGTGTGTTTATCAATTCACCTGCTCTTGTGGAGCTAGGTATATCGGTCGTTCGACACGAGTTTTGTCCAAGAGGGTGCAAGAACACTATCCTGCATGGTTACGAAAAGGTGGTAGTGGAGCAATAAGAAGCGCGATCATTGAACATCTGGTCGATAATGATCACCGTATCTCTATAGCCTCAGCCTTCAAAGTCATCTACAAGGCAAAGAGTAATCTACCCAAATCCCTACGTACCCGACTCATCTGTATTGCTGAAGCTTTGGCTATCGAAACAGAAAAGCCAGATCTCTGTGTACAGAAGAAGTTCGTTCAACCCCTCCAACTTTCATGGTCTTAATCCCTCTATGCTAAAGTATGGTAATCCCCAATCATACTTTAGCTCTACCAACTCTCCATTTTTTTTCATTTCTTCATTTTTTGTCTATTCAATTTGTATACTCTTCCTTATTAAGTCAATTGTTACTATTACTACTCTCACTTTTAATTGTCCCCGGTATTATTTCACTTGTTCCACTTGTCATTCTAAATCAATTCCTTTGTGCAACATTAAATTCTATGCTATTAAATTTCACACAATATTACGTAACGTTTTTATTTTTTCGATTTGTCTACTAATCTTATAATTGCACACCTTTTTCAAGTTCTATCCATCCTATGAACTATTCTATATATGACATTAATTTGCTTTGCCACTTGACCTTTAACTACGATTATAATCACAAACATTTTAGTTTTAATTGCACTTCATATTATTATTATTTCATGCATTCACACCTATGTTTCAATTCCCTCACCGGATATAACTTCTTAAAAACCATATATATACGATTGTACAGCTTGATGATAAATTCGTTGAAAAGAGTCTCTTCGCTGAATCATTTGTTTTGATTTTCTATATGTTACAATGGGAATTTTCCATGATTATTATTATTAACCACAGTGCAGAATGGGCAAGATAGATATTGCATATTTATTAAAACAAATTACGATAAAAATTAGTAAAATACAAAAAAACTACATCGACTGAGATGGTTAGGACATGTGCTAAAGTATGGCATACCTAGCCATCCATCGCCTTCTTCGACGACAGGCAATGTTAGCTGACATAAGATGGATCTGGTTGGAAAAGAGCTAGTGGTGATGATCAAACCAGAACATGACCTGATTAGTCAATGAAATCCACAAAAGTTAGTTTAAAATGGACAGCCAGCCACGTAGGGTAGGGAGGTGTAGACTGCCTGACTGGCTGATTGAGATCTTCGGGATAGTAAAAACCAATGAAGACTGGGGACAATTATCGGTGATATGGCTCAAAATCCTCATTCTCAATGACTGGCTCAGATGCCACCGGTCTTTGTGACTTATGATATCCAATAAAACTATATGGTTCTTCGATATTACTATTCTTTTTGCCTCATATCTCTGTTTACTGTCCCCATTTCGCGTTTCTTTTGACTTTCTTCTCTGGCTTTGTTTGCTGAGTAAATTGTGGTGAGTCGAACTACTGCACATTGGTGCAAAGTTCGACGTTAAAACCAGTCAGTCAGTAAAATACAAAGCCAGTGCGTTCAGTCCACTATTCATAAGCAGTATCAACCATACTTTATAGGGCAATTATTCTTCTAAAATCAAATAGAGAAGATTTACAGCTGGGGTGGATGATTTTGATTTGGTTGTGTTCTCTGAGTTACTTGATTTAATTGCGGGGCTTTCGTTATCCCCACATCTAGCCTACATCTTTTGGCGCAGGTTTTAGTATCAAATGAACTCATTTGAATTCTTTCTCCACGTCGTCATTGGTCGTAAATTGACATCTTTATTGAACGTTTTTATTGATTGACTTGGAATTTGAACTTTCTTTTCATGTGATTTACTTTTTATTAGTTGGTAAATTCGGTCTATAGTAATATGTTCGTTAATTGTTGATTCATCTGAGTACCAATCACGACAGTGGTTGCCAGGAGATACAATTTCATCAGTCCTGAAGGGAGAATCCGAATAAGTTCATTCTATACGAAATCCTAAGATGAAGAAGTACACCAAAAAGCTTCGCAATTAAATCAACCAGCTCATAGAACACAACTAAATGAAGTATTCCTCCCCATTGCTTATGTGTGATTCTCTCTGGTATTACTATTATCACAGTCCCCTCGTAACTTCTGTAGTGACGTAACCAGTTCAGTATAAACTATTGTTACATAACAGGAAGACATCACACTATATAGTTTTACATCTATTATCAGACACAACACCACAGGGCTTGATAAGACAAACAAAATAGGAGTTCCTTGATTTCGAAGTTAGATCAGACCAGATGATGACACTAATCAGTTGCGTAGGTTGAAGTAGAAAAAAATAGATTTAGAGGACTCGGTAGGGATTGTCTGAAAACCGAAGCCAATGAACCAGAGTATCTCACGGCTACAACTACACCTGTCTCATTCTTCTTTTTCTTCAAATATATGAAACGGAAAGGGTATTAGTTTTGTTTGACCACCAAGCCCAGGAGGGCGCATGCTTGAGACCACTTGCAGACACCCTATAGATTGAAGTGCCAGTTGTGAATCGCCTCAGGATGAGTCAGAATATACAGTTCTCAGTTGGTGACTTTTTCTTAACCCCTATACTCCCCCAAAGAGTAGGAGAAGAAGAATAGCTGGCTTGTTGGTTGTCCAACTCGTGTCAGCAGTATGACTTAGCCTTTCAACCCCAACATTGTATAAGCAGCAACTTATGCTGTGTTAATAACTACTTTTAACCTGACCCTCACCCCTCATCCAAGTGAAATCGCTCAGAATGGAAGGGCAACAAGAAACATCAATTCGAGCCAGTATTGCGCTCATTTTGGTGATTGTGATAGGCATACCCAACCGCCATGTAAAAGTAGCATCTACTGGTCACTGCCATATTATACGAGATCCTTTTAAATCAAACCAATCAAAAATTGAGAATTATCATTCATATATTATTACACATTATTATTATTATTATTATGTGAATATAACTCACCTCATCAAGACGTAATGCTTGTAGCATATGTACATCTTTTAAAAATCTTGCAATTGGTAATACATTACTTCCAGTGTACAATAATACAAAATAGAATATTCCAGTTAAATACAGTCTTGGTAGACAAGGATTTTGATCCATAACAACGTGTAGTAAAGAGACAACACGTTCAACCAGTGGAGGATCAAATGTTAACAGTAACTAAACACATAGAAGGCACAAATATATGCGAAAGAGAAATTTAGACATATTAAAATTATTTGAACTACACAGCTAATGTGTGCATGACGGTGTCGTCATACAAAATGTTATTCTTGACTTAAAGGCACAAATGAATAACGACAATAATAATAAGTGTTCAATGGGCAATAATGCCATCTATCAACATCGCTGGAGTCAGTTTCTGTTAATGGAATACACAGTTTAAGAGATAACTACTATACTGTATCACTTAATAATCTGTTAACATAATTGTGGTCGCGCTAAATATCACTGTGGCTGGTTTTCAATGGTCCTCTAACTGATATCAATCCGTGATCAACTCGTAAAAATGAACTGACCTTTTGCCTAATAAGATGTTTCGACAGTTGAGTGTATTTTTAATGAAAACGGAATTAAATTAAATTCCTTACCACCCGAATCCAACGAATGTTTGGACCTGACAGTCTTCCACTAGCACGTAGAAGCCTGAAAGATAAGACCTCGCATCTGACAACTTTTATGAGCATATATCAGCTCACTTATTCGTCTGGAGCTGGGAATACTGGCTGTTCGATGCAAATTCTGTCTAAAAGGCTTCAAGAGCGCTATCCTACATGGTTGCTTTTCTCCAACCATGACTCTGTAAAGAGTGTCAAAATTAAACACCGCGTTCACACTTACTCATGCAATCTCAACAAACTACTCTTTCAAAGTAATCTACAGGGTGAAGAGCGGCCTGTTGAAGACAATACGCTTTTGTATTTTCACCACTGCTGAAGCTCCAGTCATCTAGATAAAGAGACCAGAGCTCTGCGTACTTTCATGGTAACAACCTCGTTGTTTTCTACCAATTTGATGTGTTTTTCACCTCCTTATGACTCTTGCATAACTTTCGGAATCTTACATGAAACTACATTTTTCGTCGCTGGAATGTGGATCCTGATTATAACTCATGCAAGTTATTATTCACCCCATTACGTAACTTTAACACCTTTATAACACCACTCTCATGTATTGATCAATATAAACAACTGTGATAATCGATTACGGGATTTGTGGAGACTTGAAATAATTTAATTCCAGTTGCCGATTTCATCACGAACCAACATAAAATTAGAAGGAACATTGGAAACCAGGACGCGCTAGATAGCTGTTTCGTCCTGTTTTGGCACTCTTCAGCAATGATCCCATCGAAGTGTCTGAATGGTCGAGCAGCTTAGTTTTGTTAACCTGAAGGTCCCAGAATCGAACCCTGTCGAGACGGTGGACAAGCATTGCTGAAGAGTAGTGGAATCTAAGACAAAACAGCTGTCTAGTGCCTCCTGGTTAGTTTATGATGAAATCTACAACTGAAATTGAACTACAATTATGACAACCCATTACTTTTGTTATAAAGGGTTTTATATAAATGTGATAGTACAGCTAAAAGAGGAATGCACATAAATCTACCTGAATTAAATGTGTTGGAATCAGTTTCTAAAAGAAATGTGATACATCGTCTAAGAGGAAACTATGCTGCCTCAGTCAATAACCTATAAACCAAATGATGAACAAAGACACTGCTAATTACAAGTTTCTTCAGTTGGGTGTCTATTGAACGGAAATCCCTTGCCACCTGCACCCAACAAATCAGTAATCCTAACGCCTTAGAAGCAGAACTAGATCTCCTGATAGAAATGTTCATCCGAAATAGATACCCACGGGGATTCATTGACAAGAAGCACATCACACTAAGAGTTTACAGATATTAAACATCGTTTGTGTCAAAGAAAAAGCTTTACATGAACTCTGATTTTAAGGGAGACTTAACCTACGATATCCTTAAGAGAAGAGTTTCAATATCTTTGAGAACACTGCTCGCAACAATAGTGAGAGTAGTCTCCTCCAGTTGTTCATCTATGGAACCAGTTAAATTAGTCGGTCGATGTGTAACTTGTCTACAAGTATCCAAGAACACTATTTCGCATGGTTGCAGAAAGACAACAGTCATTCTATGACGAGTTCGATAATTGAACACACGATAATTCACACTGGTCATTCCATATCAGTGGACTTATCCTTCACAGGAACAGGTTAACTGATATTTATGCCAGATCTTGTCTTTCAGACTTCTGCAGACCAGTGAACCATTTGAGAACATTACTCCTAGAGTTGCTGAGACGGATGTTCTTGTCAAAGATCATTGAACGGCTCTCATAAGGACATCACTATATAGGTAACACTAAAAGGTCAAGATTCATGTTAAGTATTCTGGCAGGGATGACATCTAGTTTCTTTGAATTTTACGCTTGAGGTACTTGTCAAAGTAATCTACAAAGTGAAGAACAATCTGCAAAGACGATACGATTTGTCTCCCCTGCGTTGCTGAAGCTCCCAATCATTCAGATAGAAAAATTGGAGCTCTGCATACAAAAGAGAATTATTTAACCACTTTTGCTTATGTTGTGTCAGTGGTATAGCGATAGAATGCTCGCCGACCCCGCATATCGTTCGGGGTTCGACCCCCAGCCGATGCATTCCTTTACCTCGCTAAACCAGTAATAAGACTAGTAAAGAGGCAAGGTTGAGCATGAAGCTAGCAATGCCATCTAGTAAAAATAAACACCAATGCTACCGAAACTTCAAGCCTCTAGCTTGAAGCCTTATATGTTCCACTAGGAACGTAAAGGAATAAAAAAACTATCGTTGTAATGACCCAACTTGTTTTGCAACTCTTTATGCTAACAACTATGACTCTAGCAATTCATCAGTTTTGTCACTACCCTCTTTTGTGAAGAAAGCATTGTACACAAATTCGATAGAATAGCTAAACAGTAAATATGAATTAGCCAAAAAGAATCAATTATTTCACCACATCAACACATAGATAACCATAGAATAAACACCTACCTGAATTAAATGTGGCAGACAATTGACATCAGAGATAGCTCGACGAGGTTTCGGCAGTGGGCGTACAACACCACCGTGCACATCACGTGAAGAACAACTATCACAAAGTCGATGTAGTATATCTACACAACGTATAGCTAAATTTGTATAATCTAAAAACATGCCATTATTATAGCCTAACTTGTCGATTAAACAACCAACATTCACCTCTTGACCTTTAACATTCACAGAATCTTTATTATCATGAGAATTAGATGATGACGATGAAATGGCGGAAGAATTAATGCCTAATAATTCTGATACAGTCCAACGAATTTGTACAACACGATGCGCTGGTACCCAACCATACATTCCACAGACAACAGTTTTTTCACTGATTTGTTCTGATGGATCTAAATTATTCCCATCTCCATTTGTCATCTGTGCTGATTGTCTATTCAAATTATTATTGATGTTGTTACTTGATAAAGTATCATCTCTTAAATCACTATAATCATCATCAGCTAAATATCCATCAGGACGACAACGTACGCCGGCATCTAGTCCTTGAGCATACAGCTTAGTGGTAGCAATAATTCGTTCATCTTTTATCAACTGACGTAACTGTATACAAAGAAAAAGAATAAAAGAATAGCAGAAATTTGAGAAAGTAAAGTGGATATTCACTGGTGAATGTAAATCAACAGAAAATCACATAAACACACTTTATTGATACATAAGGAAAAAACTTGGGCACTACTGTGGTGGTAGAGTATAACTCCATTGTGGATAAAAAAAATTTTTCTATTTTGATAAAATCATACACAGTGTTTGTTATACAGTAATATTTACTGATGAAATGAAACAGACCGAACATGAAGCGTTGCGGTTAAGTAACTAACTATCGTAAAAAAATTCATTAGCAAGATCGAAACAAAGGGCAAAAGCAAAATAAATGGTGAAACTAATAATAATGATAATATAAATAAGAGAGAATAAAAGGCATCTACAGTGGTTTTACCATTTAAGAATGGGACATTTGAGACCCTCCCTACGTAAGATGATCAATAAAGCAGGAATTAGGGTGGTGGCATTCAAACCTACAAACTCACTCACTCAGAGACAAGCACTGGAGGCTAAAGGACCCTGTAAGTTAACCCAATTAGACAAATTGATATAATTTACAAAATACCTTCCAATGACCGTGAGTGAAATCAACTACATAGGTCAGTCAAACAAGTAGATCGGGAGTAGTGAGATTATCAGAACATAAGAATTTAGCGAAGGTTAGAACGATTGACCCCACCCGCGAAGATGAGTAATTTAGAAAAAACTCAGCAGTTGCACTGCATGCATTAACACAACGACACAATAAGGTATGTGGGACATAGTTACAATTCTAAAAAGTAGCATAGATAGGTAGGTGAAGAGAGAGGTGAATGATTACTGAATCCTGGTTCATCAAGTCTACACCAAACACAACACATGCAATAGAAGTGACTCAACGCAAACACCAGAGATATGGAAGATATTACTGCCACCAGTCAAATCAGAGGAGGATAATAAATAATGCTAAAATGTATTCAATTCAATTCACATTCTAACAAGTTATTGATTTATTTTACAATAAAAACATCTTATTTCTAATCTTATTGCATTTTGTTGATAACACTAATATAACACTAATAATATAACACAAAATGAAGTGGCCCAAAGTGGTGGCAGTTTATCCTTCATACATCCACTGATCATTTCTCGGCTGTAGAAATTGATCCGTAGCTCAACCAAAAAGAAGGCTTTTCTCAGTGATCTGGATAAGCGGTTCTTCAGAATCTCAGCAGCGGTGTCACCTTTAAATTCAACGTTGATTAATAGCAGTTTCTTTGACACCGTCTGGGCTCTTTCAGCTTTTTGCTTTACTTTCATGTTTTTCTCGATGAATCTTGAAGGATGTCTATTTTCCATGAGGGCTTGTCTGAGTATCTTAAGTTCACCATCGATTGTATTACTTGGACATATCCTTCTTATTCTTGAATATAAGGAGTGGATTAGATTTCTCTTTCTTCTCAAAAGAACCCAACTATGAAAATTCGTGCTCTGACCATTCCATGTCAGTTTCCTGTAGATCGATCTTTGAAGACAACCATCAGATCTACTTTTTAGTACAACATTCAAAATAAAATGAAATTCCAACGTAAACTGGATATAATGATGGCAGTTGTTGAACTTCATAGTTATCATTTCGATGTCGGTATTGTCGTCACATATGATGAAAGTATCATCCATGTATCTTTGGTACAAATGGAAACTATCGATAGTAGACCGTAAAATACTATTCTCTAGACTTGCCAAGAAGCAGTCTGCAAGTAGAGGACCCAATGATAACCCCATTGCCACTCCATCTCTTAGTCTATAGAGTGTGTTGTTGAACTTGAATAGGACGTTAAAAGTGCATCTCAATAGTAGTTCCTTTAAGTAGTGGATCAGAATACCCACGTGCAGATTATTATCCTTGATGAATTTACATATAAAGTAAATAGTTTCAGTGAGAGGAACATTAGTGAAGAGAAGCGTAATATCCAGAGATATATATCATTCTCTTCCCCGGATACATTAGTATCACTTAGTGAATTGACAAATTCAAATGAATCAGAAACACTATGTTTGCAGAGATTATTTCTGACAGGTAGGAGGATGTCTGCGAACCACTTGGTAGTAGTATGATATGGTGAATTTTTCATATCCCAAATTGAATGTAGTGGTACGCTCTCTTTGTTCACTTTCAGGAGACCATATAAACAGGGAATCACGGGAACTGAGGGTCGTATTTGCTCAAATAATTCACAGCTGATAATCGATTCGTTCTTCATCTTCTTCAGCATTTGTGTTAGCTTGCCTTCAATTTTTTCCGTTTGGTCTTTCTGGTTACTTTCTTTTGAAAATTAGTTCCCATGTGATATGATGGATAACATTTTATCGACGTAGTCATGTAGACTTGAGTTGTTCGTATGATGAGTTGTGTGACACTGGGAGAAGATCGTTTGTCTGACGGATCAGTGCTTCAAGCTGGATTTTTATTTCCAAGTCACTCGAATTTGTCGAAGTATCCCAGAAGCTCGGGCCCGACGACAAAGCTGGCAATCGGATAGGAGTTAATGATGTACTAGAATAGTTGAAAACGTCTTTATCTGGTGTGGCAGGAAAACGCGAATAAGTGTCAGCAGCAGCAGCTTTAAGATTATTTGTGAGTTGTCTTTTACTTTCTTCCTGTAATTTTTACGTTTTTATTTCCTATCTGCATTACTAGATTTGTCTGTTTATTTGCTCGTCTTTTTTCGTTATACATCCGAACTTCCTATCGATTTTGTTATTGCTGTTATTACAATTGTACAAACAGTCTAGTTTTTTCAGTAATTATGACCTTTTAACGTCTTCTCTACCTGGTCTTCCGGATTATCACACTTTGTGTAATTTTATCAATTTGACCTATGACCTGAAATATTTCTACAAAAGTACCACTGCGTATCTATCTTACTATGCTCTGTATCCGATCTACCTGTTCATTACACTTTAGAATAATGGCAAGGTTGGATGCAGTCAGCAAGAAGCCTTGGACCTAGATTTCGTGCTAATTGGCACCCACGGGTTAGAATCTCAGAAGGGGGACAAGAGTTCCTTCCAGGTGATTGCAGATACGCCTTGCTAGCTGACTGGTGAGTGCCAACTAGCACGAAACCTAGATCGGGTCTGGCTTCCTGTGGCCGATTGCCTTCAACCATCTAATATCAACATTTCAAAGTGTACCGTGATGGCGAGCCAGCTATAATGGTGGCCACACGGCCAACGTGACTGATAGAATTCAGTCTGTAACAAGCAGAGGACTAGACACATTACACTAGTTGGTAACTATTGTCCAAAGAAAAGTACACTTTGTATCTTTTGACCGAAATTAATTCTGGAACTTTCTCATGCATTCACTATAAATACACAAATGTAGAGTCTGCCTGATGAATTCGTCAAAAAGCAAATTTTCATCGCTGCAACCATCTCCTTAATAATTCCTATCATCGAATATTAGTTATTTTGTTAATGACATTGCATTTTTATATAGATTATATCAAAATGATTTATTGTCTGTCTTTCACCACTCTATTCAAATCTATGACGTCATTTCAACTTGTGTCGCTTTTTCTAGTCTGCAATTCATCATCCCCTTGTAGATTGTATCACCTTACATTACGTAATACATTTCCTGGAACAAATTCAGCTGTATCTGATTGGTCGTCTTCTGAATTATTTGTTCAATATAAAAAAGTACAGTTTATGAGAATGAATCGACGAAAGGATACTTTTTTTGCCCACAATAATACTGGATTTAGCTGGCTGGCTGGCTGGATTCAGCATAGAACTTGGCACCGAAGTGCAGCAGTTCCAGTTGCCACGTTCCAAATAACACACAAAGGTAGACAAGAAAATGAGTGAAGAGAATCAATAGAGTTTTGACAAGTATAAGAGTGAAAAAGAATGATTAATGGTAGAAAGGAATATGAAGGTTAAACAGACTGAATACATCTGCACCATTGACAACGATTTTGAGTCATGTCGCCTATTGTCTCCAGCCATTGATTCTTAGAGTCCCGAGGGCCCCAACCCGGAAGTCTGCATCTCCCTACCTGACTCAGTTCAAATCTCAAGGATTTCATGGATTGATGAGGCCATGTTTTTGTTTGGCCACCACTTACTCTTTTCCAGCCTGCACCTACCTATATCAGCTAGTAATGCCCGTCCGTCGGGGGAGGCAATGGTTAGGCATGCGCAGCACGTCACCTAGCCATCTCAATCTATGTAACTTTATAGCGTCGTCGATTGATTTTCCCTCTTTGCCCAACACTCTACGCCTAACGTCAACATTACTTACCTTATTATGACACCTAACGTGAGAAAGAGATCGTAGACATCTATGATCAAAAACAGTCAACCTTTTCATGTCTTCAACTCGTATTGGCCATGTTTCAGAGCCATAGAGAAGGGCGGAGCGAACAAACAAAAACAGGCCATGTGTGACTGGCCTCAAGCAGTTGTCCCCTGGGCTCTGCGGTTACGCAACCAACTTCCACGTGTGGGCGGCCGGGAAGTAACAAATGCCCTCACAATCCGAAATGCACGCAAAACAGGTAGTTTGAGCTTGCAGCCACGCGGAGTATAGACTGTCTTCAACACTGGAGATTATTGGAGATATGATTCAAAAAGGTTCTGAATGCTGCAAACGCATTCACTCTCTATGATCGTCCGTATCAGTTAACCCATCATGTTTAAGCATGTTAGTATTCTTTCTGCCACATGGTGCTGGGGATTATGGTTTTTCGCAATTGATTTTTTGTCTATTTATTCTAGATTTTTGACCTACGCGTAGTGTGGAAACTTGAACGGCTGCATTTATGAGGAGAGATCTTTGTTGGAACTCAGTCGGTTAGGCAGGGACAATAGCATTTCCACACACTGAAAAAGCACAGGAAACCCTTTGAGAAGACAAAGATTTACTGCTCCATAGAAAAGAGAAGTGAATCCAAAAGTTACAGGTAAGTACTACACATGAGCAAGAAATTACCAGTTTTCGAGATATGTAAGCTTTGTTCTGACTGAGTAACCTGAATCAACAAAAATTCCCAGGCAAAACTTTTAACTTACATTAGGGTTAAATGTCTGTTCTCTAGATCACATACGAAACAGTGAGTCATTCATTACATGTTTATTCCTGTTTTAACCACACTCGTTATATAAGAGATATGATCATCTTGGCATTGTCAATTAGTAGATAACGATTATATGTCAAAAAAATATGTATGTAGAGCTCAGTAGTCATAGATGGAACGTCAATACTCGCTGACATCGAGGAACTGACTGGTTGCTTCGATGACTTATGAAATAATAAAGAACTTTGTAAAACTAAATGCAACCGTTTCTAACCATGCAATCTCTTAGCTTTCGAAATAGGCTCATCCAAACGGTCTACAGATTCTCATATGGCGCCGATGAATAGTCAAGGACTTTATGCACTAGTGACAAGTGGTGTTCAGATCAAATTATATTGGTCATAGCCTACAGTGTTGGTGGAGAAAGTTCGAGTCTTGGCATGAATAACACATGTGCTAAACTGCCTTAATCTATAAAGCATCGTAACACCTCCGAGGTAGAGGAATACATATGTATCAAACTTGATAACTACTCTCATATGTAGTTCTTTCACTAGCAAATTACACTTCTCATCTATCACCTTATATCCTACTCTTCACATATCTCAAACAAGGGTAAGTGAAAGGGAGTGCAAATATGAACCTGCCAATGACAGCTGTGTGTCCTATAGATGAGCTGCCAGACAGAAATGTAAGTCAGACAAGAGTTGGTAGAGCGCCAGACTAGAAATTTCGAGGACACTGTTTCGAATCCTGATGAGATCTTGATTTTCACTTGACGCTTAAATCACCACCTACTACACAAATAGAGTAGGCTGGCGAACCAAAACTATCTGCGATAATCGTAACATCAATATGGTTATTCTTAATTAATATACCTAAGAGTGAGCATTTTCGAGATGAGCATCCTGAAGCTTTAATGAGAAGCTGTGATAGATGAATTAAACAAATTCATCACACACTGTTAGGGTAGATTAACTATCTTTATTAGACTCGAAGCTATGACTGGTGCACACAGCAACAGCGTCAATCGAGAGGTAATTTGACAACTACTTAGCTACTACGGAATGCAGCCAACAGTTATAGATCTCATCCATCAGTTGTACGACAATGCTGCATACCATGTAATACACAACGGGAAACTCACGGAATCCTTCGAAGAAGTGAAAACGGGAGTAAGACAGGGCTGGTTGGCTGACTACTATCCCCAATGATTCTCTTGATTGTGGTAGACTGTATAATGCGACAGATAGCAGGACGGGCATTGAGGAGACAGGAATAAAATGGACCCACACAAAAAACTTGGAGGATATGAACTTCACCGATGATATATGTCTGATTTCCCACAAACTGGAAGATATGCAAGTGAAAAGTAACAAGTTGGCAGAAGAAGCATCTAGAGAAGATAGGCCTTCAGGTGAACATAGAGAAAACAGAGGTGATGAAGATTCCTGGCCAACAGCAACAACAACAGACAACAACCTGAAAGAAGCAACTTCCTTCACCTACCTACCTGGGAAGCAGGCGGATGGAACTGATGAGACTATCAAAGCGGGAGGATCGAGAAAGCGAGGCAAGATTTCATTTCCTACAAGTCTGCGTGGAGATCAACCGCACTATTCAGCATGCAAAATAAGATCCGGATTTTCAACTCCAATGTGAAGTCAGTGCTATTATACGAATCAGAGACTTGGCGCGCCATGAAGAGCACCCTAAACAAATAAACTGCTTGGACGATTTTTGGTTTGTTTGTTTCGGAGGTTCTTCAAGGCCATGTAATCAATCAGATATTGATTATATGGCTGTTTATGGTTTAAATTTCCATGGATGTGTAAACGAGATATATACTTTGGATTGTGAAGAATAAGGATCGTTGTTGTTGTTGTTATCGCGGTTTTTGCAGCTAGATCTAACTTCTGTATCTATCTCCGTATGGGAAATATTTTCAAGTGAACAGTTGGTGGTTAGAGTTGTCATGACACCAACTAACAAACCACCAACACTCCAATGTAACGCACCAACCACACTAAATAAAAGACATACCTCCATAAAGCTGACTGGGCCTTGAATAGGATTAGATCCCGATTTCTGTAATCCTCCAGCTTCTCCGCCTCCTGTTAGCTTTGCTGAAGTATCATTATTACCATTATTATTAATACTAGTTCGATTTGGATTAATATACCACCATTCACGTTGTGTATTTGCACCAGAGCCAGAGATTTCTTGTTCTGCACTAGCTTTTAATACATTCGATTGAAATGGTGTAGGCGCTCGATTTGTCTGTAGATGAGCTAAACACGCTAGATCGATTAGGACACGTACGCCATCTGCGTCGACAAATGACATGACATTGACCTAATAACAACAGAAGAAGAAAAAAAGCACGCAACTTTTTATACACATTTTCAATTGAAGAATTGATATTGTAATGGAATTTTAAAAACAAGTCTTCTAAGAATTATTCCATAAGAAAGAATCTTGTATAGTGCGCATATAACAACTATTCAGACGGCAAGCAAGCAAGCGAACATTCAACATTCATTATTTCATGTTACTTTCAGAAAGGGAAGAATGAAAGAGATTGTAGTGAGTTCGCGATTATGGCGATATCTGATAATGTTTTAAGCCACCGATACGAAGTATTTCCCAGACACAAACCAGGAGGTCATGATATACCAACTGATCGTAAAGTAACACACATATTCTTCATTCCACGGTTTTGATGTTGTTGTGTTCTCTGAGCTGGATAGTTAATTTGCGAAGCTTTCATCACCCTACTGGGTGACATCTTCAGCGCATACTTCAATTTGAAGTGAGCTTTTAGATTTCTCCACGAGTTTATTAATCATCTCTCCTGGCGACCTTGGACGTGATTGGTTGTTTTTGTCTGTTTTCACACCTTCTAGGTGTGAAGATGTGCTGAAGATGTCACCCAGTAGGGTGATGAAAGCTTCGCAAATTAACTATCCAGCTCAGAGAACACAACAACATCAAAATCATCCACCTGAGCTACAAATCTTCTCTATCATATCATTCCACGGTGCCGAGTCATAGGCTGACCACCTCTTTGCTTTTTCCATCCAGCCCTAAGGCTATCCAACAGCGAGTGGTATGGTAGTCTCTGGGATGGCTTTAGTAAGACATATCCAAGCCACTGAAGCCAGTCCGTCTGTCTATCTGGATTCAACATAGAACTTGACATTGAAGTGCAGCAGTTCCAGTTGCCACGTTCCAAATAGCACACAAAGGTAGACAAGTAGATGAGTAAAGAGAATCAATAGAGTTTTGACAAGTATAAGAGTGAAACAGAATGAGTAATGGTAGAAAGGAATATGAAGGTTAAAGAGACAGAATACATCTGCGTAAGCCATTGACAACGATTTTGAGCCATGTCACTTATTGTCTCCAGCCATTGATTCTTAGAGTCCCGAGGGCGGGCCCCAACCTGGAAGTCTGCATCTCCCTACCTGACTCAGTTTAACTGTCAAGGATTTCATGGATTGATGGATTCCATGTTTTTGTTTGGCCACCACTTACTCTTTTCCAACCTGCACCTATATCAGCTAGTAATGCCCGTTGGGGGAGGCGATGGTTAGGCATGCGCAGCACGTGACCTAGCCAACTGAAGCCGGTGCTTCAAGATAACAACACTCAATGAGTGGTGACCTCCACTGTGTTCAAACACACTCTGTCGGACCTCAGAATTACTCACAGAGACAGCGATGATCGAATAAGCAGAATCACCACGCATTCTCAGCTAAACGAGGGCAGGTATAAAGGGCGTAGAGACACAATGGGCGCATCGAAGTATTGTAAACCCAACCTTTGAAAGGCAGATTGACGTTGAGACGATGCCAGAAGTTTTCCTCAAATAGTATTGAGAACAGAAATTTTTTCAAAATGATAAGACTCCTAACTGAGCTTGTAGAATGGTTACTCGTCAAACACAGATGGTCACCACGAGAACGTCAACTTTTTCAATAAGTAAACGGAAGTGAATACAACCAGCAAAATATAGTACTCAAGACAACACACCTAGATTCCCAGATTCTATGCTGTAGACATCCCTAATCCAATATTTGAACACCTAGCCTCATCACAGTATGCCCTTATGAATACATATAAATAACATCAGTAGCTTTACACTGGCCACGAAACAGACAAAATGTCCCTCAATACACACGACAGACTCTACGAATTCCCTCGGTATTATGGAATAAAGCATTCTCTGGGGCCAATTGAAGTCCCTGAACCTCAAATAAGACGAAACAGAAACTTGGTATGAAAGTGTTAGTCTTAAGAAAAGTGGTCACATCACTCAGGCATACAAAATAAACTTAATGCATCTGTAATAATAATGATAAGATAGATAGACAGTAATCAGTTGCGAAAAATACTATATTAACCAAGCTGGACGTCACACATAAAAACTATCAGTCAAAATACACCACATACATTCATTCACACTAATGTATGCAAACAACTGTAGGCATCAATTCATCAAGCAAGATGTGACCAAAACACGGAGAATGTCAGTTTTCTGAAATGAATTTGCAGTTAAGACATATACTGGTACATGTCAAATCTATCCACCAATACTGAGTAAGTTACAAAACATAAATATCAGGTCAATGAGTGGATCAATATCAATAGAAGTGAATCCAATCACATAGAAATCTACAAGAACAATCAATCATAGTCAAGGTCACCAGCGAAGACAGATATATCATTCACAGAAAATATCAACAACTAACACTGTATTGTAGTAAGTAGTGGATATTTTAAAGGCTGATCACGAAATGACTGAAGTTAGAGAACGATTAAAAAATGACGAAGCAGTAGTGAACAGCTACTTCGTCCCAGCAGTTTGGAGTAATGACAGAAATTCACAGATAACATTGGCTGGCGGTCGCGTTATACATCGTGAATTGGCAAAAGTTACCAATAAGCGGCTATTAAATATTGTTCAGTGGCTGAACAGTCAACAACCTCACCTTGTAACTTGAAAGTCCTGGGCTAGATCCCTGATGAGGTCATGGTCGCGCGCTGATGAAGAGTCCCAAACTAGGATAAAACAGTTGTCTACTACTCCATTGGCTTCCAATAGTTCTCTAACTGAAGTCATTTGGTGATCAAACTTGCAAATAAACAATTGAACATTGAGAATTTAGAGTCCAGAAGCAGGAGCAGGGCTTTCTAATCAAATTATTTGGCTCAAGCAACACAACAACACCGTAAACAAAGAGAGCATCATACAGACTTGTAGTAAGTGACAGTTATTTTGGCGCACACACATAGATGAAGAAAAACCACGCTGAACCATTTACTTTATACTGGACTGAAATGGACAGTCTCCGTTAACATTTCGGCTCCAGGTACGGACGATTCAGAGACGTCAAATAGCTAACATGAAGCAATTTATCATGGCTCAGTAGTCTAACGTATACTTACTGACTAACTGGCTGTTTTCACTATAAAACTTTGTACAGTTGTGCACCAGTTCGAGCTGACACACTCCCTCCATGTACCACACAAAGCAAGAGAAGAGGTTACAGAGAGATTCAAAAGACAGATAATAAACACAAATACGGGGTAAAAGAATATTAATGTGGAAGAACAATTGAATTTTATTGGATATGATAAATCACAAAGAGTGGATGTATCTGAGCTATCACTGAGAACAATTTTGAGCCACTACACCAATTATCTCCAGTCACTAGTTTTTACCATCTCGAGGACCCCAGCCATTAAAGAAGTATAAACCTCCTTAAGTGAGTGGCAGGCTTAAAATAACTGTAATGGATTTCATTGACTGATGAAGCCATGTTTTCGTTTGACCACAAGCAGCTAACTCTTTTTCAACCTGATTCATCCTATGTCAGCTAACACCACCAGTCGTAAAAGGCGATGGCTAGGCATGTGTAACATATCTCCTTACTACCTCAATAGTAGTAACTTCACAGCCTCATCTACTGATTTCCCCTCCTCGTTATCTAGCACTCCACCGAAGCCTAACCTCAATATTGCTTACCTTATTATACCACTTAACATGGGAGATAGAACGCGGGCACGTGTGATCAAAGACAACTACACTGGCTTTTCATGTCTTCCACTTTCAATGGCCAGGTCTCAGAGCCATAAAGGAGGATGAAGAAAACTGCCGAGCATTACACACGCCCTTTGGTCGACAGCCTGATGGATATGACGTCCACGCCAGCGACTGCGTAAGTTAGTAGGTAAATGACAAACGAGTCTTCTGCATCCGTGCTGAGAATTCGTCAGCAATCAATCCGTTGGGGCTAATGAAACTTCCCAAATAAGTGAAGTGGTCAACGCGCTCCACGTACCACTTCACTCCTGTCTATCTTTACACTAGGAATGAGTCGATGTAGTCCAGTCAGTCCTGTAACATCAACTTACTTTTGGCGGGAGTGAATCGCATGCCAAAAATTCGTAGATTGCAGCTCAAGGTGTTCAAAAGACTCTGCATTTTGTCACTGTCTTTACCAAGAAGGACTATATCATCTGCATATTCTGAGTCAACGAAATTAAACCCTAGTAACAAGTCAATCCCTGAGTCTCTGAAGTCAGTTAGGGTTAAGCCCATTAGCACATCTACGACGAAATTGAATAGAAATGGGGATAGTAGACATCCCTGATGGACACCACTAGTTGTGACCACTTCAGATGACAACTCGCCGTAAGCCCTCAACCTACTGCGTGAGTTCAAGTAGAGTTCCTTGATCAGTGCAATGTATTTTCTCGGCATTCCTTTTACAGCCAAGCATCGCCAGAGTACCTCTCGATCGACAGAATCAAATGCCACCTTTGGGTCAAGAAATATAACGATTGTTGGACACCGGTAAGTATGCTTACGTTTCAGGATCTGTCGGAGGGTGAATATATGATCAATACACCCTCATCCTGGTCTAAAGTCTGCCTGGCTCTCTCGAGGTTTTTCTTCCCGAGAACCCCTTAGTCTACGCATTGCTATTGAGCCTAGAACCTTAGATACCATATTATTAGACAAGCTGATCCCCCTGTGGTTATCACAGGAAGACTTGTCACCCTTGTTGTATAACTCCTCGGCATTTGAAGAGAGGAGTGCACGGTTCAAGCCTCAGTAGGAATATCATCACTCACTCACCTACTGACGACTTGGAGTAATCCTACTAACGATGACTCCCAAATACTAAGAATAGCACAACCTGCATTCCAATGCTAGCTGTTACCAACCGGATCACGTTAAATATCAAACAATAAACCCAACTTACCTTATTCAGCATAAGTTTATCCAACAGTAGGAGAAGACAATCTCTTTCAGATGGAAATTTTGTATTATCTAACAAATAGATCAGTAAGGGAATATCTGACACTGGACCAATTTCATGATGACAACGATTATAGACAACAGACATAGCATGTAAGCACAGGCATCTCATGATAACACGACGATGTACATTATTATTAGTAGTAGTATTAGTATTATTAGACCGATGTAAATTCATTGACGTATCATTGAATGAGTAGAATGGACCAGAGGCAACATACTGTAAGTAACGACGGAATAGTTCATTGAAAAATGCAGTACTGAAATAAGAGAAAAAGTAGAAATATGCAGTAAGGAATATTAATAGCACTGATTGATATGGATAGGCCGCAGTCACAGACGCAGATCAGTAGTATCGGGAACGAGATCACATAAATCGACATATGCATACAATATACATAATATATACAATTCCAGTCCCTTCTATTAAATATCCTTTGTCAACCGTTCATTAGGAATCAATCCCAAGTATGATCACGGTTTGATACAGGTTAGAGAACCATTGAAAACTTGAGAGTACTTGATGGCTATTTCACTGTTCTCAACAGAAGAAACCATCAAGGATCGAACCCAGGACCTTCAGGTTACAATACCAAGCTTGTTGATCATTAGACTGCTTAGGTCGGAATTCTGTAGACTCGTGATTTTAGCACAACTGCGACTATTTCTCCTCTCACACACTCGAACTTGGCAATTGCCACTTGAAGGTTGCGGACTCAATCATCGGTGGGGTCATGAGTGCGCGTACTGCTGAAGAGCCCCCAAGCTAAGAAGAAACACCTGTCCATTACTCTCTGATTTTCAGTGGTGCTCCAATGTATATCAATCCGTACAAATGAACACCTGCAGAAATGTCAGTTTATCTAATTTCCTTAACAATCTGGCACTGCATCATCTGACTGTTTACTAAGCCTTTGTCTTCTACATCTATTTGAGCATTAATTCGTTTAACCATATCACCATTCTTATTATTATGGATCACTCTCTTTATTGTTCAGCATCATTCTTGATGACTGACTCATTGGTTTCAACGTGGAAATTTGCACATATGTACAGCAGTTCGACTCCCCACATTTCACTTAGCACACAAAGCCACAGACGAAAGTAAAAAGAAATGCAAAACAGAGACAGTAAACAGAGATATGAGGTGAAAAGAATAGTGATATGGGAGAACAATGCAGTTTTATTGGTTAGTTCAGGTCACAAGGAGTGGATGCATCTGCACCAGCCACTGAGAACGATTTTGAGCCATGTCACCGATTGCCTTCAGACGTCATTGGTTCTCACCACCTCAAAGATCCCAACCAGGAAGTCTCCATCCTCCAACGTGGCTGGCTTAAACTAACTGTTGTGGATTTCATTGACTGATGAAGCCACGTTTTGGTTTGACCACCACTAGCTCTTTTCCAATCTGATCCTATGTCGGCTAACATTGCGTGTTGTCGAGGAAGGTGATGGTTATAGATACGTAACATATGTCCTAACCATCTCAGCCGATGTAGCTTCACAGCTGTTTCTGTTGATTTCCCCTCCTTAACTAGCACTTGACGGATGCCTAAATTCAATATTGCTAACCCTATTACATCTGCCACCTAACACGAGAGATAGAAGGCAGATACCTGTGATCAAAGACAGCTAGTCAGCCTTTTCGTCTCGTCCACTTTCAATGGCCAAGCCTCATGGTTTATATTGAATATTTATTTCTGAAGTTTGAAGGGATGTAATTGAAAACAACATCCAGTTCACACGTGCCTTCATTAAAAAAAATAACAACAATAGTTGAATACTATCGTTATTATGTCGGGTTAAATAACAATTGTATGTACGACTGAAGGAGCAGCAAAGACTGGACTGCAGGTGAACATAGAAAAGACAGAGGTGATGAAGATGAACAACCGCCACCAACAGCAACAACAACAACCAGCACCAATCAACACCAACGGGAGAGATTTGACAGAAGTAAGTTCCTTCGGTAATCCGGCCAGCAAGCACGGTTTCAACGACAGGCAGACGGACAGCCTGGATGAAAATGTCAAAGACAGCCAACCAGTCAGAATCAGAAAGGCAAGACACACTTTAATCAATCTGAAACCATTTTGTAAATTTTCTGCACTCACTCAGCTAGCATAAAGAACAAGATTCGGATTATATTCAACACAAATGTGAGAAAATTGCACTGCTTGTTACAATAAGCATTTCCAACCTGTCTGTCTGTCTGTCTGTTTTCGACATAGAACTTTGCACATATGTGCGGCTGTTCAAGTCGCCACAATCCATGTAGCACGCAAAGCAAGAGAAGGAAGTAGAAGAAATGCAAAATATAGACAGTAAACAGAGGTGTGAGACAAAGGAATAGTAATAACGGAGAACAAAACAGTTTAACTGGAAATGATAAGTCACAAGGAGTGGATGCATCTGTGCCAGCCATTGAGAACGATTTTGAGCCATGTCACCAATTGTTTCCAACCATTGGTTTTTACCATCCCGAGGGCCCCAACCAGGAAGTCTACATCTTCCTACGTGGCTGACTTAGACTAACTGTTGTGGATTTCATTGATTGGTGCCATGTTTTGGTTTGACCGCCGCTAGCTCTTTTCCAGCCTGACCCTATATCAGCTAACATTGCCCGTCGAGGAACGTGATGACTAGGCATACGTAGCACATGTCCTAACCATCTCAGTCGATGCAATTTCACAGTCTCGTCGATTGATTTCCCCGCCTTACCTAGCACTCGACGCCTAACCTCAATATTGCTCACCTTATTATTCCACTTCACGCGGGAGATAGAACGCAGACACCTACGATCAAAGACAGCTAATCTTTTCATGTCTTCTGCTCTCAATGGCCAGGTCTCACAGCCATAAAGGAGGACGGAGCGGACTGTTGAGCAGTACACACGCCCTTTGGTCGATAGTCGGATATCGCGTCTACGCCAGAGACGGCGAAAACTGGCGAATGCGAACCTAGCCCTCTGTATTCGTGCTGAAATTTCGTCGGAGATCAACCCGTTGGGGCTGATGGTACTTCCCAAGTAAGTGAAGCGGTCAACGTGTTCTACCACTTCACTTCCTATTTCTAATCTAGGGGTCGATGAAGTCCAATCCTGCAGCATCATCTTACATTTTATAGGGGCGAATCGCATGCCAAACATGCGGAGGTTGTTGCTCAGGGTGTTCAGTAGACTCTGCATTTTGTCAGAGTCCTCGGCTAGAAGGACTATATCGTCCGCATATTCTAAGTCAACGAGATTCTTCCCTGGTAGCAAGTCAATCCCTGAGTCGCTGAAGTGAGTTAGGGTTAAGTCCATTAGTACATCTATGATGAAATTGAATAGGAATGGGGATAATGGGCATCCTTGACGGACGCCACTAGTCGTCACCACTTCAGATGACAACTCGCCATAAGCCCTCACCTGGCTGCATGAGTACGAGTAGAGTGCCTTAATCAGTGCAATGTATTTTCTTGGCATTCCCTTTACAGCCAAGCATCGCCAGAGAACCTTCCGGTCGACGGAATCGAATGCCGAGCATTTCCAACAGTCCGCTACAGACTTTTATCAACAGCTGCCCACTTCTCTGGTCGGCTCCTTACTGAAGATCAAATGGCCACCAGCCGGCCAACCGGCCAGAAGGAATAATTAACAAGAAACTCTGTATGGGAACAAACCAACAGGCATGAGCCGATTGCTCAACAATTGGATATTCAGGAGAAAATGGAGAAGGATTGATGCGGGATACGCCGTCGAATGACATCGTGCTCATTTCAGGCGATCACTCAAATAGAATCCCAATGGGAGGCGACGAGTGGGTAGTCAGTGAGCGGTTGACATGGAGGAGATCGTTTGGGTAGGAGGGGATGAGAGATTATAGGCAACTGTGGCCCCAGTTGAAAAGGACACCAGTGAATCGAAGAAAGTGGAGATGTGTTGTTGAAGCCCTCCTATGTTCCACTCGGAACCCAAGGGAATAATAATAATAAGTGTAAGCTGATAGAAAACTTGATGAAATGCCTTTGTGATTAAAGGTAGCTAAGATGATAGTCAGTGCACTGACACCCCCAGGTCTGTTGACAAAAAAAGTAGCTCAACAGTAGTGGATGCACACTAAAACCGCCACACAAAAATCAATAGCCTACGGAATAATTAGTTTATAACAAAAAAAGCATTTCAATGAAGAGGATAATAAATATTGATTATATTCAGTTTTCTCTGTCTCTCTCTCCATTTCGCTTACGATTGGTCTTACTTACCTATCACGAATACGTGATAAGCCGACTGGCACGTTATCAGCTGCATTACTTGTTGTCAATGTATTAGCATCAATCACTTCATTCTTATGTCTATCCTCTTCCAGCAAGAGACGTAGAAAGTAATTACCAACTCGTGGTTCTTCAGCTAAACTTGGATAGTGTACTTTGAATTCTCTATGATTCCATGAAACAAGACTTGCCTATAATAATCAGAAAAATAGAAACGAAATAGAATTGTAGACAGCAATTTACGTCAGTGTTACGTCCCGAATCGGGGTCATGAGAAAAAAAATAATAACAAAGCTTAACTTTGAGGAACTCACCAACCAATCACGGCAGACTTAGCCTGTGCAAATACGATTCGTGGATATATGGCTTAACTTTCTAAGGAACGGTCACAAGCAGTACGGAATAACCTTGAGCAAGAAAACAACCAATCAGAAGACATTGCTTCTCTGTTAACAATAACGAATAATAATAATGTACATAAAAATAGCTATAAACATCTCTTGATTTTCTCAATAAACGATCTGTTGCCTAGCCCTTGTCTTCTGTCGTTACAGAATAAGTTACATGTGATGCATAGTATAACCAAGTAGAGAAAAAAATGGAAATTCGATGAAAAATCTAAGCAAACACTGGCAATCGAAGAAGTTTGTTTTTAATGAGGTGTGACTGGTTGGGTTCATCATGTTGGGTGTTGGGGTTTTATCATCGATTGGCAGAAGTATAAGAATTCAATGGTTACCACATCTCCACCTAATAGCTAGACAGTAACGTGCTCACCCTGGACATCCTTGGTCTGATCCGTGGTGGGACTATCAAGGACAGGCAATATGTTTACCCGGAATCTTTCATGTGCTGTTCCAATTACAGGACCTGCTGAATAGCCAGCTACTAAGCGTTCCAAATTCTCAATCAGACAAGAGATCCTGAACAAAAACCATGGACACGTAGGCACAGAAACAGTATCTATATAAGATCAAGGATTATAATGCTACGGTTTAAATTGTCACACCATGTAAATTCACACAAATTAGAAAATTTGGGAGAATAGATGTAATACAACAATTACGAAGGAGACAATACATCAATACATATGCCTAATTATAATCTCACTACATATTTCGACTGTCAAGATAGGTAAGGTACACTTTGTCACAAAAATTCATGGAATACTAATAAGTTAAAGTTTGGTCATTTTAAGTTCTGCTTTCTGCTAATAGGACACGCTGAAATACAGACAGACAAGTCAACTGAGAACCCCATAGGATGATGTGGAAAACGTCTACACTAGGATGTAATAGTATCATGTGCACTAGTTATTCATGTATATATATATAATATATTATATATATATATACAAGGTGGTATATAGAATAGCTTCTTTAGATAAGCGATAATCACCTGTGCGCCAATGGAAAAGCCATTGAAGAAAAAACGCGAGAATAAGAAGGAGCCTACAGGTAGTATAGAGTGTCCGAGATTCAATAGGCTGACTGTGACGGCCCAATCCATTTCATGAGGGTTAGCAATCAACTGTAGAACAGTAATTACTTTACTTACTTTGCTTCGGCTATCTCCTACGGAAGGATGAGCCGGCTTCATGAACTTCTCAAATCATCGCTACCCAGGCGCAGCGATCTGATGAAGAGAGTTTACGAAGTTTCATGGGAATTTGGTACGAGTGATGTCCCCAGAACCACTCGGCCTTTTGTTTGAGAGTGCAGCTCTAGCCTTTACACAACCAAGTGTGACCTACAAGGCAGTAGGAGTGGAGTGGGGAGTCCACTATCCATTGGCAACCGGTGACCGGAGTTCGGTTCATACGCCTTTTTGAATGGAGCCAGACATCCAGGACATCCAACAAGCCCTTTGTCCATACGTCTGCCGGTGAGCTCCAGTGAGCTTCATACGCCAGTCGTTGGAGGTTTGGAATCAGGGTTTAACCATCTCCCCTAGACTGTCATCCAATGGACAGTCAACCCGGTGAAGAGCGCCGGGCATCCGCGCTCTAACGTATTCACAATTTACGGCATTTCAAAGAATTTCGCAGGACCTCTGTTCAACTACATCTAGTGACATCGAGTGTCTGTCTACACATGCATAACTTATGAAGGTGTCTATCACCTCGCCCACCTACTGTTAAGAGAGAATTTTTCAGCATTCCAAGTTCAAAACTGGGGCCTGATGCTTTAAAGGGTAGATTTAGTAGCCCCATGGTCAGTTTTAATTCTTTCCAGCAGACTAGCCGGTGTGTTTAAGAGTGAGTCCGTTGGGGCGCCGTCGAACTCGGACCTCCTGTGTGTTTGGTGAGCAATCTACCACTGGAACACAGACACCTCTGAATAAACCATAATACAAGGAATTTAGAAACAAAACACATAATGTACACTTCACGAAATGGTGCTGTCGACTAAATAAAAAAAGCCAACAACTGTAAACTGAGTACCAATCAACTTATAGGAAGGCAGAAATTAACACAGGATTCAAGAAAAACACTGAATGACCAATCGATTTTTTAGTTCAATTAAAAGGAATAATGGATTGAAAAAAACCAAATAATCCAACAAGATTGATTTTCAGATACATCACTCATTGCGCCAGAAAAACAATCTGCTCACGAGTGAATACGACTAAAATATATATGTGTGTGTGTGGTGTTAAACCATGAAGCATACAGTTAACGCTGTATGATTACATCAACAATTTGTGCTTACATAAAGTTACTCAAGTGTTGGATATTATGATGGCATATTGAGAAAATTCTAATTGACTATTCTCTAATCATCATAAGTATTTTCGATTAGCGTTGTAAGTAGAAAATTATCATATATTTACATCACACATACCTACTTATGCTAATTAACAAAGCAGTATCATTCACCACAATCTACACAATCCTTTATCAGAAGTATATGCATATGTTTATACATATATTTGTTCATAATAAAGCGATACAAATGCCTCACTTCTACGCTGCAATCTAATTCACTTTGAAGAGAGATTAGAAAATGTGTCAACATGTGACATGCACGAAACATTTAAAATGAGGAACAACACTTTTACGATACAGTGAAAGGAGATGTAGAAAACCGAGAAACTTCTACAGGAGTTCAATCGTGCGGAGAAATATACCTGAGTGGTAAAGTCTCTCTCATTATAGCACTAGGTGATGCGGGTACATCACCTGCTACGAGGTTGCAGATACACCTTGACGGCCGCTTAGTGCAAATTATGAAAGTTAGGCTAGACAGAGCTCCTTGTCGATTACCACCAAGTGTACGATGATGCAGATGCACCAATCGTGGTGACCCCACTGCAAACTCGAGCTGAGAGAATTAAGTTAACATCAACATTAAGAATCAAAACCATGACACTAGTTACCGCCTAGTGACCAATCAATTTATTTACACATACATAGTTGATTTGTACTCAGTAGTATAAGGTTTACTGTCTTGAAACAACAACATCAGCAACTGCGTGAAATTAAGTCTTGAACGTATATGTATATGATTAAACGGATATATAGAAGACAAGCAGGTGTCATAGATAAACCCCTCCAGTTTTTCAGTGACAACTTGAAGTTTGTATTTAGACGGAAGGTGTAGATATGTGATCATATATTCGCATGTGATAAGAATCTTCGGCAGTTATAGTGAGATTAGGGATATAGGGTTAATGTGAAGCATAAGCTGTATCTGAATCTGAATTTCAGGGGAGATTTGGCAGCCGACATCCTGAAGAGGAGAATATCCAGCTCTTTAAAGAAGACCTTCCCTGCTGCAACACTAAGAGTGACATTCTCTAGCCGTCCAATACTTCGAAACAACGCGAAGGGCAAACTCTCGCATATGACCAATTCAATGTGCATATACCAGTTCACTTGCTCGTGAGGAGCTAGGTACATAGGTCGTTGTATGCGCGTCCTTTCAAAACGTGTTAGAGAACACTACCCAGCGTGGTTGTAAAGAGGAAGCACCGGTTCAATCAGAAGTGCCATTATTGAACATCTGATCAACACGCCCCACAACATCTCAACTGATTCATTCAAAGTAATTTACAAAATCAACAGAAACCTACTAAAAGCAGTGTGCTTCTGACTTCTCTGTACTGTAGAAGCCCTCACAAAATGCTTCGAGAAGCCGGAGCTGTGTGTTCTAAAGAAGTTAGTCCAACCTCTACAACTACCATGGACCTAGTTCGGTATGTTCCCTTAGCTTCCGTTTTTCTCTTCTTTCGTTCTCTTTTTTTTCTTTTTGATCTTTTTTCGTTCGCTGTGTGTGTGATTCTTACTTCCTGAGTCTTCATTCGATTCACCCCATTTTTTCAGTTATAAAAACAGTTATTTTAAGTTTGTTTCCATGCTTTTCCTGTTTACATTTATAATTCGTTTTAAAAATTAATTATTTTACAATTATATCTTAATCCAGTGTAATTTTTGTGTTTCTAAGGCTCTTTTAATCTAAATTCGCACCTCCCAACTTCCATTTCAAGTTGAAAATTATTATTTCAATTTTGTTTCCATGCTCATTTTTTTTCTTCACGTTCCCCAGTGGAACATAGGGCTTCAAGCCTCTAGCTTGAAGTTTCTGTAGCAGTGTTTATTTTACAGGATGGGGTTGCTAGTCTCATGCCCAACCTTTCCTCTTCACCAGCATTATTTCTGGCTTAGCGAGGTAAAGGAGTGCGTCGGCCGGGGATCGAACCCCGAACCATGTGCATGGTCGGCGAGCGTCCTAACCGCTATTCCACCGACACACATGCTCATTTTTACACACTTGTTATCCGTTCTAATTCTGTGTAATTTTGTTGCTAAGATTCTCGTAAAAACCATGTCTAGTTGAAAATAATTGTCACCTTTTATTCGCCGTCGTAATTATGTGGAATAAAACAAGAATTGTATCCACATGTCAAATTTTGTATTTAAATGCGATTGTACAGCTTTTGAAAATGAAATCGCCGAAAAGATCGCCATCTTTGCTGAAGCATAATTAACGTATCGATGGACTATATTGGTTCACACAACCAGGATATGTGTTACACATGTGTTGGGCCAGCATTTTTTCTAGGTGAACTGTTAGCTGATAAAGGATTAGTAGGTTGGAAACCCATTATGAGTGCGTAAACCAATGCATGACATCAAACCATGAAGCCTCTAACTATTAGTTTGAGCCACACGGGTTAATTTACACAGAAACGTAATGAAACTACAGTGGTTGAAGACGCGTGGGAAGAATAATTAAGTGAAAATTAGTCAGGATTTTGAGCATCTGGATAATGATAAGAAGGAAGGAATCTGTGCTGTTGGGAAGGATTTTCAGTTACAGAATCGTAGCATCCCAAACACCTCAGTCAGGCAGTCTGCACTTCCTTTAGTGGTTGCCTTAAAGCAGCAATGAGACTTTATGGATTCGTGTCATGTATCAGTCAGACTGCATTTAACTAGTTTCCAACTTAATTTTGATATTAGTCATCACTGCTCATTGGAGAAACCGATGGCTTGGTGTATGCGTAACAGCATGTCCTAAGCATCTAAATCGATACAGCTTCACAAACCTATTGATTAAATTTCCGTGCTTACCTAGCACTACTCCTAATTTCATTATCATTGACCACATTATGCTATGCAAAAAAAAAGAAAAACAAGGCAGACATACATGATGAAAGACTGTTGGCCTTCTCATATTTGTCATTTTCAATGGGCATGCCTAACAGCTGTGAAAATAGATGAAGCGAGTTGATCTACAGTCGCTCACAAGTCACTTGACTGATTGGTTGATATCATGACCATGTCAGTAGTGAGTATTATTAATATTATTATCATTTATTGGGGTTCTGGATGGAACATGGGGCTTCAACAACATATCCCCACTTTGGTATATTTCCTGCTGTCTTCTTCAGCTGGCCAGCCACACGATTGCCCATAATCTCTCATCTCCTCCTCCATTTCAAACGCGCACTGACGACCCACTCATCGCTTCCCATTGAGATTCCACTCGAGCAATGGCCTACATTGCGCGCGATATCATTCGATGGCCTCCTAAGTAGCGTGTGCGCGATCAATCCATCTCCATTTTCTCCTACATATTTGTAGAGCAATGGGTTCTTGGTTGGCTTGTCACCTGACAAAATCTCTGATTGCTAATTCTTACTGGCCGGTCGGCCGACTGGTGGTCATTTGATCTTCAGTATGGAGCCAGCCAGCGAAGTGGGCAGCTGTTGATAAAAGTCTGCAATAGGCTGTTAGAAATCCTTTTCATGACGCGCTGACCAAGTTTCTGACCGATATAGAAGAACTGATTGACTGACTTCACATTTGTGTTGAACAGAGTCCGAATCTTGTTCTTTATGCTGAGGCGGAGTTCAGAAAATTTCCAAAATGGTTTCAGGGTGATGAAGATGTGTCTTGCCTTTCTGATTCTGGTTGGTTGGCTTTGACCGTGCTTGCTGGTCAGATAAGTGAAGGAAGTAACCTCTGTCAGATCTGTCCCGTTGGTGGTGATTATTAATGTTGCTGTTGGTTGGTTATCTTCATCATCTCCGTCTTTTCTATGTTCACACGAAATCCTGTCGTTTTTGCACTGATTCTCCAACCAATTTTTTTTAATTTTCACCTGCAAGTGTCCTCAAGTTAGTGAGATATTAAACAAGTCATCGGCAAAATCCAGATCTCCTAGAGTCTTCTTATCGATCAGTTCAGTGCATTCCTGTCCCTTAGCTCCCCACAGTCTGGAGCATAATCCAGGCCACCACAATTAAAATATCATCGGTGACAATACGAAGGTGGTCTTGTCTTTCTCCTGTATTCGCATCGAACGCCTCGCCGAGCTTCCCGGTGTGGATCACCTGACAAGTGGCAGGCATTGTCATATAGCCAAGTGTTGAATGAGGTTGATAGAGACTTCAGGTACGCCGTAGAGTTGAAGTATTCTCCGAATTACTTCTCGTTCGACGCTGTCGAAGGCCTTTTCATCGAAGTTGATGAAGTTAAGGTAGAGGTTTGACTGCCATTCTATGCTTTGTTCGATGACGATGCGTAGAGTTGCAATTTGATCAGCACACGATTTGCCTTTCCTGAATCCAGCTTGTTCCGGGTGGAGTTCTGTATCCAATGCATCCTTTATTCTCTCCAGGATAGTGAAACTTAGTATTTTACTTGGCGTGGAAAAGAGCATGATTCCACGCCAGTTCTTGAAGAGTGAGGCATAAGTCATCCTTCTTTGGCAGCTTGACATAGTCGCCAGCCTTTCTTCCAATCGGTAGGTACCTTTCCTTCTTTCCAAACCTTTTGTAATAAAGGTATGAGAACATCTGCCATAGTTTCCGTGTCCGTTTACAGTGCCTTTGAGGGAATCCCCTCTGGCCCCGCTGCCTTCTCGGACTTCAGTAGCTTGATCGCATTCAGCACTTCTGATACAAGTTGGTAAACAGCAAACGAGCCTTTTGTATCCGTGCTACGGTTTCGTCAGCGATTCTAATGAAACTTTCCAAATAAGTGGAGAGGTGAATACACACTTAAGCACTTCGCTCTCTACTGAAGTTTTGACGCTAAAGTAGGACAATAAGCTTTGATTATAAAAACGAAGGGTGTTTCAACGCGCAGTTTTATGAATAATACACATTTCATTTACTTGAAGAGAAAGAAAAAATGTGAAATGAAATTGAAACAGTCAAAATACAAATCCTACTTACCTGATTGATAAGTCGATCTGCTTGTATTCTAGTTGGACTAGCTGACACTCGTGTACGTCGAGATGAAGTTGTTGATCGTGTTAGAGTTTGAGAATGAACATTATTATTATTATCATTAATCATATTATTATTATTAAGACGTTTTGGTAGATCTGTTGTATCATCCAACTTTTTCAAAGCATTCTTCTTTTCATCAATATTCTGATCAATTTGTAGTTGACCATTATTATTACTACTATTATTATTATAATTAATAGTAGTGTTTGTTGTAGAATCATCAGTATGATTTTTTATTCCATTTGTTATAGCACTACTAATATCTGGTGTACTCTGTGCCCGACTACTCAAACCAACACCGACACCAACACTACTGGGATATATTCTTTCTGGTTGACCAGGTCCTACCGGTTCTGATCGATCAATATCAGCAGTATCTGATTCTTCTAGACGACTTTGTGCAAAATAATTTCGCTCCTGCCGAAATTCTTGTAATTCTTTCTCCATTGCTTCACGTAATTCATTCCTTGTCTATTGTAGAAATAGTAAATTAAAAATGATAATAATGATAAATCAGAATGATAAGAACTCCAAAAAAAGGATTGAAAACAACAAATTAGAATCCGAATGATATTCAGCAAAACCCATACCTCTTTAAGTTAATCAGAACTCTTCAATGAGAAAGAGATTCTGCATGTCTCACGATATGAGCCACATATATGTCCCCATGAACGACCTAGACCGACCGACGATGACTAGACTTCTGTCTTTGTCATGAAATCCTCTCATACGGTAATTCCTAGTCACTAGATTCACGTGGCGCAGATGTTCCCTACAAAAGTGGAGGGTCCATTCAGGACGCCTGTTAACCTTCGAAATTATATTAGATGTACCCCAATTTTCGGCAGAAGTCAGAATTCAAGGAGCTATTAGATCGGATCCCAGTGAATTAATAGTAACGAGCTTACTAGTCTTGTTACCAGAAGGTCTTGGGTTCGAACACCGGTGGGTGCGTACCTTGAAGAGTATCAAACCAGGACGAAACAGCCGTCCAGTGCTCCCAGGTGGTTTTCCAATGGTTCTCTAATGCTGATGTCAGCTCGTGATGAAATCCTGTAACCTGACTATATTTTGCTGGTATTTTCACACATCAGTGAATACAACTCACTCCCTGAAACTCATACTTTTTTATTGATTATAAATACACAAACAACATGTCACTTAATAATCGCAATAATAATAATAATAGCTTCATTCTGAACACTGTTTGTATACAGTACATAATTTTCAGCTTAGTTTTATCTTTTACTTATACAGGAATTTACAGTATACTATTTGACGAAATATCCTCCTGTCTACAGAAACGTGCATGTCCCTTTTGAAAAAGAAATGCCACCAGGAGGTAGGCTGAAAGTTATTTACAAAACTACACCTCAGTACAAACTATTCTTCAAGGGATATATATATAGATGGTAGTTAAAACAAAGTATAATTGTGAGTAAAAAATTTAACGCCTAGTTCATCCAAAGATTTATACGGGTGATTATATGACATATGTCTTCTTCAAAGTGGCGCCAACTGCTTCATCTGGTGAGTATTAGGAAATCAACAAATAGGCCAAAATATATCAGCAGGTAAGTATAAAACTTGGGCACTGTGGCTGTAGAGTATAACTCCACTATAGATAAGTTTTTATTTTGACAAATCACACAGTGTTTGTTATACAGTAATATTTACTGATGACCACGTTTCGACTACACATTAGTGCTCATAAACACATCAAGGTACTCACTCACAGAACTTTCTTGCCTCATTTATATATATATATATATATATATATAAATGAGGCATTGACGAGAAAAATAAATATAATGGGGAAACTAATAATGACAACATAAATAAAAAAGAATATAAGGCATCTACAGTATTACCATTATCAGGAAGAGACATTTGAAACACTTCGTGGTAGGATTCTCGATCAAGCACGAATTAAGATGGTGGCATTCAAACCTACACACTCACTCAGATACAAGCTTTGTAGAATAAAGGACCCTGTTGACCTAATCAGACAAAATAATATAATTTACAAAAATACCTTACAATGACTGTGAGTTAGGTCAACTACATAGGTCAGTCAAACCAGTAGATCGGGAGTAGTGAGATTGCCAAAACATAAGGATTTATCTAACGTTAGAATGATTGATCCCAACCACAAAGATAAGTAATTTGAAAAAAAGCAATAGCGCTCCATGCATTAACACGCAACCAAACAATAGTGTGGGTGAAACAGAGTCAAAATTCTAAAATGTAATATGAATAGGTGGAGAAAGAGAGAGATTGGCTGATTACTGGATCCTGGTTCATTGAATAATCTACACACCCAACACATGCACAATAGAAGTGACTCAACGCAAATACCGGAGATATGTATGGAAGATATTATTACCACCAGTCAAATCAGAGGAGAATAATAAACAATGTTAAAATGTATTCAATTCACACTATAACATTCTAACAAGTTATTCACTTTATAGACAGAACATCTTATTTCCCAGCTGATTTTTTTTTGATTGATAACGCTAATATTATTATTTCTGAAGGTACATTATCTTACATTGATTTTATTCAAATGTCTAGCCATCAGTGTTTACTCATGTATGTAAATGAAGCAAGAATGTGATTATTAAATTTATTCTTATATCAACAATTATGTGTTCCATTTGATAACTTTACACCACACTACACTTTCCACCATAATTTTTCCTGTACCGGTTAATTGTATTCTGCCATATTCATGGATTTATAACTGTAAGGCGTAAAGAAGAACTGACTGAGAACGATTATTCTTTCAGAAAATCTTTGCTTATTCCTACTGGATAACAAGCATCTAAAGAGGATGCAGATTTCAACAGCAAGGTAAAAACAATTTTTAAAAATTTATTACAAACAATGACGTAATAAGAAAAAAATAACTGTACAAAATCAAAAGCCTGAATAGGCAAAAATATGTGAAAATATTTGGTAAAACACACGCATAAACACACACAAAAGAATGAAGACAGAATTGAACAGAAGGGAGAATATGTTAAAACTTGGAAGGGCAAACAACATTAACATAGCTCTATATATACCACCTTATCAAATGAGTAGTTGTCAACCACTGTTGCCGATAGATATAGTGCCTAATAGCAAGATGGAGATGGTCAATGTATTGGACGGTCGCTCCACTCGTTAGGGATCGGGCTTTATCAGAGGAGTGAAACCGGATTAACTCACTTCACACATCCGAATCAGTTTCAGCCATTTAGAAGAAACTTAAACTTACCTGGGGTACTAGTGGGAAGTCGTGACCGGTAGGGTGCAGCAGGTCGGGTTTCAGGACAAATACTCGCCAACGAAGACATTGGCCAGTGGTCGCGCTATGCCGTGAATTGACAGAAGAGGGAATTCGTGGGTCATTGGATCGGATCCCACTGGCTTAATGGTCTACAAGTTCGCTAGCCTTGTAACTAGAAGGTCCTGGGTTCGAACCCCAATCGGTGAGTGCGTACTGGTGAAGAGTCCCAAACTAGGACGAAACAGCTGTCCAGTACTCCAAGGTGGTTTTCCAGTGCTTCTCTAATGCTGATTTCAGCTCATGACGAAATCCTGTAACCAATCAACCAAACCCCTACAAACCAATACTTAAACGAAAGAGGTGACTCAACGAGTGTATTCCTAGAGCGCATATATATCTGAGAATGTGTGTGAAACACATATTCCGCAATTCTTGGCTTTTTTAAGCATCACTAATAATCAGGAAGAAAAGATTTATAGGAAATAAACGATTATTGTTAACGACATTATACTTATTCAACCATTGTTGTTTGTCCCCGTTATGAGATCGATAATAGTGTTACATCGTGTTACTAAGAGTCAATTGCCCAGAAGAAAACCTGAATCTTTATACACAACAGGATATAAAATTTGCAGAAGTAGAAGAAAATGCCAATCAACCTAACAGTTTTGTCTCATTTTTTGAAATTTTGAATAAGCCATTTAGAAGAAAAATTTCGCGAGATAATGTCGCCATTTCATAGTTACTCAACAATCGCTTTACACAACTAACATGGTTCACATTTCTAAGTGTGGACGTGCTATGTCGTGAACTGACAGTAGTTGGAGTAGGGTACCTGAAACAGAAGATCGGGGTCCCAGTGGGTGAATGGTCTACGAGCTCGCTAGCCTTGTAACCAGAAGGTCATGGGTTCGAACCCCAATCACTGGGCGTGTGCTACTGAAGAGTCCCAAACTAGGCTGACGAAACAGCTGTCCAGTACTCGCAGCTGGTTTCATCACAATGGTTACCTAGCCGATGTCAGCTCATGATGAAATTTTCCAACCAATCAATGAAATAAAATAGAATGCATGACAATTACTCAGTCGCTATATAAAACAAAAGTACATGCTAATGACCAATCATATTTTTAAATAGGTCAAGTAGTCAATTCATGGTAGGCAAAGGAAGGCTGAAGTCTATTGTTTTCTGTATACACATATAGTTTAGGATGTATGCGATGAATTCAAAGTGCTTCTACTACCACCTTTTTAATAACCAACCATGAATTAGAGTTATGTGATGAAATAATTGTGAAGCAGTCATTAATTAATATTGATTTTGTGACCTGACAATAACTGCTTTCCAATGAATTATGGTGATGTTGGATTTCTATTCAGATTAATAATTGCATTGGCATTTTCTATGTGGCTAAATATGTGTTGTGTTGTTCCCTTCGAAACCCAATGGAATAATAATAATGATATATTGGTTACAGGATTTCATCATGAGCTGACATTGGTTAGAGAACCATTGGAAAACCAATGTCAGCTCACGATGAAATTCTGTAACTAATCAATCAAATCCCTATAAACCAATAATTGAATATCAATGAGATGCTCACTGGCGACTGGCCCTATTCAGGTAGGTAGTTACCTTGGGTTCTAGTGGGAAGTCGTGGCCAGTAGGATGCAGCAGGTCGGGTGTAAGGACAAATACTCGCCAAAGACATTGGCTAGTGGTCGCGCTATGTTATATAACCGGATAAGGAAGGTAAAGGTGTGCGCCGGACGGGACTCGAACCTCAGACCACGTTTATGGTTGGCTGATCCATCAAACATCATCTTACATAATTCAAATGAACAAAATGATTTAAAAAATCGAACCCATACTTACACGTATTGTCCAAATTAAATCAGCTTTAGCATGATCTTGTTGAAACTGATAGAAAAATAAACGCCAATTGATAGCTGCTGATTGACGTTTCTCTGTATCCCCACGTAATGATTGTAATAAATGTCTAGGTCTTCGAAGGACAACAGGACGTTCTTCAGCTTCTTTTAAATGATTCGGTTTAGTAATCTAAAAAAGAAAAGGAACCAGTTTGGATTAAAATAAGCGAAACAAAATTATATTTTATAGGAATAATATCATTATGAATATTGTTTAAATATGGGACTTAGCAAATAATGGGTACCGTACAACAAAGAAAATACTTGTTTGTAGGATAATACGAGCTCGTTTTATTTCGTGGATTCTCATCAACTGCATACATCCCAAACAAAATCAAATTATAAGGTTTCAAAAAAAATTTGGAACATACTTTTCATAATTACTTGGAGTTATAGATAGAAGGCATAAGGAACATCTGAACTCTAACCCCTCTTATCTAATTCCACTATATATAGTTAGTTGTTTTTCTTGACACTGAATAATCTGTCTACCTACATCAAATTCTGGAATTATGTTCCTTATGCCTTCTATCTATAACTCAAAGTATTTATGAAAAAGTATGTTCCAAAACTTTTTTGAAACTTATAATTTGATTTTGTTTAGGATGTATGCAGTTTATGAGTATCCACGAAATAGAACGAGCTCGTATTATCCTGCAAACATGTTCGTTCTTTCTCTCTTCAAACTAATAAAGGGAACCGGTTGTATGAAAGAAAACCCAATTTATGGAAAAGCTGACGAAATTTCAGCACGGATACAATAAAGGCTCGTGTGGCATTTATCAACTTACTCCATCTCTGCCGTAGACATCACAGCCGCCTGACTATCGATCAAAGAACGTGTCTAATGTGCGGCATATCGCTCCTTCCTAGTCTATGGCTGTGAGATATGATGACTGAAAGTGGAAGACATGGCGGAATGACGAGCCAGATGTCTTTGATCATAGGTGTCTCTATTCTATCTCCCATGTTACGTGATTTAGTTTAGCAAGATGCGCCTACATCAACATGAAACCAGTTTGGAAATCTTCTCCACTTACTCAGTCAGTATAAAGAATGAAATTCGAACTTCAATACAAATGTGAAGTCACTTCTTCTAAACACGTCAGAAACTTGCACCACGAGTCACCAAAAGGATTCCCAACAGCCTGTTGCAGATTTTTTCCAACAACTGCTCCTTCGCTGGCTCCATGCTGAAGATCAGACAGTTGAACGGAAAGAATTGGCAACAAGAACTGTCTGGGAACAAACCAACAAGCAAGAGCCGATTGCTCAACAAATATGTGAGAGAAAATGGGGATGGATCGGGAATACGTTGAGGAGGCCACCGAATGACATCGCACGCCAGGCAATCGCTCGAATGGAATCCCAATGGAAAGCGACGAGTGGGTCATCAGTGTGAGGGTGACATAGGAGAGATCGTGAGAGGAGAAGGAGGAGATGAGAGATTATGGGCATTTGGGGGGTGGCCACCTAAAGAGGACAGCAGAAAGCAGAACAAAGTGAGAATGTGCTGTTGAAGCCCTATGTTCCACTCAGAACCAAAAGGAGTAATACTAATACATAATATAACTTAACAAAAAAGAGTACTGAAGAATATATGAATATGCATGTACATAAACAATGTCACATAGTTGTAATCAATAAAAACAAATCACCTTTGGTATAGGCAGACCAACACGTAGACGCCAATGTGTAAGTAGATCGTCAATTTTAGTCTCCAATTGATAAGTAATAGTCTGTTTACGTTCTTCAATACGCATCATATGCTCCTGAGAAAATCAACAATAGTGGGGGAAAAATTGCAGGATGAAAAGGAGGAACATAAAAATGGCAACATGTTTCAGTACACATAATACAAAAATCAAGCTAAACAGTTGTGCAGTGTGAGGTGATGCTGATTACCCTTCATCACTAAACTCAATAGTCATCATCAACTCAAGATTAGTTACAGGACTTCATCATGAGCTGACATCGGTTAGAGAACCATTGGAAAGCCAGCCACAGGGAGTACTGGACAGCTGTTTCGTCCTTGTTTGGAACTCTTCATCAGCACACATTACCCATGGAGTTCAAACCCAGGACCTTCCAGTTACACGGCGAGCTCGTAGACCATTAAGCCACTGGACCCAACCCAATGGCCATCCCATGAATTCCAAGTTCTGCCAATTTACGACATAGTGCGACCACTAGCCAATGTCTTCGGTGAGTATTTGTCCTGATACCCGACTTTTTGTGCCCTACTCAAGATTAATCAATAAAAGCATGAAACACTGGCCAACAATCAAACAAATCTCATACTACCAGCTTGGATACGAGAGACACACACATAGACACTTGGAGTGTGGGGTTAGTGACAGAAAAAATCTGGTTGTCTGAGCATTTTTTAAATTTTTTATTCCCTCACGTTCCCAGTGGAACATAGGGCTTCAAGCTAGAGGCTTGAAGTTTCTGTAGCAGTGTTAATTTTTACAGGATGGGGTTGCTAGCCTCATGCTTAACCTTTCCTCGTTACCAGCTTCAGTTTTGGCTTAGTGAGGCAAAGGAGTGCGTCCAGTGGCCGGGGATCGAACCCCAGAAAATGTGCATGGTCGGCGAGCGTCCTAACCGCTATGCCACCGACGCACTGAGCATAGGTTGCCCGTATCCCCCATTGGATGAAAGAAGAATGTCCCCCATCCTATGGGTCACAGAGTAGCATTCCTATATTCCAAGGAGAATAAGATAATTTAATTTATTGCTGCTGTAAATATAATGGAACACCAGAGACCCAAAGTAGGATTCTTAACATGGCTGGGATTATAGTGGCATTTAAACCAACCAAATCACTCATAGATCTCATTAGGAAAAATAATAAGAATTTACCAAATACGATTTATTGACTGTGAGGTCAGTTATATAGGTTAAACGAGTAGATTAGCATCTATATGATCAATCGAGGTATAGAATTTTCGCAGCCGACTTTTATACACCACACCACCTCACAGAAGCGGGAGGACGTTGTAGTTGGCTTGGTGGTCTTCCAAGGAAATTACCTTACTACTGTCACAGCTCTATTCGTCAGAAGTATGTCTTCATCCTCAACCCCTCTTTTAACACATTATAAATGACTTACACTATGATAGTAACTGCTTTCGGTCTAATTCCATTATGGATAAAATTTTATTTTGCAATGATTATGAGCAGCAATAAATTGCGCTCGAAACGTCATCATCAATAAATATTACTGTATAACACTGTGTGACTTTATCAAAATAAAATTTTATCCATAATGGAATTATACTCAACCACAGTGCTATATGCAAGCACTACGCCCTGATAATGTTTGTGCGTCCGTGGCACAGTGGCAGAATGCTCGCCGACCACGCATATGGTCTGGGGTTCGATCTTCGGCCGACTCACTCGCTTACCTCACTAGGCCAGTAATAAGACTGGTAAAGAGGAAAGGTTGGACATGAGGCAAGCAACCCCATCCCGAATGTTCAACTGGGAAAGTAAAGGAATAAAACAAAACAGTGCCCAAGTTTAATCTTTATATCAATAATGCTTTTAGTCTAACTTTTATGCAAGTGACTACTTTGGCAATGGTAGGACCTGGAGGAACATTCGTTTCAGCCAACGTAGCTTGATTAAGCATTAAGCTACACAGGCCAGACCAACACGCGAAGGTACCGGTTATTCGTTAGCATCAAGGAGGCTGGCCATATAGTATTCATCGCAATCGTTGAAGAGGTTAGTCGTCTCCCCCCTCCTAAGATCACTGCGCGATGCGAGTCTGAGTCTTAGAAGTGCCTTCAAAGTTGTAGATATACCCTGCTGACGACTGTCAATAAACACTACACCCGAAGTCCAAGGCTTATAGCTCATGTCCTCCCATCATCTACGATTCTAAAAACTTTCATTTATGCACTGCTCTGTTAGATTAGGTTAATTTCGTAGCAGACAGTTCCAAGGTGTCAAATATAAAATTGTAGTCGAAGATCACATCCTTTTTTGTGATATTTTAAGGCACACTGAAGTAAAGGAAAATCTGTTGTCAATGAATGCGTGTAATTAGGCATACTTCTCTCCATTTTATCAGGAAACTAATACTAAATTCCTTTAAAATATGACAGTAATTGTATAGTCACATTGAAATATATACAGAACCATTGACAAACCCTATAGCATTTAATAGACATATTTAACACCGCAAACAGCCGACAGATTGCTGCCAACTAACATAACGTGCTGACTGAGGAGGTTGCGGAGTTGGAAAAGTCGACTCCTAAACTGATATATCCCAGCTTGCCTTGAAGCAGTCCATGGTCGGCGGTAAGAACTTAATATTACACACACAACTTAAAAAAACAACTCAAAAAGACGGTATGTGACCGGCCACACGGACGCACACACACACAAACAATTTTCACTACAGCGTCACATGGAATGATTCCATAAAAATTGAGAAAGAGGTGGGGGGAGTACAAAACACTACTTACATGAGCCAGTTGTAAATTGTCTCTAGCTGGTAGCATATTGACAACTTGTACTGGTGGTTCTTCGCTTGACTCTAAAAATGATAATAAACCTAATGGCTGAAAATAAAATGAAAAAAACCAGTAAATAATCGCACTTTGAAGTGGTGTTATCATACAGCATCAAAATTACTGTTACCATGGAGATTCAAAAACATGATCACCACACCATCATCCGAGGAGTTTCAGTAAAATGAAATGGAATATTGCTCAACAATTATTTGCAATTCTGTGCAATTGGTGATGAGCCACACCTATTTATGAGTTAAGGTTAGTAATACTACATGGTTGCTGGCTGTGCAAACTCCGTAGGTAGAGACGGTTTTAGACCCGTAACCAGATGGTGGGAAATCCAGAGCCTAGACGTGTCAGCCACATTTCCACATCGTAGGATACTTTCCATCATCCTTAATTCAACAGACTTTTCATTCTGATCATTAATTTACGCATAGATTTAGAATATCATTTGCAAATAGTGGATACTGTTTCTATTACTTTCACTTACTGGGAAATAACTGCGGAGAATGAGAAGAATTCATCTGAAGTCTGGAGATATTACTTTTTCTATTTATGATAGTTTGATTGAACACAGTATTTTGGTACAACTATGGAATTTTCAGCATGTGTTATCGGTAGCCCAAATTTAGCAGGCCAACCATTGGTATTAGGTGTGCGTCGGCCGGAGATAGAACCCCAGAACCATGCACATGGTCGGCAAGCGTCCTAACCACTGTGCCACCGATGCACTATTATCACTGTTGTGACTAATATGCAAGGTAAACGCATAGACAACATAATGTACGAAGATATCACCCACATGTTCCATCAAGATTCAGAGTTTCGTGTGGTAATTTTTTCAACTTCTTCATCTGCTACGTTTATGAGTCAGTTAGTCCGTCAGTTACCCGATACCGGGAGGTGATGGTTGATAACACTACCCAATTATGTAGGCTCAGATTCAAACTCGCGAAATATTAGCTAAAATGTCTAGCACCTTAATCCGAAATGGCATATCTCTTATGAATAGAACTACAATACAAAAGTTGGCAAGCCTTTTGTTTTGTCCATTTTTAATTACCTTCGTCAACTGCCTTCATTAACGAATTGTCAGTGTACTCTTTGTGTCAACGTTTTTGTTTGACTTTCCTCCAGACACTTGACTATCTTGAAAGGATGCAGAAGATTTCCAAATAAGATGATGTTCTCTAACCTAGATGGACGCCTATTTCTGAGGTTTAGAATATTGAATGAATTAAGGGTTAGAATGTAGAATTTGTAGTCAGCATGACAGGTTGAGATATCAGTGTGAAAAGCAAGTTAGTGTGACAACTTTACTTCGTGTTAAACTTTAAGGCATCATCGAAAGCCTCCATAGTCTAAGAATCAACATGTCGACAGAGAATGGGCATTTCAAACCCGATGAAATCAATGAACACAAAATACAAAATCATATTTCAACAAATAACACTGGTTGCACAAGAAATGGTTTTAGTGGCCCAGAGGATAACGCTTTAGCCGATTGAAACGATGATTACTCAGTTAAAGGTTCAGTGGGAACACTGTCACCCTATCCGGGGGATGTAGGCAGATCTACTAGCTAGCTGACGAGTCCCAATCTGGATGAAACAACGGTTCTAGATACTAGTAGCAGTAACCATCAACACTAAAATAGGACAACAAGCATACAGATGTGAAATAAACAAAACAAAGTTAATCAACAAAAAATATTCTTTTCGATAACCTGCTTTTCATCAGCAGGTTCTACAGTTATATATACATAAATAATAGTGAATGAATGAATTGGTGTTATTAACAACATTAATGATTGATTAACATTGAATCAATAATAATAACAATATAAATAGATTACAGTTCAATAGCATCAGTATAACAATACACTGAATATCAGACAGAAATAAGGCGAGATAATAATACAAGTTCATGAATTCACAGTCTCCACCGAAGGCCGGCCAGGGCAGTGGTAGTGGCTGGCTGGTTGGCTAGACCTGTTTCTACTGCACACAGAACACCGGTTGTTTCAGGTGGACTGCGATATCTTCTGCTGTTTGGAGTATGCGGTACCTGGATGTTTTTGGAAATTTATTTGGTACCCGATAGCTGATGATGAAGGACTCTTCAATATTATCTTTGCGCTGGTTTGGACCAAGTGTTCTAATATCGAGCTATTGATGCTTCTAATTACACCTTCATTCAGACTAACCAAATAATTACGAAGAAGTTAAGAACTTTAATCCCGGCAAACTACACGTCTTATTTTCTACACGACCGATGGTGATTCCCCAAATTGGAAGACTAGACTAGCTACTTCAAATTGTGTCTACCAATTCAACTGCGCTTGTGGAGCGATTTCTATCGACCGTTGCTCTAGGAACTTGATTTTTCATGCTCGCTTGGGAACATCTATCAGTGTGGTTGAGTAAAGGTGTAGTAAAAACCATCAACAGTTCGATATTAGACCACCTCGTCCAAATCGGCCACAAAGCCAGCATTGGAGAATCCTTCTCTATCATCCATCGGGTACCAAATAAATTGCCAAAAACATCAAAGCACCACATGCTCCAAACAGCAGAAGCTATCGCGATTCACCTGAAACAACCCGTACTCTGTGTGCAGAGGAAACACGTCCAGCCAGCCACTATTACTGCCCTGGAGGGGCTCTAGTGGAGAATATAAATTCGTGAATTTGTAATATTATTTTCCTATAGTTTGGTTTGTAAAAGTTAGTTATGTTTTTACGAATTGATCACGGATTGATATCAGTTAGAGAACCATTGAAAACCAGCACTGGAGTACTCGACAGCTAGCTGTTTCATCCTAGTTTGGGAATCATTGGCAGTACGCACCCACTGGGATTCGAACCCAGGACCTTCCTGTTACAAGGCCAATGATTCCCACACTAGGATGAAACAGCTGTCCACTACTCCCTGGTTTCCAATGGTTCTCTAACCGATATCAATTCATGATTATTATTTTTCCTAATTTATCTGGTATTCAGTATATACTGTTATGTTGATCCTGTAGAACTGTAATCTGTTGATATTGTTATTATTGTTTTCATCTTATTTACACACCATTAATGTTGTTCATAACACTAATTCATCCATTCACTATTATGTATGTATGTAATATATAACTGTAGAACCTGTTGATGAAGAGCAGGTTTTCGAAAAGACTATTCTTTGTTCAGAAACCATTCTTTAGAGAAATTCTTAACAGGCATTTTTAATCTGTTAAAACAAAGTTACTTCATTGGTTAAACAACAACAACAACAACAACAGAAAAGATCAGACAATAAATAGTGTATAGAATATAAGATCAAATCACTTACAAGCATTCGTTTAAATAAATCCCATGCATCATCATTATTCTCAGACCATAATGCAACTAATTGACGACTGAGCTGTCTTGTTTACACGGTCAGATTGTTTAGAGTTTTTTTTAAATGGTATTAAAAGAGAAGGGAAAAAAATAAGAGGGATTATAAGAGAGAAAATACACAACGAACAGTGAGGCTCATATCAATAAAAAGAAATGAATAAATAAATAAATACTATCCCCCATTCTATGAAATAGAATAAAAAACCGTTGGTTAAGAGTACGATTGATTCGCTGGAAAATATTCGGCTTTGACCAATACTAATGCAGATTCCCACCCTCTTTTTCCCTACTTCAGCACAAGAGACTGAGAAAGACCTAAATCGTTCACATTGTCGCACTGATGAATGATGAGTAATATGCCCTGAAAGCTGACGACTTACCCCTATTAATTTTATCATTCATATCTCAATAACTTGGGTTCACAGTTTGAGGGAGCGTAGGTGGCATAGCGGTTAGGACGCTCGTCAACCATGAACATAGTCCGGGGTTCGATCCCTGGGCGACTCACTCCTTTACCTCGCTAAGCCAGAAATAATGCTGGTGAAGAGGAAAGGTTGGGCATGAGGCTGGCTAGCAACCCCATCCTGTAAAATAAACACTGCTACAGAAACTTCAAGCCACTAGCTTGAAGCCCTATGTTCCACTAGGGAATGTGAAGGAAAGAAAAAAAAACAGTTTGAGGGAAGATACAATAATTGTCGAAATTGGCTAGATCAGAAGTTTTGATCTTAAGCTTTAAAGTATCACAGTATCAATGATGTTCTTTCTTACTGGATTGGGTCACTAGCCTCATCATGTTCAACCCTCCCACTCACTGAGTTGACCATCGCGACTAAGCGAGATTGAAAATATTACGTCGGCTGGGAATAGAACTCCAGACCATGTGCATCGTCAGCAAGCATTCTACCACTTCACCACCTATGCTGTTTAGACATATATAAGACTGGAGGAGGCGGGAATATAGTTGTCCACCTTATTTCACAGTAATCCTTTTTTGTAGATGACTAAGCTCTGTAGTCTAGTGGATAATGCTTTGGCGTTTGAAACAATGTGTGTGTGTGTGGCTCGAGTCTAAGTCGAAAAACCATTCATTCCGGTGTACATGCATCTAGACTAATGAGTTTAAAATAGAATGAAACGCGCATCCTAGAATCCATTGCTAGACACCATCAACTAGATAACATGAAACTGCACAGTGTATATACAAACTTAACATCTAATTTGGAAACTACTCGAGTACTACGGCGTACCCCAAATATTCATCTACCTTATTCAACAACTGTACGACAACGGCACATGTCAAGTGATCCACAAAGGAAAACTCAGCGAGGCGTTTGGAGTAAACACACGAGTCAGACAAGGGTGCTTATTATCACCAATGATATTCCTAATTGTGGTGGACTGGATTATGCATCAAACATTGGGAAACGAGAAGACAGGGATATCCCGGACCGACGTGAAGAATCTAGAAGACCTGGATTTCGCGCGTGGATGATTTATGTTTGATGTCACACAAAATCGAAGACTTACAAGCGAAAACCAACAAACTGGTCGAAGAAGCAGCTGGTGAAGACAGGACTCCAGGTGAACACAGACAAGACGGAGGTTATGAAAATAACCAACCAACAACAACAGCAACATCCAGCGCCAATCACCATCAACGTGAGGGATTCGAAAGAGGTTACTTCATTCACTTATATAGGGAGTATTGTCTCAACTACAGGAGGAACGGACGAGGATGTCAAGTCGAGAATCGGGAAGGCGAGAAACACATTCATCAACCTGAAACCAATTTAGAAATCTTCGTCACTCACCATCAACAACTGAATTTGGATTTTCAGTACAAACGTCAAGTCAGTCACTTCTTCTATACGGATCAGAAAATTGGTGGGTCACAAAGAATATTTCCAACAGCCTGTTGCACACCTTCATCAACAACTGTCTTCGTTCCATACTGAAGATTAGATGGCCGGAAAGAATCACAAACAAGAAGCTATGGGAATAAACAAAACAGGAACCAATCGCCCAACAAATATGCAGTAGAAAGTGGAGATGGGTTGGACACTCGCTGAGGAGGCCCCTGGGTGACATCGCGCGTCAGGCCATTGCTCGAGTGGAACCCGAAAGGAAAGCGACGAGTGGGACGTCCAAGGGTGTCATGGAGGAGATCGTGTGAAGATGAGTTGAAACAGTATGGACTAACATGGATGCAGATGAAAAGTACAGTAGAAGACAGAAACAAGTGGAGGCGTGCAGTTGAAGCCCTATGTTCCACTAGGAAACCAATAATGATAATAATAGTATTACTAGAAAAACAGGAAAAGATGGGTTGATTAAACACACTTACTGTACAGCCAGACTTCGTGGATCTTTTCCTTGAGTGAAACATGCAATCCAAAAATGATGAAATAATGCACCTTCTGTCAAGGCCAGGTTACGTAATTCTTTAGCAACATCTGGTCCACCTTCTTCAATTAAAGCACGCATAATCATTCCACCACCACGAACAATTGCTAAACTAGGATGCTAAAATTACAACATACACAGAAAGAAAAATTAAAATAAAGTAATCTGCGCCTTCAATGAACTAGTGATTGGTGGCAGCGTATATAAACACAAATATATCCACAAGGCTACATGGGTGTCACCAGATGTTCCAACTGGAACCTAAAGGAATACTAATACTAATAGCAGTAATGATAATAGTAATAAATCAATGAACCTGCAACACAGCTATACAAAAGGCGAAATGGAATTCAAAAATGTTAGTGAAGACTCTTCATTGTAATACAAACAGCGAGGTTAGTTCACATGCTTAAGCAGTGAATAGGCTCTTTTCTCCACTCGGCATATTACCACTACTGATGATGACTGCTAATAAATTACGAAATCCGTGCTACATATCTGGAATTAACTTAAGGCAACGTATGTCATTTTATGATTCATCATGTGATTCATCTCGTATGATCGGATGAGCGTAAAATTTCATCAATTTTTTCTTACCTTCGTATTGGTCAAATCGTCAACCAATCAGAATGCTTATTTTTCGCCTACCTTATAAACGAATCACTTATCAATCAAAACAATATATTTCCACTGTACTGGGCCAAATTTCATGTTGTTAAAAAATACATAAATGTGACGTGTCTTTCTTAATAAAATTGCACAGTAACATTCACTGGTCAGTCTTTGTCTTTTGACATTTACGTGCCACAGCGAAGTGGAAGGTACTACGGTTCGTTGGTCATCTTTATCACCTCCATCTTCTCTCTGTGTTCACCTGGGTGGAGTCCTGTCTTCGCTGTCGTCTTCTATAGCCAGTTGGTTGGTTTGCGCCTGCCTGCTTGTCTACAAGTCTTCTACTTTGTGACATTACATATATATCCTCTGCGAAATCCGTTCTTCTAGAGTCTTCTTATCGGTCGTCCAGCGTATTCTTGTCTTCTCACTCGGTGTGCACAGTCTGACACACGATCCAGTCCACCACAATTACGAATATCATCGGTGATAATAGACAGCCCTATCTTACTCCTGTATGCACTTCAAACGACTCGCTGAGTTTTCCGTTGTGGATCACCTGACACGTGGAAGGCATTGTCAAATAGCCAGCTGTTGAATGAGGTTACTATAGAATTCAGCACTGCATGCTGAGCTGTCGAAGGCGTTTTCAAATTGGTCGATGAAGTTGACGTAGAGGTTAGACTGCCATTCCATGCTTTCTGCCGTGATGATGATGCGTACAGTTGCAATTTGATCAAAGCATGATTTGCCTTTCCTTTATTTCTATGATAGATCTGAAATCTATCATCTTACAGCTGAAGCAAGCTCAGAATGAAGCAGCTCAACTGAAATCAATCGAAGCTCTCACTCAGAAGAATTCAACAGTCATCAAAGTGGAGACTGGCATCGACATAGAACTGGAATCGACTTAAGACAAAATGATTCATATGAACTGTAACCAAGATTTGACCGGATAGTTGCAAAATAATTGAGCGCTGAGTGAGAAGTAGACATTTATAAAATTATATTTGTAAAATCTCAGCGAAATTGAAATGATTAATTCCAACGTTAAGACAAAATATGTGACTGGCCTCTTCATGGAAGGACACCAACATATATTACCAAAAAAGCTATCTTCTGCTCAAGATGAACAGTATCAAGGTTACTGATATAAGTAATAATAATAATGGCTTTATTCCAAACAGTATTTGTGGTACAGGTATGGAATTTTCAGTGTTCATTACAATATTGCATCTAATTACCTCATAAATTTTATAAGGATTTAAAAATATAAAGCGACAAAACTTGGGTACTGTGGTAGAGTATAACTCCATTATAGATAAGATTTTATTTTGATGAACCACACATGGTTGTACAGTAATATTAACTGATGACCACCTTCCGAGCACAATTTATTACAACTGCTCATAATCATATTAAGGCACTACTCACTCACACACAACTTTCTTGCTTCATTTATATACATGAGTAAAAATGGATGATTAGACACTTGAATAAACTCAATATAAGATAAATTATACTCGAAAATAATAATATGAGTGTTATCAATCAAATACAATCAGATGAGAAATAAGACGAGTGTTTTTATAGTCAAAATAAGTAACTTGTTAGAATGTTATAATGTACGTGAATTTAAAACAGAATTTTAAAATTATTTATTATCCTTTGATCTGACTGGTGGTAATACTATCTTCCATATCTCTGGTATCTGCATTGAGTCACTTCTATTGGATGTGTTGGGTGAAAACTAGATGAACCAGGATTCAGTAATCAGCCTATCTCCCTCTCCAACTACCTATATTACTTTCTAGAATTTTGACTCTGTCCAACACACCCCATTGTGTAGTTCTGTGTTAATGCGTGCAGTGCAATTGCTGAGCTTTTTTCTAAACTGCTTATATTCTAACCTTAGCTAAATTCTTATGTTCTGACAATCTGACTACTCCCGACCTACTAGTTTGACCTATGTACTTTATTAAGAATCCCACCATGTAGGGTCTCAGATGTCCCCTCCTTATATGGTATAACTGTAAATGCCTAAAATTTCCTCTTATTTATGTTTCCATTATTAGTTTCAGAATTATTTTTATTTTGCTTTTGACCTTTTTTGATATTCCTAATGAATTTTATAGGATAGTTATTTAACACCAACGCTTTTTCTTCTATCGGTTTCATTTCATCGCTCAGGTTTTCAGTTGTACTACTTATTCTTATTGCTCTGTTTGTTAGACACTTAACAACTAAGCCTGCCTTTACAGATAACGAATGGATGAGATGAGTGAAAGTCTAAATGCCTATTAGAATGCGTTGGCTTTTTATAAGTGCTAGTGTGCAGTTTCCCCCCTTCTATTCGTTTTATTTTACAATCTAACTTCATAGCTAATTCTCCTTGTTCATTTTCCGATTCAAATGTGAATTTTATTCCCTCTACTAGTGAGTTTATATGCGTAAAGAAGCTGGAGACAGGTTCTGTTTTTAATACTGTGAAAGTGTCATCCACATATCTCCATCATATTTTTGGAGTAGGATAAAATGTATTAAGAGAAAAATGAAAAAATGGTCATTTTTGATAGAACTAGTCTTTACACTAATATACCAATCAATATGGCAGCCTTAGAAGCAGTTAAAAGGACAAAGCTGCCGATTGAGAAAATTATTTTAAGAATTCAGTTATGCCTCACATCTACTATATTTAAATTCCAAGGCAAAATATGTCGACAAACAGATGGTGCAGCAATGGGATGGATCACCAATATCCCCTATCGTAGCAGATATCTTTATGGATAGGTGGGGAAATAGTGCTCTAAATACTGAACAGTATCATGGTTGCTTCTTTAAGTAAATAATATTAACAATACACAATGTGAAGTATTTCAAACACAGAAAGGATTAATTTATGTTCAAATGATATTTTTTTTAAGAAAAAGAGACGCTTACATGATATAACCGGAACAAAGCTCTACCACGATTGGCTAGCAGACGTAACAAGTTATCGAACAGACCACCTTCAGATGTTTCTGAATAAGGTAAGCATACACCATAAGTGAAAAAATCCAGTAGTGCGCAGAGGACGAGGGAGCCACTTCCACGTAACTAATATGTATGCGTATTTTGTTTTTTCAAATAAGAAAAACATGTCAAAACAGAAAAAAAAGTGAAAAATCTCAGGTTGTTTTCGTTGAAACGTTAACATATAGACAAAACAAAAACAATAAATAAAATGGCATATTGACCCTTGAAATGCGACATTATTATTTAATAGCTGAATTGTTCGTCTTTTAAACTAACGATCGCAAATCTGTTTACCTCAGCAGGCATGTGTACGTATATAGTACTGAAAAGCTCAAAAGTCAAAGGGAAAAAACGATACGAAGTTGGAATTCATGAGCTAGCCATTGGATTGGGTCCCAGTGGCTTAATGGTCTACGAGCTAGTTCGCTAGTCTTGTAACCAGAAGGCCCTGGGTTCGAACCCTGGCGATGGGTGCATACTGTTGAAGAGTCCCAGACTAGGATGAAGTGGATGTCCATTACTCCAAGCTGGTTTTCAAATGGTTCTCTAATGCTGATTTCAGCTCATGATGAAATCCTGTAATAAAAAAACGATACTATTAAGAGCTCTTTAATTTTCAGCAGTTCCCTCAACCTTACGATCTCTTTCTCACGTTAGGTGGCATAATAAGATAAGTAATGTTGACGTTAGGCGTAGTGTTGGACAAAGAGGGAAAATCAATCGACGAGGCTATAAAGTTACATAGATTGAAATGACTAGGTCACGTGCTGCGCATCCCTAACCATCGCCTCCCCTGACGGGCATTACTAGCTGATATAGGTGCAGGCTGGAAAAGAGTTAGTGGTGGCCGAACAAAAACATGACATCAATCCATGAAATCCCTGACAGTTAAACTGAGTCAGGTAGGGAGGGAGATGCAGACTTCCGGGCTGGGGTCCTCGGGACTCTAAGAATCAATTTACAGGATCAATGGATGCGTACTGATGAAGAGACCCAGTCCGCTCCGTCCTCCTTTATGGCTGTGAGACCTGGCCATTGAGAGTGGTAGACATGAAAAGATTAGCTGTCTTTGATAATAGGTGTCTGCGTTCTATCTCCCGTGTGAAATGGTATAATAGGGTGAGCAATATTGAGATTAGGCGTTGAGTGGTAGGTAGGTGGGAGGGGAAATCAATCGACGAGGCTGTGTAGCTACATCGACTGAGATGGTTAGGACATGTGTCACGTATGCCTAGTCATCGCCTTCCTCGATAATGGGCAATGTTAGCTGATATAGGGTCAGGCTGGAAAAGAGCTAGAGGCGGTCAAACCAAAACATGGCACCAGTCAATGAAATCCACAACAGTTAGCTTAACCCACGTAGGAAGGTGTAGACTTCCAAACTGGTTGGGGTCCTCGGGATGGTAAAAACCAATGATTGGAAACAATTGGTGACATGGCTCAAAATCGTTCTCAATGGCTAGCGCCGATGCATCCACTCCTTGTGACTTCAGATTTCCAATGAAACTGTTTTGTTCTCCGTTATTACTATTCCTTTGTCTCACACCTCTGTTTACTGTTTCTATTATGAATTTCTTCTACTTTCTTTTGTTGCTTTGTGTGCTACATGGAGTGTGGCGACTTTAACTGCCGCACATATGTGCAAAGTTCTATGTTGAAAACAGACAGGCAGGCAGAAGAAACCCAGACTACGGTGAAACACAAAAGGTCAATATTCCCTGGTTTTCAATGGTCTTCTCTTCAACTGAGGTCACTTTGTAATCGAACTTGAATTCAATGAAATCTCTGCAAACTAACACTTCAGAAAAATTTCTTCTCCACCCTGCTGTAGTGATATAACATACGCTTTGTTTTTCAGAAGAAGCAAAAACATAAACAACAGGAATGATGTGACATGCACTGCGGATAACTCTAGATGATTCTACCACATGTAAAGCAAACAAAACAACAACAAAAAGTACAAATCTAAAAGGAAACAAGTTTAAAATGTCACAGAGCAATATAACGAGCGGCTTTTTGGAGTGAATCTCTCTATTACGCCACGAGAAGTAGATTTCAATGTTGAATTTAAAAAAAAATAAAATAATGACAAATTTAGGCAGATTACAACTAATGTTTGTGGGTCGGTGGTATAACGGTTAGGACTCTCGCCGACCATGCTCATTGTCCGGGGTTCGATTCCCGGCCACTGGACGCACTCCTTTACCTCGCTAAGCCAGAAATAAAGCTGGTAAAGAGGAAAGGTTGGGCATGAGACTGGCTAGCAACCCCATCCTGCAAAAAATAAACACTGCTACAGAAACTTCAAGCTTCTAGCTTGAAGCCCTATGTTCCACTGGGGAACATGGAGGAATAAAAAAAACTGATGTTTAATGGTGTGACAATTATGCATTCAGTCAACCTACCATCCAGCTCAGAAAACATAACCATATCAAAAGGTCAACTTACTTTCAATTAACATATTAGATAAGTTTATTTAAGATATCACACGCAGTGATGATGCAGATGCAGTACCAACAACTGGATGACAAGGTGGTTTCGAGCATAAATTATTGCTGCTCATAATCATATCAGTATCAGTCACACAGTTTCGTAATTTGTCTTCTATACAAACATTTTCTCTCTATTCTGTCTCTCCCTCCAACTTCGCTTTGTTGTTTGTTGCCATTTTCCATATCTCCGGTATAGGCGTTGCGTTGCGTCATTCCGATTGCACGTGTGACGTGTTGAATCGATAAACAAAGCTTCAGTCAGGGATTAACCGCTTTCTCATTCCATCTAACTATATTACTTTTTAGTACTTTAACCCTGTCGCACACACCTTATTTTGCTTTTACATTCAAGTGAATACAGTGCAATCAATGGCTGAGCTTTAATCTGGGTTATTTAACTTTGCAGGGTCAATTATTCTAGGTCCAGCTAAATTTTGTATGTACCAATAATCTAATTGAACTCGATCTACTAGTTTGACCTATGTAATTCTTAATTGGATCTGTTGGGCCCTTAAGCCGACAAAGTTTATCTCGGAGAGAGTTGACTGGTTTCAGTGCCACTCGGACTAATTCAAGCCTCATTGAGAGTCCTACGTAAGACCTCTGATGTTCCTTCCTTTACATGGCGGTACTACAGAAGCTTTGAATTCGATATTAACTTTCGTCATTTCTATTGTTGATCTGAGTTTTTCCATGGTTCTTCATATATTTCTGAATGAATTCTGGTGGGTAGTTAGTGATTCACTAGTAATATTTCCTTTCCTATTTGTTTTCTTTTATTATTTAAATCTTCTGGTTCACCAGTCAGTTAGGCTCCTGACCCGATTATACAGACATTTAACTAAACCTATCTTTACCGATTTTGAATGGGATGAATTAAAATCTAAGTATTTATTAGGGTGTGTCGGTTCCTTGCAAATGCTAGTTGCTATCTAACCCACCATCTCGTTTACATTTCATTCTACAGTCGAGCATGGCCAACTCACCCTGTTCTTTTTCAAACTAATAAATGAATTGGATTTTATATGTTATTGAGTTTATACATATGTGTGTGAAAAACTGAAGAGGAATACGTTCATATTCCAACACATTGATAAAATGTATCATCCACATATCTTCACCATAACCTAGGAGAAGCACGATTAAACGTTCTAAGAGATTTATGTTCCCAGTTATCCATGAATATGTCTGTTACTATTGAGGATACTGGTTACCCTCCCCCCATTGCTAACCCATTTGTTTGTTTATATAGTCAGTTTATTTAGAAATTTGAAAAAAATAAAATAAACTTATCTAATATGGAATTACGTTCTATCACAATGCCCAAGTCCTACAGTTACATTAACTCCTTTCAAATACCATAGAGATCGAAAATCCTATCCTAACAATTTATTTATTCAACCGCCACTTCAAAATACCAAAAGTACTCGATGTGTTCAACCGAGCAGGTAACTTTTTCTGAAAATATGTTTATCAAATATGAACAATACATGCTCCTTTTATGAAACTCCAACGGAAGTGCGAAATGTGAGTATAAGCAATTTACTTTCTAAAAACAGGCTTAGAACCTACAGGCTGTGCGATTTACGTTTTGCCTGGATACAAGGATTTCATCGTAAGCATATGCATAACATATGTCATCTATTTTGATGTGGTTGTGTTCTCTGAGCTGGATAGGTAATTTGCTAAGCTTTCACTGCCCTACTAGGCGACATATTCAGCGCATACTTCAATTTGAAGTCATCCATAACACAACATTGTACATGACTAGCTAGCTCTATCTAAACACCAGGTGTTATGCCTTGTGAAATGACACAATAAAGAGCACAATGCTCCAAACCCCCACCCCCACCCCGTTTTCAATAGATTCCTGACTCTTAATGTCGATTGCTGATGAAGTCGACATTTGCAATCAATTATCAAATGCCTACACAATCCAAAAACTTGACGAAAGGGAAAACACACAGACACTCTGCAACCAGACACTAATTCAATAAAAAAATTAGGTTAATTACAGTAAATATTCAATTTATGACCTGATCAATGCTTTAACATCACGTTTACTGAATATAAAACTTGATATTTTGAGCAGCATAGTATTAAGATGACTAACAACCATCACATCAGCTAAATATAATGAGCTCATATGACTATATAACCTTTTATGTTGTGATACTTCGCTGTTGGTTAGAAATATAATGTCATAAGATAATGTCATCCTTTAATGCGTCAGTATTCATTAATACCAAAACGATATATAATCCCTATGATAGATACTTCCTTCACTTATCTAGTAAGGAAGCATGGTTCCAACTACAGGCAGTCGGACAGCACGGATGAAGATGTCAAAGCCAGCCAGCCAGCCTGCTAGAATCGGAAAGGTTCGAAAGATTCGCCTTCATCAACCTGAAACCAGTTTGGAAATCTTCTTCACTCATTTAGCGAGTATACAGAACGAAATTCGGATTTCCACCACAAATGTGAAGTCAATCGGTCAGTCAGTTCTTCTATACGGGTCAGAAACGTGCATTGCGCGTCACGAGAAGGATTTCCACCAAGTCACTGAAGACTTTTATCAGCAGCCGCCACCTTCGTTGGCTCAATATTAAAGATCAAATGGCCGACCAGAAACTCTGCCTAGCAAAAAAAACCAACCAAGATCCGATTGCCCAACAAATATGTAGGAGGAAATGGATATAGACTGGGCACATGCTGAAAAGACATCGCGCGCAACGCAGAGCATTGACCAAGCGGGTCGTCGGTGTGAGATGAGAGATTATGGTCAATCATGGACCGAGATGAAGAGGAGAGCAGAGAATAGAACAAAGTAAAGATGTGTTGCTGAAGCTTTATGTTCCACCGGAAACCAAAGGGAATAATAAATAAATGACAGGCATAGTTTTTTTTTAATAGTGTGTAAAGTCACTCAATCTTTTGTTATGTAAAATTAGGTAACACCTAAAGACGAGTCCATGTCTAGGAGATTCAACTTCGATGAACAGTGAGTGACATGGCTCACCAACGGTGCCTGGTACACCATGGCCTCAGGTGAACAACACATTAAAATCCTCCATGGTGGTGACGAAGGGACACTAAAGTGTCACACACACACAGCTACTCTGAATCACTGAAGCTCTAGTAATAGGAAGACTGCAAGCATTTTGAATTACACTCATTTTTGAAAGACTGATAATAATCCCTTAGTACGGATGTTTTACTTTTCAAAAAATTATTTTAATGATATTTTCAAGTATTGGTTTTCTAGGGAATTTTATTTGATTGATTGGAAGATTTCACCATGAGCTGACATCAGTTGGAGAACCATTGGAAAACCAGTTGGGAGTACTGTTTTGTCCTAGCTTGTGACTCTTCATCAGAACGCGCCCATCGCCAAGGTTCGAACCCAGGACCTTCTTGTTACAAGACTAGCGGGCCCGTGACCATTAAGCCACTGGAATCTAACCCAATGGGGCCCATGAATTCTAACTTCTGTCAGTTCATGACATAGCGCAGTGTCTATACTATAAAAGCTTACCGTTAGATAGCTGAATAGGATTCGTAAGAGGTCCTAACTCACCTGTTCCAAACTTTTTCGACAAAAGTGAATTACTCTTTATGACGAGGACAAAACTAACTGGATGACCGCACACACACACAAAGACAGACAGAACTTCCTTGTCACCCTAGATTTAAACCTTTTACCTTACTATCTGCCGACTACAGTGGTTAATCAACAACCTATTACATTTCTATGCAGAGAGCGATGAGACATATTCTACTTTGTAGGAAACTAATAATATTATACTAACTGATTGCCCAAATCTCGACATTTAAAGCGTTCCAAGTGGAACATAGGACCTCAAGCCTCAGCTCTGAAGTGTCAGTAACATTGCGATATTTTGCTAGGGGAAGATCGCTACTCTCACGCCTAAACTTCCCCTTTTGGCCGGCTTACAACAGTCTAGGGAGGGGTCCGGGAATCGAACGCCGGACCACACGAAGCGTAGTTTTCGAACATTCTACCGCTGGACAACCAACGCACAGCAAATATATAGGCTACAACGAATTACTGAATAAGTTATATAAAATTTTCTATCAAGTATTCAGCCACATAAGGGTAGGGGCTGTAAATGCTAATATCACATCACAGTCATTTGGCTCAGCTAGAATTGAATGCTTTTAATGCTGTTTACGGATACAAACGTAAAAGTGCTATTGTTTTGATTTCGTTCGTTTTCTTCTGTCAGTAGATTAATAAGTCTACCGTAAATAAGGTGAAAAAGTTTTCAGTGACACAGGTGATGGTCCCAAAGGCAAACAGGACAGAGAAAGTAGGGAAGGCGTTCATCAGCCTGGAATCATTGTGGGAATCTACAACGCCCACCCAAGCACATAGAGTAAGATCCGAATTTCAGACGCTGATATCAAGTTAGTCAGTGCTTTGACATTGGTGCATTCCCAACAAATTACAAACTTTCCTCAATGCTGACGGTTTCAGATAGCTAAATAAAAAAAAGAATAAGAAATAGGTTACACATATGGGGTGAAGGGACATTTAAATGAAATCACACACCAGACACTCAAATGGGAATCGAAGAGTTGAGCTAACATGGAGAAGATCATGTCAAGAGGGAATGACTGCGATGTAGTAACTAGCCCAATGTCCCACTCGGAATGCGAGAAACGAGTAATAATAATAAATATTGGTAGCAATACTGGTACCCATTCGCAACATCCACCACCTCTAGTTAGGCTTTAAAACTCATATAGACAGGAGAACATGTTATATAAAACAAACTTACAGTATGCAATGTGAATATATCCACTAGATGCGAGAGAAATACTTCACTAGACATAATTGAGGCTTTATTCAATTGTTCTTGTCTTATATCTGGATGATCATGCATTGGATGCATCAGTGTGTTGATAGCGTCTAATACAGCATGCGTGACAGCATCATCACGTAGTTTCAATGCATTGACAACAATCTGACCCAATGTGACACGCATTCTATGTACATAGGGAAAGTAGAAACAAAAGGAAATGGAAGACAAATTTAAAGAGTGTGGACAAAATTAGGAATGAAGCAAATACACGCACATAGGCATCGTTTTTCTCATTCGGTGTATGAGCTTTATTATTGTAGTTTGTTATTAATACCAGCGGCGGTTTGCTTAAAACTTGCGCTACTAAAAACTTCCATCTCTCTATGGCATATATATTCTCTCGTTTGCTTTTGTTTTAATCGATTAAGCTATGTGTGTATTTAAAATGTTTACAAGCTTCTGATTCACAAGTTCCTACCGAATTTGACGAAAGGCCTGATTGTCGGTGGCAACGTGTTCCAATACATCAGATAACTGTTCTTCAGTTACATCCGTGAGTTTCAAAAAATGTACTTCTGAACATCTTACAATTGACTTTCAACTAGATATCGTGGATGGGTTGCTTGAAGGAGACAGAGCAGATATATATCATCATGGAATGTGGTTTGTACTTCATCAGCTCAGAGACCATTGTGTCACACACAGGATATACTGTCAATTAATATTTTACTTGAAGGTGTTAATTGTACGAAGGGAAAATATCATGCAATAAACTCCTCTGAAAATTCCGTACATTTTATAAATACTGTCCAAAATAAAGATATTATTAACTGATATCAGTCCGTGATCAACTCATAAAAAATATTATTAACAAATATATATATATATATGTCGGTGGGGCAGTGGCAGAATCGTCACCAACCACGAACCTTGTCCAGGTTCAATCATCCCCTTCTGGCATACTCCTAGAAGAAAGTGAAGGTTCAACGAGCGCAAGGATACTACCCCGGTGACCAGATCGATGCAAGAGGTTGTCTTAAGGGGTCAAAACTTAAGCCCCAGACTTGAATTCCGATTCACAAGGCAGTGGGGCAGCGTCTGGAACGACGTTCGCATCGTTTCCGTGAGTAAAACAAATTCATATGTCATTCAATTCCGTTTGGATTCTGAATCCCATGTATGCCATAGGTATTCCCACTAACCTAGGTAGACTTGCATGTTCACCCATCCGAGTGTAAGCGCCAGACGTTCTAATTCCCCCTTTCACTTTGTGAGTTACAACCCCCACCTCATGAAGGCAATAGATACGACTTGCCTGCCAAAGGTTAGGAACGCATGGCCACATGCGAGCAGTTGGAGAGGAAGAACGAAGTATACTCACCCTCAATCTGAGGGAGGTCCTAATAGGTGAAAGGAAAAGTATTTCACATTACTATGAAAAGTATTGGAACTGATTTTTTCCTTGACTTGAACAATCAGTTCCAATACAAGCAGCCCAAAGGGTGTGAAAACACACAAAAACAACCACTCACGCTCAAGGTCACCAACCGAGAGAGATGACTAGTAAACTCGTGGGGAAATCTAAAAGCTCACTTCAACAGATCGCAGTACGCGCTGAATATGTTGCCTAGTAGGACAATGAAAGCTTCGCAAATAAAACATCCAGCTCCGAGAACTCAACTACATCAAACTTTCTTTGCACACAGACTTTAAGGTTGTTTTGTCGAATCTCTAGCGCCTCCACTATACACAAGTGTCAAAACTTTACACCACCAGCTTCTATACCCATTCGACCTTACTCTGTAAATAATTTTAAAAGAGGACTCCAGTGGAGCTGCGTGATCTGACTTTATCACCGGATACTTGAAAATTCAGCTAACAATTGACTTCTATTGCCGTCTTGATAACCATACCTGACAGTGTTTAGAGAAGCAAGTGAATATATAAACACAAACTGAAGTGGCCCGAAACAGCAGCTCTTTTTCACACACCCACTGATCGAATGCCGGAATTAGAATTTGATCAGTGGCTCAACTGTAAAAAAAGAGCTTTTCTAAACGATCTGAATTGTCTTTTACGTATTTTTTTCGCCACTTTAAATATGGATAAACCATACAAAAATTCAAAGAAGTAAAACAGTCGTCGAGTTTTTGGACTAGTTGATAGATCTCAATATCCATCAGTGGATCGAAGAATATGTTCACCCTATATTCTGGATCTCGTGGCACCGTAATTGCTTTCCATATCTGAACGATATTTCTTGTCACACGTATACTACATCAAGTGACAACAAGTGCCATGTGTCTAGTTCTTTGGTTGGTGCAGACTAATACGACTCTATAGGAGATCAGTCGCGACTCCGAATATCTCAATGAAAACGTCTCTGACCGTACGAATGTGTGACACCGGTTCGAATCTCACAAGGGACATGAGTTTACTCAAGATTGCCCATACTCCTTGCTCACTAGTAAGTGGTTAACAGCATGAAACCTAAGTCAGGTGGAGCTTCTTGCCGATTATCAACCACGCACATGATAACCATCCACTTGGTGGAAATAAGGAAAAAAGAAACCATTCACTACCAACTACATACTGCGTTATGCTTCATATCAGGAATGGCAGTTACAAAGAATACGGAACAAAGGTTTTTGCATTTCCCAATGAATGAAAAACAAAACGAGATTGTTTTTACTGACGTTTCGCTATTTAAGGCTAATAGCTTTATCAAAGCAGTATTGTTAAACCGGAATTTACAAAATCTCAGCATATATATAACAAAGAGTCAAGAGGTGAGAAAACAGATTTAGGTCAAGTTAAAAGGACATATTGAAAGTCAAAATACCAATCAAGATCACTAAACCAAATAACAAAGTTAATAGTACATCTGTTGTGGTATCAAAACAAAGTTTACTAACTTGATCATCGTTCGTTAGTCTGGGGTCATTTTTCGTTGTCAAGTTGGTCATTTGGTAGAGATAACAAAACCAAGTGTAGATGACTGTTGGATTTGATCAGTGTGTAAAATTATAAAACCAGCGTGTGTTTACATAATGAAATTGCCTTTCACACATTCGTGTTGATTTTGTCATTTCATGGGGGAGGGAGGTGTTGTTACCAGGTCAAATTCTGTTTTAGTCCATCACTGCTATTCAGACAATTTGGATTCCACTTGATATGAAGTGCTTCTGATGACATTAGACGTTCTTTATGATTTCTGAAGTTTTTCTGGATTATTTCAATATTGTCAAAATCAATTTTGTGACCTGATTCTATAGCATGTAGACCTATGGCTGATGATTTTTCAAGTTTTTCCTGTTCAATTGGATTTCTCGGTGGTCGAACAGATGCTCTACGGTGTTTAAAATCAGAAGAAATGAACACGGTAGAGCATCTGTTCGATCACCGAGAAATAAAGTCATTTGAACTAGAAGAGTTTGAAAAATCATCAGCCATAGGTCTGCATGTTATAGAATCAGGTCACAAAATTGATTTTGACAATATTGAAATAATCCAGAAAAACTTCAGAAATCATAAAGAACGTTTTGATACCATAAAAGACGTACTGTTACCTTTGTTATTTGGTTTAGTGATCTTCATTGTTATTTTAACTTTCAATATGTCCTCCTTTTAACTTGACCTAAGTCTATTTTCTGACCTCTTAACTCTTTGTTATATATATATTCTGAGATTTTGAAAATTCCGGTTTAATAATGCTACTAGGATGAAGCTATTAGCATTAAATAGCGAAACGTCAGTGAAAACAATATCGTTTTGTTTTTCATTCATTGGAAAATACGAAAACCTTAATTACAATGAATATCATATACCCAATGCCCAAAGAATTTTTCAAACTGTTAAAAGTGAACTTGCTTTGGACATATATAATACGGAACAAAGACGTACAAAAAGCGTCACTTTCAAAGTTGTAAAACACTCGGACGTGTAACAAAAAGAAAAAAGGCCAAAAAAACAAAAACAAACACAACTCACCCAGGTAACTGAGTGAAAGCATTAAATCCAGCCTTGGATGCTACTAGCCGACGTAATGCATGAAATTGTGCTTCGACGAAAATTAATTCATTATGCGAATTACTACTTGGGACAGTAGTAGTAGGTGTTGATGCATTTGGAATTTCAGTGGCATTAGTGGTAGTGGTATTGTGCATTCGTCTTATAGACGGTAAACCAGCCATATCAATTAAACGAACTTCTTGTGTTAGAATAGTTGTCAATGCATCTTTAATCAGTTTTTCTTTATTCTCTGCAAAAACTCCCTGAAATCCCAGGGATGAAGTGGTGGGGGGGGGGACAGAAAACAGAGAAACTTCAGGAATATTGATTAAATTGTAAAGTTAAAGATATCTAAGCAAACATACATTTTGTGGTACCTCATAAAAATCACCTTACCCTACAGAGCCAGCCAGTTCTGCTAACCAAAAATGGCCTACATGGCACTCACGTTCAATGCAAAACTCCATTTAAGTGAGGTAAGCTTCTCACCCATTTAAAGTATAACAACAGGCTGAGGATGTTTTCTCCTCAATGCCTCTAACCATTCGCTTTATCGGATAAGGCTGTTTATTTCTCAGAATGCCAACTATCCTCACGGAAACTTCAGAGATAACAAGCTACTAGATGGTACGATTAGTCTTTCGCACCTAAACAAATGTTAAACGACCGATTTGCACGTTAAAAATGCTAAAGTACTCCTCCAGAATTTTCTCTTGCTTCAACCTTCGCAACCCTAAATCACACTCTGTCGGATCTTAATATGTACGCTCTTGCTCCAGTGCGATGTTGCATATTGCGCAAGGATACACGGGATAGTCAGTGATGTGTATGCTGCTCGCATCTTGGAATTGATGAGCAAAACAACAGGATTCCACTTTGTTCCGGACAACCCGAACCTTTATCTCCATTATGACTTCGGCTTTTATTGTGTCCAATGTCTCGTGCACATGTTAAACTCCTTGGTCCATGTATTAAAACAGGTCAGATGGATTGTCTACCACAAAACCGCAGACTATTGACCCAAACGAAGACACGCATACTACTAACAACTTAAACATGATCAAGTCATCAAATGACTAGCCAAAACCACCAATAAGTCGACTAGATTAAACCACACCTGAAGGATTGAGCGCATATACATAACTCCGGTACACCGTACAGATCCATTCCATTCGGCTAGTAACACTGAAAGCCCACAGAATGGAGCAGTAAGTCACTTGCCAACCAAAACAAGCTCAACGTTAATCAGGCCTGATCACTTTGACTACAGCAGGCAGAGAGCATGAATGAGCACGAAACAGCCAATCAGATTAAAGCAGATCAATTTAAGTGGGGAAAAAGAGTATACTCATATGAAAACAAATGCTTGAAGGAGTGTAAAAGTATTAAACAAGATCCCTTCCTTTATTACTTCCGCATAGAAGTGTCGATAATCATCCAAATAACTAAAGTTGAGTGTCAGATGGCACACTTAGGGTTAGGGGTATTTAGAATAGTGATGTCATAGAGCATGAGCATGGTAAGGACAAATGCTATGTTTATCAGAACAGCTAAAGACTAACATCAGTCAAGAAAATATTAAGCTCCTACATTCTGCTCAATATTAGCAACTAATGCTAGTTATTCTGGACCGACGTGAAGAACCTAGAAGACCTGGATTTTGCGGATGATTTATGTTTGATGTCACACAAAACCGAAGAATTACAAGCGAAAACCGACAAACTGGTCGAAGAAGCAGCAAAGACAGGACTCCAGGTGAACATAGACAAGACGGACGTTATGAAAATAACCAACCAACCAACAACAGCAGCAGCAGCAACATCCAGCGACAATCACCATCAACGGGAGGGATTTGAAAGAAGTTACTTCATTCACTTATCTAAGGAGCATTGTCTCAACTACAGGAGGAAAGGACGACGAGGATGTCAAATCGAGAAGGCGAGAAACACATTCATCAACCTGAAACCAATCTGGAAATCTTCGTCACTCAGCCTGCATCAACAACAAGATTCGGTTTTTCAATACAAACGTCAAGTCAGTTAGTTCTTCTATACGTACGGATCAGAAACTTGGTGGGTCACAAAGAATATTTCCAACAGCCTGTTGCAGACCTTTATCAACAACTGTCTTCGTTCTATACTCAAGATCAGATGGCCGGAAAGAATCACCAACAAGAAACTATGGGAACAAACAAAACAAGAACCAATCGCCAGCCAACAAATATGCAGGAGAAAGTGGAGATGGATTGGACACTCGCTGAGGAGGCCGCTGGGTGACATCGCGCGTCAGGCCATTGCTCGAGTGGAACCCGAAAGGGAAGCAGCGAGTGAGACGTCCAAGGGTGACATGGAGGAGATCGTGTGAAGAGGAGCTGAAACAGTATGGATTAACATGGACGCAGGTGAAAAGTACAGCAGAAGACAGAACCAAGTGGAGATGTGTAGTTGAAGCCCTATGTCCCACTAGGTACCCAAGGGAACAATAATAATATAATGCTAGTTACTACGTATAAGAGGTACAATTATCTGCATTCTTCAGTCACTTACTCGACTGACACTCAGATTCTGGAGTTTTCAGGTATTTTGAATGATTTCAATGTAAATTTTTCATGAATAAATATCAGTTAGACAATTATGGGAAACAATGTTCAGACGACAGGATTTGTGCGGATCTTGGACTAATTTCAATTGCTAGATTTTCGACACGAATCAACATCAGTTAGAGAATCATTGAAAACCGAGGAGCACTGGAGAACCGCTTTGTCCTCATTCTGGACTCTTCGGCAGTGCGCTCCAACAACTCTATCATGGATCGAACTCGGGACCTTAGGGTTATGAGAACAATCTCGTTGAGCATTCTGCCGACTGAGCAGGAATTCAATGATTCGTGAATTCTAACTCATGTCGATCCGTGATATACCGCTAGTGTTAGCCGATGGCCTTCGATGAACGTCCACTTCACCAGCATCAGTGAGCTGGCGACTGATATTCAGATTATACGATTTCTTGGGCTTTTGGATTGATTTCAATTGTTAGAATTTCTTCAGGGAAGCAGCCCAAGTGGTTGAATGACCAACGAGTTTAGTCTCGTGACCTGTAGGTCCCGGGCTCGATCCCTACTGATGAGGAGTCCTAAAATAGGACGAAACAACTGACTGTCCAGTGCTCTCTGGTTTTCAGTGACAATGACGAAAATCCAATAGTTGAAACCAAGAAGTGCTGGATAACTGTTTGATCTTAGTTAGGGACGCTTCAGAAGCTCACATCCACTACTCCACCAGGCACGGAACCCAAAACTTGCAGGTGCCGAAGGCAGTCCATCGGCTATTCAATCACTGGGTTGAAATTGAATAATCAGTGAATTCTAGCTCCTGCCAACTTCCGATACAGTGCTACCTTCAACCAATACCGTCAATGATCAAACACCTCACATCTGACATAGAGACGTAAATCACTCTCTCCCTTGTTTATTTTGCAATGATTAATGTATTTGAAGATGCTAGACTCCAAAAGTTATTTTAATACCTCTCTGTCTGTCTATTAGAACGGATGTACGTGTGTGTGTGTGTGTGTAAGAAACCTCGGACCACAAGAACTTCTGTTGACAACTGAGTACAGCTATTCTCGCTTACACAGCAAAAGAGTCAACTGAAGGCTTGTACACATTCAAACCGAAATAAGAAATAGGTAAAAAGGTAAAAACAGAAAAAAAAACAAATTATTCTATCAATACTACTTACATCTTGTGTAACTGCATGCAATAAACCACTGTAAGCAACATTAGCATTAAAGCGCTGCACTGCTTCCCAATATGATAAACCCTCTAATATTCAACGAGAAAAAGGAACAACAAAAAGGGAAAAAAATATCATGAACTTGAACATTTAAAAAAAAATAGAGATATGGAAAAGTTTAGTAAAGTATTACTCAAGCTACTCTATAACAACGACTATAGTCATCACAGCTTGTGAATTATCTTGATTTATTATTATTATTAAAATTGTGCATAAATGGTTCAATAGTAATGTGGCGAGTGCTACTGATAAGACTTATAAGTAGTATATAAAGTGGGTGTTCATCGGCGTAAGAAACATCAAATAACAGGGAGATAGATTTGATGTCAGAGAAAACAAATTACACAGCGTAGCGGAGATACATGGGAGACCTGAAAGGAACACAAAGAAACACACACAATATGAAGGACGGTAGAAGTAGCACAACACGGAAGATTTGTGCAGATGGTGCGTTGAAGATAGGGTGTACATAATTTCGCTATATATCGATATACCGAATTTCAAATAAACATTCCGTTAACACGTCTTATGTCTTCTACAGTTACAGTACAACACTTGCCAATCCTACACACGTGGTCCAATACTCGAATCCCAGCTGATGCACTCCTAAGCCTCACTTAGCTGATAGTAAGCCCAGTAAGGAGGAGGGTAGAAACACCACTGCCAGATGAAACTTTAAAGTTCAAGCTTGAAGTCTTACGTTGCACTCAAAAGGCAAAAGAACACAACCAAATTAATTAAATACTTATTATTATTATATCAGGGTTATTTACTGCATGCCGACAAATCTCAATTTCGCCTTAAGAGTTCGACTACTAAATATTGCTAAGGCTGGCTGTTGGGATCCATATTAACAAGCCTAATTTGTGCGTCGAAGAGAGAAAGCTAGTTCAGACATTATCCTTACCCCGCTGGCCATCTAGGTTTGAATGATCCTCAACTTTTTGTGGAAATTTCTTAATTTTAGTTGATATTCTATTTGCTACTATATCTTTATTATTATTATAATTTAAGCATCTTTAATGAACTGTGGTAATTCCATTGTGATCTTACTTTACAAATCGATAATATTTAAAAAAAAACACTAATATTGTTATTGACTACTATTCTAGGATGTTCTGTGTATATAAACATGCATATATATAATTGTAGAGCCAGAAGAGGAGGAAATTATCGAAAAGGATATTCTTTGTTCAATTATTTTGTGTATTATTATTATGATTATGATTATGATTATTATTATTAAAAACACAGACTTGGTACATTTTGGGCACCGAGAAATGAATCATACAATAATAGTAAAACAACTATGTATATAGAAAATAGGGATACAATAAATGAGAAATGTCATCGAGAAAGTAAGTACGCACACTGATCAAGATCATCTCAACATTCATCAATACATGTTACTTCAGGAAGGGAAGAAGTAAGGAAATCATGATCGCAGCCTTTTCACCATAGATTACGATCCTTCGGCGTATCTGATAACCTCTTAAGCCACTGATTCGAATTATTTCCCGGACCCCATCCTTGGAGTTGTGATACACTAACAGATGACAACTAACTTCTAACTATCTCCCACTGATGACGGTTGATCCTGGTTAGGTATCTTCATCACCTCTGACTTCTCTATATTCACTTGATGCCCCGTCTTCAGCCAGTATGTATGCTATAAAGAATCCTAGTCGGCAAGGTGATTTCTCTAAACTGTGTTGCTCCATTATGGATAAAATTTTATTTTAATAAAATCGCACAGTGTTTGTTATACAATAATATTTACGAATGACCACGTTTCGAGCACAATTTATTACAACTGTTCATAATTATGTCAAGGCACTACCCACTCACACAACTCTCTTGCTTCATTTATATACTGAGTAAAGACTGATGATTAGACATTTGAATAAAATCAATATAAGATAAAATACATTAGGAAAAAATATTAGTGTTATCAATAGAATACAATGAGATGGGAAATAAGATGTTTCCATAGTAAAATAAATAAGTAACTTGTTAGAATGTGAAATGAATTGAATATATTTTAACATTATTTACTATTCTCTAATTTCACTTGTGGTAATAATATCTTCTATACATATCTCTGGTATTTGCGTTGAGTCACTCCTATTGTATGTGTTGGGTATAGATTATTCGATGAATCAGGATTCCACCCCGCCCACTGCATTATGTGGCATGCAGTGCTATTGCTGAGTTCCTCTTTCCAAATTACTTCTTTTCGTGGGTGGGGTCAATCATTCTAACCTTAGCTAAATTCTTATGTTCCGACAATCTGACTACTGCCCACCTCTCCAAGTCTGACCTATGTAGTTGACCTAACTCACAGTCATTGCAAGGTATTTTTGCAAATTATATTATTTTATCTAATTGGGTTAACTTACAGGGTCCTCTACATAGCTTGTTCCTGAGTGAATGAGTTTGTCAGTTTGAATGCCACCACCAGCCTAATTCCTGCTTTATTAAGAATCCTACATATTGAGGGTCTCAGATGCCCCCTCTTTATATGATATAACAGAAGATGCCTTATATTCTCTCTTATTTATGTCATCATTACTAGTTTCACAATTATTTTTATTTTGCTTTTGGCCTTTTTCGATCTTCCTAATGAATTTTATAGGATAGTTATTTAACACCAACACCTCTTCTGACTGTTTCATTTCATCATCAAGGTTTTTTGTTGTACTACTTAGTGTTCTCATTTTTCGGTTTGTTAGACACTTAACTAAGCCAGCTTTTACAGACAACGATGGATGAGACGAATTCATCTTATCAATAATGGAGTTATACTCTACCACACTGCCCCAAGTTTAATATTGAAAGGTGTTGCTTTAAAAAAAATAAATCTAGAGTAGCAGTGTGGTGAGAGCTGGCTGCTAGCCAAAGTTGGTAGACAGTAATTGACGTCAATGTTTGTGTCCCCAATATTGGTGGTGAGAAAATGAGAACAAAGGCTTTGTGTAGGCGGATACAGTTAGCATATGGATGATCTGACACAGCCACAAAGAGATGCAAGGTTAACTTTCTGTGAGAAACAACCAATCAAAAGACTGTATTTTCTACTAGCAATAATCTACAATAATATACATTAAAATCTATAAATATGTGTTGATTTTCCTTAATAAACGATCTGTTGCCTGGCCCTTGTCTTCTGTTGTTACAGCAGAAATTAGAAACTAACAGGAATCAGAATCGGACACTAAGGCACACAATCATAATATCATGAAATCTGTACTCTGTAGAGCATAGTGATAAGGCGTCGCATTTCAGTGGATCACCACCAACCTCATGAGAATTAAACAATAAACACGTTTGAAAAAGATTATGAACTAACAATTAACTAACTAACTAGCAACAAGGATCTCTGGGAGCGAACCAACCCAGTAGGAACCGATTGTGCAACAAATAAGCAAGAAGAAATGGAGGTGGATTGGTGGCCATACTCTGAGGAAACCATCAAGTGAGTGACATTACTAGACAAGCTCTCGAGTGGAACCCAACCGAATGGGAAGCGACGAGTTAGTTGGTCGTCCAAGAGTGACTTGGAGGAGGAGGTCATGTGAAGAGGGGATGAAAGCATGTGGAGGGCAGACATGGAGCCAGGTGAAAACGCTGGCAGAGAACCGAACGCGTAATAGAAACGTGCGGCTGAAGCCCTATGTTCCTCTAGGAATTAAAGGAAACAATAATAATAATTAATTAATTAATTAACTGAACTCTTGTATTACCTGGACGCTGACGTAAAAGTCGTAAATGCACTGACTCGATTTCTTCTGTTGATGAATTAATTAACGGCATAAAACGTAGATCACGATCAGAAAATGTACTGCACACGCAGACATCACGATTCCCGCTAGCTCGTACACCATCTAACAGTGAAGCTAATAGGGCATCTCTACAATTAGGAAAGAAGAAAAAAATACAGAATGCAAACAAACACATTTGTTTCAATTATTTTTCAGTAACTGTATACAAAAGAGAAAATTTCAGTGATTGATTAACCTGAAAATGAAATCTGCTATACAGTTGAATCCTGTAGGACAGTGTTAAACAACACACGGCCAGAGAATCCACCTTTGGCCCACACGACGTCTGTAATTGTTACTTCAGACCACAAGTGGATGGATGTATATATATTCTATCAGTGATGAAATCTCCAATTTGTCAAAAATCAATACACAAAAGCACAATTCAAAATCATTTACAGACGTACTGTACTGGCACCGATAATCAATACCTTCAAAGTTTTTGATATTTACACTTATTACTATTATGATTATTCTTTTAGGTTACAAGTGGAACATAGGGCTTCAGCAGTACATCCCCATTTCACCTTGTTCTCTGTAGTCTGTTTTAGTTGGCTGCCTGATTTCCCATAAGCTTCTATCCCGTCGTCACATGACTACCTTTATGTCACCCTCGAATCGAAACCCAACTCGTCCATTCCTATTAAAGCTCCACTCTAGGGCATCAGTGATTGATTGATTGCAGCTAAGCTCATCCCCGTATAGTGAACAACTTGCTCTTGGGTGCAATCAAAAATCGATAGATAGATATCCTTCTCATGTTAACAATTCCAACTGTATATACAAATTAACGTGTATCTGCGGAAGCAGTTTTATTGGAAGGAGAGAAAGAAGGGCATATCTACTATTTTCTGAACATGCAGCAAAAAGCTTATGTCTAAAGGGAACAAATGCTTTAAACAGTGCCATCGCCAGGCATCTATGTGCTTGACACGGGTCATGAGGTGGACGCCGAAAAGTCGTTCAAAATTACCAATAGGCAAAAAAGTTCAATTCTCCTCAAAAGTTTGCTGAAGCCATCTCCATCAAGCGCCTGAAACCTGATTATTTGTGCGTTCAGAAACAAACAGCTATCAGTCTTTCTTTGCCCTGGTAACTGGATATTTTTCATCCGAATGCGAGATACTGAAAAGTTTTCATTGTGTGTGATTATTATTGTTCGGAATATTATATATATATATATATATATAATATATATATATATATATATATATATATATTTATATATTAGTGTATGCGTATATTGATCGATTGATTTTTGTTTAAAAATGAACTGTCTGTGCAAGTATGTTAAAATTGTTTTTGTAGATACATTTATTAATGTCTTTACCCTGTAAGCAGCTGATGAGAAGGCAACGAAATAAACACCGATGGTACCAATTTATTCTGTAAAAACCGCTGTTGTTCTTGCTTTGTTCAGATGGAACTTCAATTGTTAAATTTAGTCACAAACCAACATCAGTTAGAGATTGTTGAAAACTAGAGAGTACTGGATAGCTGTTTCGTCCCAATTTAGGCCTCTTCACCAGTGCGCACCCATGAACTCACTGGGTATCGAACCCAGGACCTTCAGGTTACAAAGTCAGCTCGTTGACTATTCAGCCACTTGGACTGGAATCCAATAACCCCTGGATTCTAACTTCAACAACTCGTCACTGAGCATTCAGTGGATAGATATCCATGACACAAGGTTACACGACTCCACGTTATTCAATGAAACAAATTCGCGATTTGCAATACAGGCCAGCTACTTGGGTGGACTGGCGATACGTTGAATCAAATTCGCGGTAACATAGTTTCACCATAGTTTCTATTGGAATCCAAAACTATTCACATCACAAAATGTGACTGACTTCAACTGGTCCGATTATATTGTCTGAGTCTAACGGAGTACACAACTGGGGCGATCGGTCTCAAATACGAGGAATAGCCATGAGATCAGTTAAGAACACTTTTTATGCAGCTAGTGAGCATACAATGTGATCCGTTGAAACTATTTATATTGAAAATTGAGATCTTTTCCATTTCTCTTATTCGACACTTCATCCGTTGCTCCTCTATTCAGAATTTCAGCGGATATCATACAACACACTATTTAGGAAATTTTTTCAGGAACATACATATACCACCAGAATCCTTCATGGAGAAATGCTTCACACTAACAGCCATCAATTAAACACAAAAATTACCACATATATACAGCATGAGAGTCAATCAATCACATTTTAAATACATTCTGTTAATTGTGACTCACAATCAGAACATGTCATGTGAGTACCCCGCTCATATATATATATATATATATATATATATATATATATGTTAACATGACTCATGTTAAACATTTTATTCCACACGTTAATTCTGATCAGTATGCTTCATTCTCTCATTGTTTATAGGATAAATTGTTTTGCGCACATTCCTGTTGTAATAATGTATTCGAACTCAGTTACCACCTGTGACAAGCCTCTCTTATACCAGGTTTTGAAGCCAGAATTATTGTGTGAAGACCAATGATACAACTAATTAGCTGTCGACGCTAGTTTAGGTGGAGTGGGATTCGAACCTGGGACCCACTATTGCTAAAAACTGAGTACTTAAACCAATGAGCCACGTCTCCATATAAAATAATGTGTCATGCATCCGTATTTCTGAGGCAAACAAAATTAAAAGACACATAGACCTATGCAGTACAACTATAACGCACCTCCAAGTCTATGTCGTCAGTATTTTGAAGTATGAGGATAAAAAGATCAATGAGATGCTCACTGGAGACTGGCCCTATTCAGGTAGGTAGTTACTTAGGGTCCTAGTGGGAAGACGTCACCAGTAGGGTGCAGCAGGTCGGGTATGAGGACAAATACTCGCCAACGAAGACATTGGCTAGCAGTAGCGCTATATCGTGAATTGGCAGAAGTTAGAATTCATGGACTGGCCATTGGATCGGGTTCCAGTGGCTTAATGATCTACGAACTCGCCTTGTAACCAGAAGGTCCTGGGTTCGAACCCCGGTGGGTGCGTACCGTTGAAGAGTCCCAAACTAGGCTGACGAAACAGCTGTCCAGTACTCCCAGGTGGTTTTTCAATGGTTCCCTAACCAATGTCAACTCATGATGAAATCCTGTAACCAGACAAAAATCTGTGAGATTTCGTAGGCATTGGCAACGGGCACAATTGTTTACTCTATTAGCCAATCAGCGATAATAACACAATGTGTGTTCATTATATGATGATTGGCTAAGGATAGCGAGCTAGCATTACTCACCGTTGTCAATGCCTATGAAATCCACTTTTTTTTAAAAAGACAAAAGCGAGAGAAAATAATTGGAACATTACCTATCTGTAGAATAATATGTTGTAATTTTACCACGAACATATTCAATAGAAAATCTCTGTGGTTGAAAACGATCACGAACAAGTCTATTTATCTGAAAGTTAAGAAAAAAAACAAGTGGAACATTGAATATTAAACACTTGAACATTGAAAAAAGAGCGCTAAAACAGAACAGAATAGAATGACAAAGATAAAATAATGATAATCACGTTTAAATAATGGAAGAAACCATAGTAACATCAATAGGATAAATAAATAGTAGTCAATTTTTTATCGATGCCTCACAGATCCAAACTAACTCTTGCTGTGCTTTCGTTTCAATATACTTCAAATAAGTAGAACAGAGGCGGTCAGTTACGTTTTGAATTTCCTTAGATAGAGTTGGTCTTAAGAGATTTCGTATTAGGTGCTTAAGGGGATGTTGCTATCACATCAGATTTTACAGGTGTGGTTGTTTTCAAAGATGGTTTATGAACCCTGTTTACACAATTGGAATATCTGTTGTAGCATTTACTGTAATATGCGCGAAAACACCACACGGTGACTTTTATTCTCACATAACTTCACATTCTGTTATGTTATCACCACTTTTATATTTTTGCAATGACAGTGAGATAGAAATATGGATTCCGCTGAGTTGGACGCTGAAGCGCTGATCAGGAATACTGCCACTTGACTGAGCCAACAACATTATATGACAGTTACCTGTCTCCCCAGCCCACACCACTAAAACGAGAACACACAACGACGTGGCTCGCAGAGTACATGTACGTGCCAAAGCACATATATCGGAAGAACAGAGAAAAGGGTTATTGTCCGCATTTCTGAACACATACCAAAGAACCTGAGACTGAAACGACCACAAGTATTAAACAGTGCAATTGCGCGTCATCTATTAGACACTGGTCATAATGTAGACAACTTGAAGTCATTCAAAATAATCAACAAGTAAAAGAAACCTAACTTTCTACGCTTTGCTGAAGCAATTGCTATCAGACGACTTAAACCAAATCTATGTACGCAGAAAGAGACAGTGGTGAATCTTGCATTGCCCTGGTGACAACAAAATATACAACAGCTTGTTTTTTGTTTCCAAGCCTAATTACCTAATTATTCTATAAATTTCATACATTTGGTTCCCTATCGAAATATTCTATAAATATTTATAAACTGTCAAATATTGATCACATTTCATTTGAATTATTCTATAAATAGTCAGTGTTTGTAACTCTTAATTGATTAAATCATTCCGGACTAATGTTACTTTTGCTTCCTACCAATTACTCCTTGTGATCGTGGAAAAGTATGTTCAAATCTTTAATGTAATGTAATTCATATTTTTCATCGTTCAGGTTATAACCAGTTGAGAAGAATCCTGGAAATAATAAAAGATGAGCTCATATTATGCTGGTACAATTGTTGTTCTTGCTTTGTTTAATAATGAATGATTCAAAATATTCCCAAGGATATGTCAATTAGTCTGTAATCATGATCAATAAAATATTGGGCGTTATTTTATGTGGATTAGTTCTGATTGGTTTATTTCCAGGTTGACCTTGATCACCATATCACCATCAATAAAGGATAGTCGATTATTTATGTCTACATATCAACTCCCCTTCTAAAAAGGAACTATTACTTAGGATCAACCTGGAACCGAACTGTTTATTTTCTGTACCTGGTTGACCGACGTCGAGGGAGTAGTCTGTTTTTTGCTGAAAATTCTGGAGCATGAGAAGCTGTGGCACTCTTGAAAACGACTTGTTGTTCGAGAAGGGAGAGTTTGGCGTCAACTCGCGGTAATGAATTACCTGACCAAGTTCTCTTTGGTTTGAAAACGGGCGGAGAGACATCTGGAGGTCGTGAAGTACGAACACTGGTGAATGTTTTGATGGGCAGGTGCTGATTGGGAACGGCGTCTGAGGTGAATTGTCGAGAATGGTCTTTGTTTTTACTGGCTAAAATCGTCTTTGTGTTCAACATTATTGTAGTCTTGGGGCAGGTTTTGCTTATACGGACAAGGTTTGACGATATGCCGAGCACCACAATGCCAGCAGGATGATGGAGGTGTCACCTTTGGGTTTCAGTTGGTAATGGGTGAGTACCTGGGACGATAGACGTTTGAGGTAAAACCAAGGGGTGTGGGGTCAAAGGTTTAAGCAGAGTTTTTGAGAAGTTTGGAGAACTTCATTGGTCTCAGGACCACCCTGGAGTCTACAATTGACTAAACCCGTTGTTCGAGAATTTTGTCCAACATCGAAGAATCCAATAACACCATCGCCAGAAAATATTCATTAAGCTTTTAGCAAACAATAACTACTTCGAAGATAGGTTGACCTTAAGCGTCAATAGATTTTTTAGTTAAACCTTAATATTTCTCATTAATTTTTTTTCAAAAATATCTCTACCAGAAGAATTTGAACTCTTATTACTTCTACCCAGTAACAACACACCATAAGTACGATTTATATCAACTCCTATAAAGGGTATCCATCAAAAAAGCGTTAATCTTTGAACAATAGATGGATGTGGAGCATGAATGACCGACTGACTGACTGACTGGTTTCAACATAGAACTTTGCACCGATGTGCAGCAGTTCGAGTCGCCACACTCCATGTAGCACACAAAGCAAGAGAAGAAAGTAAAAAGAAATGCAAAATAGAGGCAGTAAACAGAGATATGAGACAAAAAGAATAGTAATAACGAAGAACAATATAGTTTTATTGGATATTATAGGTAACAAGGAGTGGACGTATCTGTACCAGCGATTGACAATGATTTTCAGCCCTATCACCAATTGTCTTCAGCCATTGGTTTTTACCGTCCCGCGGACCCCAACCAGGAAGTCTATACCTTCCTACGTGGCTGTCTGGCTTAAACTAACTATTGTAGATTTCATTGACTGATGAAACCATGTTTTGGTTTGACCACTACCTTTAGCTCCTTTCCAACGTGATCCATCCTATGTCAGCTAACATTGCCCGTTGAGGAAGGCGACGGCTAGGCATACGTAGCATATGTCCTAACCATCTCAATCAATGTAACTTCACAATCTCTGTACGACTGATTTCCCCTCTTTACCTACCACTCGACACCTAACCTCAATATTGCTCACCCTATTACACCAATTCACACGGGAGGAGATAGAACGCAGACACCTATGATCAAAGACAGCTAGCTACACTGGCTTTACATGTCTCGCACTTTCAGTGGCCAGGTCTTACCCACAACCATAAAGGAGGACAGAGAGAACTGCCGAGCAGTACACACGCCCTTCGGTCGATAGCCAGCCGGATATCACGTCTACGCCAGAGACGGCGTAAACTGGCATATGCGAAACGAGCCTTCTGTATCCGTTCTGAGCATGAATGTGGATATATTACCGAATAAGTAACATTACAGAAAGTAAAGCATCCGAAAATAGCTTTGTTTAGGAATTAACACACTTGACAAAACTGCAATACGCCTTAAAAAAACTTGGAGTCCGTTTTTAAAGTATGCAGATAATTAGACCATCCCATCATCACAAATATTTATCCACGAGAAAACCAGGCAAGTGTTCGTGAGCTAACCAACTATGAAGTGTGATTGCGTAACTCAAACAAGGTCCGTTTAAGACTAAAAAAGGGGGTTTATCATTATTCAAAATGCTGAGTGTTACCGTTGTAACTAATTGATTCGTTACATTGGAAATATCACTCAAATAAATCAGTCAGTGTTACTCAACAACCACATGCAATTCCATGCAGTTGGCAATGTGCCACACCTATTGTGTGAGGGAGGGTTGGTTATACTATCCGAGGCTGCCCCCAAACCACAGTGCGTGGAGTGGGCTTCGAACTCGTGACCGACTGGTTGGAAGCCGAGCTCCTAGACCAATAAGCTGCAGCTCCACTAGAAAATGTTTCTATCCAAGCGTAAATTTGTACAGTGAATGGGTTTAGACATTTCACAGAATATCTTCTGATCAATCAATGTTCGCTATGGCCTATTTCTAGTATTTAGCAGAACCTGTCCAGGTTGACAGCTGCTACCTTGATGTGGTTGGTTGAGCTTGCTATGTGCCGTAATGACACAACGAGCTACACTGGCCGCAATTTTATGCCTCGGGTAAGTCACTAGTTCCGAATAAATTCTCATCTTCTTATGGTACGAACGATGGCGCAGAGCATAAGATAAGGAACAGAAACCAATTGATAAGATAGTGAAGTTACATAGATTAAAACGACCAGGATATGTGCTACACATGTTGGGTCATTGCCATCCTTGAAGAGCAATCTTATGTAACATAGGATTGCAGTGGAAGAGAATCTGGGGGGGTGCATCGGTGGCACAGAGGTTAGGACTCTCGCCAACCATGCATATGGTCCGGGATTCGATCCCCTGCCGACGCACACCTGATATCAATGGTCGGCCTGCAAAATTTGGGCTAACGATATCACATGCTGAAAATTCCATACTTGTACCAAAAATACGGTGTGGAATCAAGCTATAATCAACTGTCGGTGTGAGCCACATACGGAGATGTAGACTGTCTGACTGGGATCCTCAAGATGCGAGGAACCAATGACGCAGATGCATTCACTCTTTGTGATCTTTTAGATCCACGAAATCCTCATTATGCTCCGGGCAAAGTTCAGCAATAGCGTCCCAAGGGATGCGAACGCACGGGTGACCTACAGCCGACCAATCATAAAAATGAGGAATTTTTGCACAAAAAATGATTCATATTTACAAGACAATGCATGAAAACACATTAAACAGAGTATCTTTCTCTGACATAACTTAAAAATACTTCCCAGTTATGATGGAGAGTATCAGTATTCACCGAGGTGACTCGAAATGATTATCTGTTTTTGTGAATAGTTTATCTCTCTTATCCTGTTGTGCAGTCCTCCCCAAAGCCTTCGGTTGACTTACTATGGTTTTCAGTAAGAGGATCGACGACTACTTGCCAGGAAAATGTGGATAATAAAACAAATTAAAATAAATGACATCAACTCTAAATCCATCCCTAATCGTAACCCTAACCGTAATCCTAACCCTAATGCTAATTATAACCCTGATCCTAACCCTAACCAGCTATTAACACATTGTCAAAACAGTACTTAAAAACGTGATATCTGGTTGAAATTTGCTACTTAGCTGGTGAATAGCGTTGATATTTCAGCTATGATAATGACAGGTGCCGTTAGCCAACGACTAGCATGCGTTCAAGGTCATTGGAGCGTTCGCACTCCTGGGACGCTATCGTTGAACTTCGCCATGCTCCGTACTTTCTTTCTTTCTTTCTCCCGTACTTTTCTGTTTATTATAGCTTTCTATGCATTTCTTTTCCCGCTACTTTTATGTACGGTTTACGAAATGTGGTAACCTCAACTGTTGCACTTTTGTTCAAGGTGCAACGTTAAAAGTTCAGTTCGGACTAGATCAGAACCTAGACATATAAGAATTTGATATAATCATTAATACCCATAAAACTAACTGCACCAATAGGCAGGTTCTCAAGGTGGGTCAACAATGATTAGTCAGTTCGGTGGCTGTACAGTAAACTGATCAGTTAGCGGGCGATCAGATATCAAAGTTAGTACACACGAGTCTTTTTACATCAGGGTCTTCATTACGTCAACGACCAGTCTCACGTGACTTACGCAATGCCTCAAATAAGTAAGGTGATCGATTCAGTCGATCACTTGTATTATTTATTAATCCCTTGGGTTCTGAGGGGAAAATATGGCTTCAGCAGTACATCCTCACTTCATTCTGTACTCTCTGCATTCTCGTCAGCTGGTTCCACGATTTCCTATAGGCTTTCATCCCCCCCCCTCACACGATCTCCTCCATGTGACCCTTGAAGCGACGTCCAACTCGTTGTTGCTCAATCAGGTTAAACTCGAGGGCCTTGTGTGTGGTGTTACTAAACAACTATTAGTTTAATGGGAGCCCGACAACGATATAGGAATTAAATCAGAAATTAATTATCTTGGGCTCCCTTCGGATCTCTCCTGGTCTTCCCATGTCTCAGCGATCTCCAGTAAAATATTCCGCCTGACATTTTACATTAAGAAGTTAAGGCACTCGGGTATAACTCAACCCCTCCTCTTACAGTTCATAAACTCTTGCATCCTACCTATTCTTCTTTATTGTTCACCCTTATTCTTTCCTGGTTTGCTTAAAAAGGACTATGTCACAATTCGTAGAATGCTGAAGACTGTCAGTAGGATGAGTGGTGTCCCAGTGGACTACATAGTTAACGTCGTTGTCGATAGGCACTTGACTTCGTGCAGTAAATTTGCTAAAGAGATTTTGTCTGACTTGGAGCATCCACTTTACCCTCAGCTTTCACCTTGCATCTCCTCAGGTAGAACAAGAAGTAACTTCAGAAAACTGTATGCTCACACGTCTAAGTATAAAAATTCTATGATACCATACTTGGCACGTATTTTATGTGATGAAAATAGTGTCAGGTAAGAATTAACTAACCTTTTTTCATCTAGTAAATAAACAATCTCCTCCATCCATCTTTATATACCTTCAAGTTTTACTTTTATTATTTCTATTATATTTATGGTCCTGTTGCTTCTTTGTTTTACTTTCATAATTGCAAACATCAACTTGTCTCTATGACTGCTGTAATCTTTGTTTTTTCCCTCACCATATCATGTAAAGAGAACATTATATTCAATATTTTTTAATCATGCAAGGATTTCTATACCGCATCGACAATACTGTGTGAAATAAGCCCACGGCAATTTCCACTTGTATTATTATTATTACCTTAGCTGTTATCATTATTATTATTTCCATTTTATATGCTGCATGTTTTTTGACATTACCCTATTGTAAATGTGGAAAACTTTCTGTGTGACTTATTTTTATTTATAATTTGAGGAAATCAGATGCAATATTATTGTGATTAATGCTGAAAATTCCATTCTGTATCACAAGTACTGTTTTTGGAATAAAGTAAATCATTATTATAATCACCCCATTAATATCCAAAAAACAAGGAACAAGTATGAAAGTGGAACCGAACTTACTTCACACAGTGGACTAGCTGAAACCGGTCGATAACTAGTTGGATCTCTTTCCAGTAGAAGTGTTTCAGTTAAACACATAAGACGTGAAACAGTTTTCATTTGATTTAATGAACCATAACGATTAGAGAACTTCTGGACAGTGAATTCCGCTTGAGATATCATATTCTCTTGACTAAAGAAAGTAAAAAAATAATAAAGTCAGATTTCTTGTTTTAAAACAAATAATATTGGGTTATAAACAGTGAACAGGAACAACAACAACAGCAGACAACGATCAGCATAAATGGGAGGAACCTGAAAGAAACAACCTCTTTTACCTACCTGGGAAGCATCGTTTCAACTACAGGCGAACGGAACTGACGAGGATATCAAAGAGAGGAACATTGGGAAAGCAAGGCAAGCTTTCACTACTCTCAAGTCTGTGTGGAGGTCAACATCACTCAGCATCAAAACGAAGATAAGATCCGGATTTTCAACTCCAATGTGAAGTCAATGCTACTATACGGATGGATCAGAGACTTGGCGCGTAATAAAGAGCATCTCAAATCAAACTACAGAACTTCATCAACAGCTGTCTTCGCTCAATACTACTCAAGATCAGATGGCTGGCCAGAAAAGATCAACAACAGAGATCTCTGGGAGCGAACCAACCCAGCAGGAACCGATTGTGAAACAAATATGCAGGAAGAAATGGAGATGGATTGGCTGGCCATACTCTGAGAAAACCATCAAGTGACATCACTAGACAAGCCATCGCTCGAGTGGAACCTAAAAGGGAAGCGGAGAGTTGGTCGTCCAAGCGTGACTTTGAGGAGGTCATGTGAAGAGGAGATGAAAACGTGTGGGCAGACTTGGAGCCAGGTGAAGACTCTAGCAGAGAACCGAAAGCAATGGGGACGCACGGCTGAAGCCCTATGTTCCTCTAGGAATTAAAGGAAACAATAATAATAATAATGAAGCACTAACTAATCAACCTACAGCATTCAAGAGATAAATGAGCGGGCTTATACAAGTAGCTATGGTAGAAAGCGAACCAGCTAATAGCCTACTACCCATCAAAACATGCAGAAAGAAATGGAGGTGGATAGGACACGGACTTCAGAAACCTCCAAGTGACACTACACACCAGAACTCCAAGTGGAAACCGAATTGGAAGCAATAAGGTGAGCATCGGAAGATGACATGGAGACCATATGAGGAGTAGATGAATTATATAATCAAAATACAAGCTTGCTACATTATGCGCCACACAAAAACTCAGTTTGCGCCAGGGCTAGGATACTGCCCGGACCGCCGGATAGCAATGGGTGGTTGTCTCAAGGGGCCATTCCCAAGTCTTCGGCTTGAAGTCTGATCCACAAGACAGTGGAGCAGTGTCAAGGGATGCGTTCCTATAGTTAACGGTGATCAAAGCAGGTTCACACACCATTCGATATGTTCGCATTCTGATGCCCATCTGCACCGTAGGATTGGAATTAGGGTTTTTCAGCGCCCTTAGGTAGACCTGCATGTCCACCAGTCTGGCTATAAGGGCCAAACATCCACATTAACCATTTGTGAGGAACATCACCGCCGCACGAAAAGTCAATATGACTTATCCGATAGAAGCTATGAAAACTTGTGGGCAGTCATGGATTAGCAAACTGAAAGTGATCGTGGAAGACCAAGCGCAAAAGTGATGTGCCTCTGAGACCCAGTGTTCTGCTCGGAACACAAGGAACGAACAATAATACTAATGATATAACATAAAAAGCTGACAGTCCTGTGGAGACTTGTACTAGATTGATTACACTGATTATACGAACTTCCAAAAGAATAAGCCAAGGATTGATGCCAAACTCTGAACTCAACAATGACGTAGACGTTTGTGTACACTGACAATAACCTACGCTGATTGTGTGAGAACTAATAAAAGTAACTAGCTACAGAAATAAATCCCAGTATACGAGGTGGGACTCCAGTTCATAATTTCAAACAGTAAAAAAAATGAAAATTATGACAGCAAATAGAGAGAGAGAGAGACAGAGTACAGATAGCTAGCTTATCCTACTCACCTGATTTTACCCAGTCTATATTCTGTACAATAATCGCGTGTTAACGGATTCCTAGGTTGACTGAATGTAAGTGATAAGTTGGCCTGAGCAGATTTATTAATCTCACGGATTAGATTATCTGGTTCACGTGTAAGGAATATGTGCTACAGACGAAGAAAGAAAACATAAAAGATTTTTTTAAAGCATGGCTAATATATATATACATACATATATATATATATATATATATCAAAAAATTATAGGATGTTACAAAGAACGCTTCAACACTTGTTTCATACTAAACTAAAGCTCTCCCTTAGTGCACTCTTACCAATTGATAAGCGGATTTAGCTCCTAGCTGTCACATCCACATCAGTAAGATACTAATACACCGCCTTAGAAATACGGTAAAAAGAGCGTTGCCTGCTGCCGAATTACACTGTGTCTTCAAAACCACTCCTCTTTTGCGTTCGGGAGTAAAAGACAAACTGCCTAATTTCGCCTCTTCCATGTGTATCTATCAATTTAAGCGCTACACTGTGGAGGGAGCCAGTTACATAGACCAAACAATTAGGCGTGTTTCTCGTAATATTTCCGAACATCACCCTGTGTGGTTAAGTAAAGGACAAACAAAATCTATTCGTAGCGCTATTCTATCTCATCTTGTGGATACAGAACACAAGAATGATGTCAACGAGGCGGCTTTCAAAGTCATTCACAGCATATTAACAAATCTAAACTTCACACTAAGAGTTCGTTTACTAAATATTGCTGGGACTGGCTGTTGGGATCCATATTAACAAGCCTAATTTGTGCGTCCAAAAGAAGTTAGTTCAGACATTATCCTCACCTTGGCCATCTAGCTTTGAATGATGGCGAATTTTTGTGGAATTTTCCTAATTTTAGTTGATATTTTAGTTGCTATTATATCTTTATTATTATAATTTAAGCACCTTTAATGAACTGTGATTCCGTTGTGATCTTACTTTACAAATCGATATTATTAAGAAAACATTGATATTATTATTGACTACTATTCTAGAATATTCTATGTATATAAAGGTACATATACATAATTGTATAGCTAGAAGAGGAAATCATCGAAAAGGATATTCCTTGCTTAATTATTTTGTGTTTTATAAATATGTAGGAGAAAATGGAGATGAATCGGGTATACATTTAGGAGACCGTCGAATGACATCGCGCACCAGACCCTCGAGTGGAATCCAAATGGGAAGCGACGAGTGGGTCATCGGTGTGAGGGTGACATAGAGGAGATCATGAGAGGAAGAGGAGATGAGAGATTATGGTCAATTGTGGCCCTAGCTGAAGAGGATGGCAGAAAGCAGAAGAAAGTGGAGATGTGTTGTTGAAGCCCCATGTTCCACTCGGAACCCAAAGGAACAATAATAATAATAACAAAATGGCAAAGTTAAACTATAACGATCGATGGGACGCGAACGCACAACTTGATATGATTATGAGCAATAATTTGTGCTCGAAACGTCATCAGTTAATATTACTCTGTAACACTGTGTGATTTATCAAAATAAAATCTTATCCATAATGGAGTTACGCTCTACCACAGTGCCCAAGTTTTATACTTATATAGAGAGTAACGACAGAACATATTAAGCAAAATATTTTTCCTTGACGTGACTTAAAAATATTTCCATATTATAATAAGAAGTATCAGATTCTAGGCTAAACCAGATAATCTGTACACGCATTCAACGGGGTGACTGAAGATAAGTCCTTTTTGTGACCGACTTATCGCTCTCATCCTGTTTTTCAGTCTTCTCCAAAAGCTCTCCATTGAATTACTACGACTTCTAATACGCAGACGGACAACTATTTACCAGAAAAAAATGCAGAGAATAAACATAAAACATCCTGACACTAAAACCTAACGAGCTATCGACCCATTATCCAAACAGTACCTAGAAATAAGATAGGGATGAAATTCCCATCTCAATTCCTTCATAGTGGCCTTAAAGTAATGGTGGATCCCGTTATCCGACGAACAGTATGATTTCACTCCCGCTTCGCTATACTTTAACTTGGCCAGTCAATATTAGGAAATAACACGGAATTTATACGATTGAACAGATGACTAAACGGTGATTCGAACTTAATTTGTGGATAGTGACTAGCAGTGGACTCCAGGATAACGCGTATTTCGTCCTACTTGTGACTCGTCATCTGGATGTACCTGCATTTCCCAGTGAGTGATTTTCCCACCACGGAGGCTCGAACCCAGTGCGCATCCTGACTGGATTTCACGCTGCTAGTCACCATCCACCAATTAAATTCTAATTACACATGCCCAGACATCGTCGAAGCATCTGCACAAGAAGCCAACAGACATGTCAACCTGAGACCGAGCACTTCGGTCCAATCAATCAGTGGACGGGAAAATCTAAAATTCAATTCAAGGGTCATTCGAACTAATTATGGATAAATTTACAGACACAGAGAAAAAAACACTCACTTACAATATGTCCAAATCCACCATGAACAATAGCCACTGAATTAGGAATATCGCTTATCTAGGTGAAGAGATAAATATATGTAAAAGAAATACAATGTATCAGACAAAATTAATGTTTTTATGCTACACAAAATATAAATACCACTCTAATTGACGAATTATCAGTTTTGAATCCGTTTCGCTATCCCCACGGTTGGTTTCACTAGCAGGAAGAGTTTCATTTACTGCCTTCACGTGCTAATTGCGCAGAAATAGGTTTTTCTTACAACAATGCAAGAGTGAATACGAATGTTTGAAGCTTATTATTTGACGTAGAGGCCCATCTACAGGAGATGGAAAACCTTGAATCCAAGCTCCAGGTGCCAAAGGGTTCCAGAATCCGAAAGGAATGAATTACGTATGAACCTTTTTTTAAGTACCATCAACTGAAGGAACTCAGCTCCTGATGTAGCTCTTCTGTCTCAAGGAATACACTTAAAATCAAAGGCTCGGACAGTGGTTTCTTTGAACAACCATCTGCTCTGGTTAGAGCCTTACGTTGCTAGCTTTTCGATAAGCATACGATCCCTATTTAGAAAATAACTAAACACATATTTGAGGAAGTGAGCTCCATATCCGCTTCGCTTTAGAAACAGTAATAAGGACTGTTGATAACCTGCAACCAAAGGCGATTAAATGCCGGCAAAGTTCTGCATTTTTAGCTGCACTATAGCTATCCAACCCTTATCTGAATTGGATGTAGAAACCAGTCGTTCAATTGCAGATAAAGTAGCAAAAGATGTCTCAGATCTATAAACGACGCAAAGTAGTAGGATCTGATGGAATTTACGGGTGGCGCTGATTAATTAAAGACTAGATTAACTGAGGCATTAGTGAGTATAAGGGAATCCGAAATGGTTTCACCGGACTGGTGAAAATCGTTCATCAATACAGTTAATGGGGAAGGAAACAAATCGTCCTGTGAATAGTCAAAGCTCGTGCTTAGCAATAATGAGGTGTAAACTGCCCGGTAAGTAAGGAGGGTAAATGGATGGTACTGCGGAGCTCAGACAATTCACCTGGCTAGAATATATTAAATATGATGAGTTACCGCCTTCTTCGACAAACGATATTACCTCACATAGGATTAAGTTGGAAAGGAGATAGGAGTGGTCGGACTAAGACATAGCACCAATTCAAAAATTATTTGGCTGTTGGTTTGTGCCACACAGCAAGATTTAGACGGGACTGGCAGGTATTTCCGGGACAAAGGAGAATCAATGGTTCACAATCTAGATTCTCAAAATTCTCACAAAATCTTTATTTCTTGTAAAATTTAGTCAATTGTAGCTTCACAACACTTTTATAAGTGCTTGTCAGAAGTGTGGTATATTGCAATGATACAACTATGTGCAAAAATCTACATTTTTATGTCGTAAGTGTCATTCGAAACCATCGGGCCGCGTGCAATACAATCATGGAGCTGATATTTGATAGTTAGAGGTAATCGGCAGGAAGCCTTTGACCTACGTTTCGTGCTAGTTGGCACTCGTCAGCAAGGCGTATCTGCAACCTTGAAGGAACTCATATCCCTTCTGAGATTCGAACCTGCGTCACTCAGTGAGTACTGCACTCAGAGACGTTACCACTGAGCTATTCGGGCTCGCGATTGAACTCCTTTAGGACTGTAGTGGGTATTTTGATTGAACACTAGTACTACAGGAGGTCAATCGCGAGCCCGAATTGCTCAGTGGCAGCGTCTCTGACTGCAGTACTCACTGAGTGACGCGGGTTCGAATCTCAGAAGGGATATGAGTTCCTTCAAGGTTGCAGATACGCCTTGCTGACTGACTGGTGAGTGCCAACTAGCACGAAAGCTAGGTCGAAGGTTTCATGTGGCCGATTGCCTCCAACCAACTAATATCATCAAATTAATGTGCACCATGATGGCGAGCTACCTAGAATGGTGGCCACATTGCAAACCTGACTGATAGAATTCAGTCTGCACCAAACAGGGGACTAGACACATCACACTAGTTACTAGTGTCCAATCAAAATAATCATGGAGCTAAATAACACGATGCTGCTGTGTTCTATGATATGCTGTAATCTGATAATAAACGCTAAGTGGAATCAATTACAGTAGGTGGTTGTCATTTGCCAATGGAGCTGTGGTTCGTCGCAGCATTCGTTCGACCCTTCTTTCTACATAAACAATATTAACATACTTGCACAGAGTATGGTAGTGAAGAAAATATTCCCCATTTATATATTCGAAACAGACATTGCAGTTAACCAGAATGAAAATAAAATGAACAACAACAACAAAAAATAATAAAAATTCAACTCACCTTACTGACACATTCAATATCTTTAAATGTATACGTTTTCCAAACTTCACCAGTTCGCGGATCACGCATACTAACTGATACTGGGCCAATATCCAAAATAACATCATAGGTTGATTCAGACCAACTGACTTTAGTAGCATGTATCCTCTATAGAATGTTGTAATAGAATATTTATAAGAGGTGGTGGTGGTGGGGGGCGGGGAGATGAAGTGGAATAGGAAGTAAAGCCTTAGCAATAAATACTTCAATGCTTATTAACTGAGTCGTTGTAAAATAAAACGTATAGAAGAAGGTAAACTACACACTAGCGTTTATAAAAAGTCAAGGAATTCTGCTAATAGATATTTAGACTTTAATTCATCTCATCCATCGTTATCTGTTAAGGTAGGCGGCTTAGTTAAGTGTCTAACAAACCGAGCAGTAGCATTAAAGTAGCACACAAAAGACCTAAATGGTGAAATAAAACAGATAGAAGAAGCGTTGGTGTTGAATAACTATCCTATAAAATTCATTAGGAAGATCGAAAAAGGTCAAAAGCAAAATAAAAATGATGGTGAAACTAGTAATGATAACATACATAAGAGAGAATATAAGACATCTACTGTTATACCATATAAGGAGGGGACATCTGAAACCCTATTTAGGATTCTTAATAAAGAAGGAATAAGGGTGGCATTCATAACCCGCAAACACACTCAGGTAGGACAAGCTCTGTAGGCTAAAAGACCCGGTGGACCCAATTAAACAAAATAATATAATTTACAAAATACCTTGCAATGACTGTAATTGAGGTCAACTATATAGGTCAAACTAGTAGAGGTGGGCAGTAGTCAGATTGTCGGAACGCAAGAATTTAGCAAAGGTAAGAATGGTTGACCCCGAGAACATAAGTAATTTAGAAAAACCAACTCAGCAATTGCACTGCATGCATTAACACACAACCAAACAATAGGATGCGAGAGGGTCAAGATTCTAAGAAGTAATCTGATCTAATCTATTATTTCGCAATGTACATTATCCCATATTGATTTTTATTCAAATATCTAGTCAGTTCCACACATGTAAATAAATGAAGGAAAAACGTTGTGTGGGTAATGCCTTGATATGTTTATGAGCAATAATTTGTGCTCGAATTGTCATCAGTAAATATTACTGTACAAAAACACTGTGTGATTTATCACAATAAAATCTTATCCATAATGGAGCCCTATAAAACACTTGATACGATCGAGTATGGATATAGACTTTGGTCTTCGTCTTAGAATGCTCTCATGTGGCCACGTGTTCATAGCCTGCCTCTGCTAGGTAAGTTTTATTTACTGCCTTTACGCGGTCGCTGGGATGTTCCTCAGCAAAGCGAAAAAGGCGAATGAGAAGATCTAACGCTTACAACTAGACTGATAGACATGCAGTTCTACCTAGGGGAACTGAAGAACCCCGGTTCCAAACCGGCGGTGTATATCGGCTCCAGAATCTGAACTTGTTTTGATCACCAGTAAACATGGGAACATAACTCCTGACACTACTCCACCGCCTCGTGGATTAGACCTAAAGTCAAAGGCTTCAAGGGGTGGCCACCCGTCTCAGTGATGGCGTCCGGGTAGTAAGTATCCTAGCCGTTGTACAGACATTGAGCTTTTGTGCGGCGCATCCGTTTGGTGCCCATAATGTACCACTTTTGTGTTTTTATAAATGAATAATGAAACAATAAAAGCCATGCGTGGTAAAATGAAGGCTGTTTCTCACACGAATCCTCAACATGAAATGTTTATTATTATTATTATTGTTGTTTCCTTTAATTCCTAGAGGAACATGGGGCTTCAGCCCCACGTCTCCATTGCGTTCGATTCTCTGTTAGAGTTTTCACCTGGCTTCAGGTTTGCTCACATTCTTTCATCTCCTCTTCACATGACCTCCTCCATATCATCCTCTCAATGACGACCAACTCGCCCCCTTCCTTTCGGGTTCCACTCGAGGGCTTGTCTAGTGATGCCACTTGATGGTTTGTTTCCTCAGAGTATGGCAACCAATCCACCTCCATTTCTTCCTGCATATTTGTTTCACAATCAGTTCCTGGTTGGCTCACTCCCAGAGATCTCTGATCTCTTCTGGCCATCTGATCTTGAGTATTGAGCGAAGACAGCTGTTGATGAAGGTCTGTAGTTTGTTTGAGGTGGTCTTTATGACGCGTTAAGTCTCTGATCCATAAAGTAGCACTGACGTCACATTGGAGTTGAAAATACGGATCTTATTTTTGATGCTGAGTGCTGTTGACCTCCACGCAGACTTGAGAGTAGTGAAAGCTTGCCTTGCTTTCCCGATCCTTGCTTTGATATCCTCACCAGCTCTGTCCGCCTGTTGTTGAAACGATGCTTCCCAGGTAGGTAAAGGAGGTTGTTTCTTTCAGGTTCCTCCCATTTATGCAGGCTTATTGTTGTCTATTGTTGCTGATACTGTTGGTGGTGTTGCCCAGGAATCTTCATTACCTCTATTTTCTCTATGTTCACCTGTAGTCCTATCTTTGATGCTTCTTCTGCCAACTTGTTGCTTTTCACTTGCATATCTTCTAGTTTGTTGGAAATCAGACATATATCATCGGCGAAGTCCAGATTTATGTTGCTTACACCCAATTGCTTAAAATAGTAGTGTCTTTTTTGTGAGTTTTTTTCTGACTTTACTACTCGAACAACCAACTTTAATGTGATGCGTACAAGTACAGTACAAACGAGATTATCAGTTGCTGTGTAATAACCAAAATTGACGGCTGTTATTAATGGTCTAATTTTAGCAACCTATCTGTCTGTTTGTGAGTACAATGGTATTTGTTGTGCATCAATAAAACGACGATGAGAAGTATTAAAACACGTGAAGGATTTGTTTGTTTTTTCATCATCTCTACTACTAACACAGACAACTTTATATACAGTAGTCCATTTTACCCTTCATAATGAATAAATAACTTTTATGAACTTCAGTAAGTGAGATACCTGTCTCTTTGAGAGATGCTTTTACACATCGAGAATGATAAAACAGAAGCAGTTAAACAGATCTATTAATTTAACAATTAATAGACTACGAGGGAACAGGAAATCAGAGTGAGGTCATACTGTCGATTGTTACGAAGAGCGTAACCACGATTAAATGTTTTCTTCCCCCACAGTGTACCTTCTCCTCTGTGTGGAATGGAAGAGCCATAAATCACACCACTGAGACCCTCTACGAGAGAGAGACACACACCCAAAGACAAATCAACGTGGAATCTTCCACAAAAATGTCCTAATTCCCCTGAGTAACTTTCAGAGATCGATACTACAATTGGTAAAATAAGTGCAAATGAAGATAGAATAATGAAACGAAAATAAGTTTGGAGGTCAATACATCTGTGGTATTTTCAGTCATGTGATCAACAGCCTCCAACTACCCGATGATTGAAACCGCAGGGACTCTAACCAAGTATAGACTACAACACTGTCCTACATGACTGAGACTAGCAGTTAAAGTTAGGCATATTTAAGTGTGACTTCACAACAAAACTGTAATTCAAAGATCCATGCTCTTTGGACTGTACAGTTAGACTTCTTAGATTGACAAGGTTAAAGTCTAATTTTTCAGTTGCTTCAAGAAGACTTAAACGTCACGATACAAACAATACTGAGAAGTATCGATTGCCTGTAAAACTTTTATTACACTCAATTCCTCCTATCAATATTTTTTTCAAAACACAACGACATTGTCTCTTCGAAAGTATGCCGATTCCGTAAAAGTTTATTTGATAATACCACACACACACACACAGATTGATACAGTATTAATAATTGGATGACAACTCTAGGAACACACTGCATCGCTTATAATCATATCAATGTATTCACCCGACTTTCTAATTTGTTCTATATAATTCTACTTTCACCCGTTTTTAACATAGTTTCCATAACCCACCCACCCCCAGGATCACTGAATGTATCGGTTGTAGATTCGATTAAAACACAAATTCAGTAATTAATCTATTTCTATCCAACTAATTGTATCACTTCTTCATATCTAAACCCATCCTACTGTGTGATTGGATACAAGTCAAAGAACAGCAGTGGTGGAGCTTCCTTCTGGATTAGTTAACTTTGTGGTTTCGATCACTCTAGCTCTATCCGAATTTCTATGTTCTAATAATCCTAACTGACCCCAATTTACTAGTCTCATCTAATATAACTGACCTCACATTCATCACATGATAATTTGTGGATTATGTTATTTCCTCTGATTAGTTCACTGAGATCCTTAAGTCGAAAAACGTTTATCTCTGAGGGAGAGTTGACTGCTTTAAATACCACCCAAATTCTAACCTTATTAAGAATCCTACAACACAAGGTCTCTGATATTCCTTCCTTATAATGATTGTATAACAGCAGCTTTAAATTCCTCATTATTTAATTCAGTTTTTTAGAAGCCTTGTGTAAGATTTGAATGCAATTGGAAAACACTGATTATCGTAACCTGCTTCAATGAAAAGGATATAAAAATAAGGTAAACCGGTAGCATAAGAATTTCAGAAATGAACGCATCACTGTAAAACTGACAGGTCGATAACCTGCAGATGAAAGAACTTGTTGAAAGTTACACTTATGCCTGGCGTTGGATTGTACCACTGTAAACCTATACCCACTATTTTTTTAAGGACAATCATCAATATCCACGTCCTGCGGTGATGTTGCTGCCCCCATTCTTTATTATCAATAAGAGTAGAGTTATACCTTACCCTTGACGATTGCTACTCTTGATATGTAGACAGATAAACAGTGGATTATCCTTTATTGGTGATATAGTGATCAAGGTCAGCCGGGAAATAAACCAATCAGAATTGGCCTACATAAAAAACCCCACTATTTTATTGATCATAATTGTAGACTCATTGACGCAGGCCTTGATGATTTTTCGAATCATATATTATTGTGTAAAATACACCATGGCTAATACTGAAATATGCTTTTCACCTCACAACGTTGTGTGTTCTCGCTTAAGCAGAGCAGGCTTGGAACCGACTGACTGGTTTCAACGTAGAACTTTGCACAGATGTGCAGCAGTTTAAGTTGCCACACTCCCTCCATGTACCACATAAAGCAAGAGAGAGACTCATCAAAAGAGAGATAAATACAAGTGTGAGTGAGGGAAAAAGAACAGTAATATGGAAGAACAACAGAGTTTTACTGGATATGAGAAATCACAAAGAGTGAAAGCATCTGCGCCATCCATTGACAACAATTTTGAGCCATATCACCAATTTTCTCCAGCCTTCATTCGTTCTTACCATCCCGAGGACCACAACAAGCAAGTATACACCTCCCGACGTGACTGCCTGGTTAAACTGACTGTTGCGGATTCCATTGACTGATGAAGCTATGTTTTAGTTTGACCACCACTAGCTCTTTTCCAACCTAATCATATATCAGCTAACATTTGCCGTCGAGGAGAGCAATGGCTAGGCAAGCATAGCACATATCCTAACCATCTCTCCTAATCGATGTAACTTCACAACCTCATCGATCGATTTTCCCTCCTTACCTAGCACTCGACGCCTAACCTCAATATTACTCACCCTATTATGCCGTCGAACACGCGGGCCGGAGAACCGGTAGCTGTCGTATAATATTGTTGGCATAGTCAAGTGGTATTGGTAACCAGCGTGTCAGTTGTGTCCAACTCGTTACACCTATTTCAACCTCAATATTACTGCGAAATATAAAAGTGGTGGCATCTATAACAACCCTTCATGGTTATTTAGCCTCTTGTGCAGTTTAATGAGGGATAATATGCACACATAAATGCTGGTAAATGATATGAGACTGCCTCTACTATTTGTGGTCATAAGTTAAACCTGACAAATGTGCACTGTACTGTATAAGCCAACAAACCGAATTCAATACAAATCAAACTTCTAAATAAGTTAGAAACATCGTAGAGTAATATAGAATTCAGTTGGGAAAAGAATAAGAATGATTAAGCTAGAGGAGATATCCCCCAGGCGATATCAATAATCACTGATTACCAATACTATCTCATAGATCAAAATTTGTTTACAGTGCCTAGAATCTATTTTACTTTCAAAGATTTGAGTATACTAATTATAATCGTTGTTTCAGTGGGTGATGACTGAATGTGAAATGCAAATCTGAGTCATACGTCAGGATTCGAACCAGAGGGTTTCGAATTACTAGTCTGACACTTTACCAGCTGACCTATGAGACTCAAGTACTAACCAGGTCATCATTATTTCACTGCAATCACCATGGAGGATCGACTATCTTTCATATCTATTCTGTTTAATTTAATATTTTACCACTTCCAATCCTTACTAATTGTGTGACACCATACTTCTCGGAAAATTCCAATCAGGACATGTAGATAAAGAGAGCACTCTTTTCTAGAATTTCTTATCAAGGTTTACAATCGCATATACAACCCGCATCGGAGGTTTAATAGTAAAATGCTAGACAATCACGCAAGTGATCGAGGTTCGATTCCCCGCCGACGCACTCCTAAGCCTCACTTAGCCGCTAGTAAGCCTGGTAAAGAGAGAGAAGGTTGTACATGGGGTTAGTAACCCCACCCCGTAAAGAACACTATAAGTACTGAAGCTTTAAACCACAAGCTTGAAGCCCTATGTTCGACTTGGAACGCAAAGGAATGAAAAAAATATCCCCTGAGGAAACTTAAACAATAAATGTTGTAAATGAATGTGAACATTGAACGTTGGTTCATTGGCCTTGGTCGCCATTGGCGGGCAACTCGAAGGCGCGAGTGATTCGATCGTGTACAAGTTGGAAGAAGACAAAGGAATACGAATAAAAGTACTAGTACATTCCGTATAAAACATTTGTTTATAGACTTTGTACCGATATCGATTTTAATTGCCGAACAATACAACTTATTACAAGTCCTTGTGTTTTGGAGTTAAAGTCGATAATCGTTCATAGTAATTGTCGATTCGGAGCGTCTCCGCAAATAATAAGAACTTAGGGTTAAGTTCCTTGACAAATGTGAATGATAATGTGAATTGCGACAAAATACTTGTGATTATAGGAACAAATAAAAATCATAGTTAAACATGAAGCGATAAAATAGGTAGTGTAATACATAAAATCTTAGAAAGAGGTGTAAAATTAATAAGACTGATGGTAAGCAAATATAAGACATTATGCAACACGGTGAGAAGTTTGATAAGGTGACATTGCAAAGACTTACAACACTGTCTGATAATTTGTATTGTTGCATATACATATATTCAAGATTCTATGTGGAACTGTGACTCAGTGATCTAGGCACTCGACTTCCAACTACTGGATCACGAGGTTTGGGCAGTAGCTAAGTCGTATCATTAGTCCTCACACAACAGGTATGGCCCATCACCTACTGCATAGAATCACAGATGATTGTTGAGTAACATTCCATTTAAGATTCTATGTTAATCAACTATTACAACTGGGGGGGGGGGGTATGCATGACTCAGTTCGACATGTTATCAGAGCTGATAATCTCAATAATTTAGTAATACCACCGAATCTATGGTGTACATCGCTTCAGGAATTCGAAAGGATCTACTGGTGCATGAACCTGTTTCATTCACTATCAATCGTGGGAATGTAGCTTCTGACGCTGGTCTGACTTCAAGTTAAAGGCTCGAAGGGTGGTCCCTTGAGACGAACACTTGCTTCGGTTTGGGAGTCCGGGCAGTAGTATCCCAGCCCTGGCACAAACAACGAGTTCTCGTGTGATGCATCTGTTGGTGCCCATAATGTATATGAGTATATGAGAAATAAGAAGCAGATAGCCAGCCTCTCTGTCTGTCTGTCTATCTACCTGTCTGTCTGTCTATCTGTACCTCTCTAGACTTAAACAAAAATCATATAGTAGAATATAGTGTATAGGCGTAGGCGTAGGCAACAAACAAACTTGCAAAACTTACCACATTTGGTTTATTCTCCTTTATGAATCGATCACGAAATTGCTGAAAAGACAATCAGAAGAGAAACAAAGTAAATTACATAATTAAGAGTAAAGTGTTCGTGTATGTACATATCAGATTAAACACTGTGTTATTATCATCACTTATAACATAATCTTTTGCGTGAATAAAATTTTTTCTTTGCTTTTTAAAAACCCACGCACATATTTAACACACACACACACACAAACATTTTAAGTATTAATCGACACATAGACTAGACTGATGCATTAGGATTCCTAAATCACCAAAAGCATTTCTAACAGGCTGGAGACTTTAATCAACACACTTTAATCCTTCACTCAACACACTGAAGATCAGATAGCCGATCAGAAATGACAAGCAAAAAGAAACTCTGATAGCGAACCAATCAACAGCCCTGCTGTCCAACAAATATGCCGGAGGAAATGGAGACAGATCAGACACACACACACATAGACACTGAGAAGACTGTTGAGTGACATTACGCGCCAGGGAGACGACAAGCTTGGCGTCGCTTCGAGGTGGATGTGGAGGAGATGAGAGCCTATGGGGAATCGTGGAGCCCAGCTACAGAGGACTGCAGAGAAAAAACTAAAATGGCAAGTTAGTGAAGAAGTATCATTCAAGACTTACAAGCGTATTCATAGAATAGGTATTGAATACGATCTGCTGGTAATAAAGCCTATGGATGCTGACTACCTAACTGTTTCAACCTTTTCTGAAATTAATTTCATTATTTTTCAAAAGAACAGTCTTCTGGATAACCTGCTCCTCATCAGGTTCTAGTGTTCTATATTCATAATAGTGAATGAATGAATTAGTGTTATTAACAACATTAATGTTGTGTAAACAACATCGAATCGATAACATCAGTAGATTACGGTTCAATAGAATCAACATAACAATAAACTGAATGTCAGGAAAATTAGGAAAGATAGTAATACAAATTCATGAATTTATAGTCTCCACTAAAGGACGGCCAGGGCAGTAGCAGTGGCTGTCTGGACTTGCCTCTTTTGCACACAAAGCACTGGTTGTTTCACGCGGATCACGACAACCTCTGCTGTTTGGAGTATGCGGTACCTGGATGCTTTTGGCAATTTATTTGGTACTCAGTATATGACAGAGAAGGATTCTGCAATGCTGGCTTTGTGGCCGGCAAGTTCGGACCAGGTGGTCTAATATCGAGCGAGTGATGCTTCTAATTACACCTTTATTTATTCTAGGTAAATAATAACGAAGAAGTTAAGAACTTTTAATGTTACAGGATATTCATCATGAGCTGATATTAGTTAGAGAACCATTGGAAAACCTGGGAGTACTGGACAGCTGTTTCGTCGTAGTTTGGGACTCTTCATCAGCACGCACCCACCGGGATTCGAACTTTTAATGTTGGTAAATTACAAGTCGTATTTTCTACACGACCGATGGTAATTCCTCGATTGAAAGATGAAGTACCTAGACTAGACACTTCAAATTGTATCTACCAACTCTACTGCGCTTGTGGAGCGAGTTGTATTGGTCGTTGCTCTAAGAACTTGATTTTTTGTGCTCGCTCGAAGCATCTACTGTGGTGAGAGCTGTGTGCTAGCTAAAATTGGTAGACAGCAATTTACGTCAATGTTTACGTCCGAAATCTTGGTCATGAGAAAAAAACAAGAACAAAGGCTAACTCAACAACCAATAACAGCAGACTTTGCGTGGGCTGATACGATTTGCAGATATATGGTCTGACCTTTGAAGAAATGACCACAAAGAGATGACAGAATAACTTCCAGTGAGAAAAAGACCAATCAGAAAATGCTGTTTCTCTGCTAATAATAACGAATAATAATGTACATAAAAATCAATAAATATCTGTTGATTTCCTCAATAAAGGATCTGTTGCTTGGTCCTTGTCTGCTGTCGTTACACTACCAGTATGGCTAAATAAAGGTGTAGTAAAAACCATCAACAGTTCGATATTAGACCACCTGGTTCAAACTGTCCACAAAGCCAGCATTGATGAATTCTTCTCTACCATCTACCGAGTACCAAATAAATTGCCAAAAGTATCCAGGTACCACGTACTCTAAACAACAGAGGCTATCGCAATTCACCTGAACAACCCGCCCTCTGTGTGCAGAGGAAACACGTCCAGCCAGCCACTACTACTCCCTGGCTAGCCTTTAGTGGAAACTATAAATTCATGAATTTGTATTATTATCTTTACTAATTTCTCTGACATTCATTCAGTTTATTGTTATTTTGATGCTATTGAACTGTTATCTACTGATGTTATTGATTCGATGTTGTTTACAGCACATTATTGTTGTTAATAACACTGATTCATTCACTATTATGTATGTTTATATAACTGTAGAACCTGATGAAGAGCAGATTATCGAAAAGACTATTCCTTGTTCAATAACCATTCGTTTGAAAAATTTTAATAAGCATTTTTAATCAATTAATTTCATTATTAATTATGCTGACAACCTGATAAGTGCGTCGGTGGCATAGCGGTTAGGACGCTCGCTGACCATGCACATGGTCCGGGGTTCGATCCCAGGCCGACGCACTCCTTTACCTCGCTAAGCCAGAAACAAAGCTGGTAAAGAGGAAAGGTTGGGCATGAGGCTAGCAACCCCATCCTGTAAAATGATAAACACTGCTACAGAAACTTCAAGCCACTAGCTTGAAGTCCTATGTTCCACTGGGGAACGTGAAGGAAAAAAAGAAAAAAAATGACAACCTGACAGAGTCTGTTCAATTTGTCTCTTAATTAGATCGTAATTATATGAAGAGTTTCCTATCTGAAGTTAACCAGTGGTCTTATTCATCAAATGGTCTGAAAACTGAACTCCTTTAAATGTCAGACTGTTAATCTTAGTTTCAGGCGTGACCAAGACACGTGTGGACTGCTTCGATTGCATGGTTATTCCACGATGAACGAATATCGAATATTACTTTTTCGAGTATCAGTTTTTTTTCCTGTCTAATCTTTGTTCATCGTCTAATATCATGTCAATTTCAAGAGTAAAATCTTTGCTTTGACATACTACATAAGAAAATTGACGCTTCCAAGCAGAACTCAGCAGCTTGTTTTACAACTTACTAATTCATATATTCTATCCATCCATCTTAACTGTTCTGCCCTATTCATTCCCGAGCTTCTGAGAAAAAAGCCTTCGAAGGCTGTAAACACGGTTAGTGACTTGCTTCTAACCCAACTAACTGACATTGTTGTTGATAAGCACTTTAATTCGTTCAAATAAATTGGCTAAGGTCATCTATGTCAGATATTGAACATCCTCTTTATTCGCTCGCAATTTTTTTCCTTGTATCTCTTCGGGAGTAAAACCAGAAGAAATTCCACAAGAATTTATGCTCGTATAGCTGAATGAATATGAAAATTTCAACCAGTCCGTATTTAACGCAAGTGTTGTGTGAAGACACAACTGGCAGAAAAGAACTAATAAACCTACTTTATAACCTACAGATTAAAGTGATTATTATTATTGTTATTTTACAGTGGATGGAGCTGAGTGGAGTTCCTACTTGCTACTGTTGACTATTTGAACTAATCACTCATACCTCTCTACACATATTAGTTAAACGAACGCGAATATTATAGTCGTTATTCCCTTGGGTCCCAACTAGAACATAGGGCTTTAACAACGCACCACCACTTTGTCCTGTGTTCCCTATATAGGCATCTTTAGCTGGCTCTCCGATTCCCCATAGGCTCTCATCTCCTTTACACTAACCTCAAAGTTGCGCCAAACTTGTCGTTTCTCGTTCGGGTTCCACTTGAGGTTCTGCTCGGAGCGTGAAGTCACACAACAGTCTCCTCAGAGTGTGTCTGATCTACCCCCATTGCCTTCGAAATACTTTTCGAGTAATAGGTTGTTGATTGGTTCGTTCCCAGAGTTTCCTGTTGCCTATCCTTTCTAACTATACGCAACCGATCTTCATAATCGATCGAAAGCAGCAGAGATCAATAAGCTCATGATGATTAGGTTTTCCCCCTTAAAGTCACGGATTGGCGAAAATCAGAATTTATAGGCTATTGAGTTCCTTTCCAGTGGTTGAATAGTCGAAGGCCTCTCCACAACCTGAAAGTCTTCGTTTCAATCCCTTTTGGGGGGTTATGGATGCATCCTGCTGAAGAATGACGAACTGGGATGAAACAGCTGTCCAGTACCCCTTGCTGCTTCTCAATGTCTTTCTATTTTATGTGTGCAATATATACATATATAAAAGCAGGTAAAGCGGGAAAATTCTTACCAATAAATCTGACAATAATTCAACACGATATTCTGTAGCAAATGTTAACTCATGACGTTTACGATTCGAATCCAATAAATCCATAATAAAACGTTTAAGATGCGGTTGACTCGACTTGGTGTTATGATCTATTCTCACTTCAAAGATTTCTTCATATGTCCACTAATAAAATATAAAATAGGATGAAATTATTTGATTTAAGTAGTATATGTATATAACATATAAAAAAAGAAACGGTTTGTGTCATTCTCCATGCTACCTAGAAGAGGCAACAACACCACTGTGGAAACCGTTAAGTAGGAACTGAAATGTTATACGTTTTGATGCAAACGACATGGGAATCAACACACATATTCTGATTATCCGTTTTATGTAGATTCCCGGTAATTTCAACGTAGATATCACCACGAATCAAGATCAGTTACAGAAAGTCATTAAAATTCAGAGTGAAGTAAGCTTGTAACGGTAGAAGATGAAAAATTTGGTGAAGGAATTTTTATTTATGCAATTCCGTATCTCTATATATAGCGAAATTATGTATACCTTATCTTCAATGCCACACCATTTGCACAGATCTTCCGTGTTGTACTACTTCTGCCGTTCCCTCATATTGTGCTTCTTTGGGTTCCTTTCACGCCTCCCATGTATTTCCGCAACGCTGTATCATCTGCTCTCTCTGACATCAAATCTATCTCCCTGATATTTAATGTGTTTTATGCCGATAAACACCTCATTTATATACTACTGATAAATCTTATCGGTAGCACACGCCACAGGCCGCTTAACGATGGTACTGGTTAGTTAGTGGTGCTATATCGCAAATTAACCCAATGACAGAATGGTTAACGAGCTGACTTTGTAGCCAAAGGATCCAGGTCTAGATCCTCCGTCCAGAGTGGTTATGGATGTGTACCGCTGAAGAGTCCCAGACTGTGGCAAAACAGATGTCCAGCATTCTCTGCTGGTTTTCAATGGTTCTCTAACTGATGAAATTGAGATACACGCTGCAATCCAAATATTTATCAAAAGACCTACTTATTTGATTGGACACTAGTAACTAGTGTGACGTGTCTAGTCCCTACTTTGGTGCAGACTGGATTCGATCAGTCAGGTTTGCAATGTGGCCACCATTCTAGGTAGCTCACCATCACAGTGCACGTCTCTGACTCCAGGTGGTACTGTGTGACGCGGGTTCGAATCTCAGAAGGGATATGAGTTGTTCCTTCAAGGTTGCAGATACGCTTTGGTGACTGGTGAGTGCCAACTAGCACGAAGCCTAGGTCGAAGGCTGGGCTTCCTGTGGCCGATTGCCTCCAACTATCAAATATCACCAGACTTACTTATTGGTAAACACTCATTGAGGTGCTATCTTCCAGGTGTTTACACACCCTGTTACAACATGAATTCATTGATCCAGTTATCCACAGTCTTTGCCACCAAATTGAAATCTATTCATCAAGATAAATTTACATTACACCTACACACACACACACATCACACATATCCAAGTATATATTATTGCAAGTGCTAACAAACACACGAATTTCGTCATCTAAACACTACTAATCAATACATGCGAAAGCATTAACTGACATTAAATAATATTCTGTTTATCGAAAATCTAAAAATATTTTATATGCTTTACGATCTCGAGCGCGTCAATCGAATTCGGTGATTTTATATACTATTGCAGCTACTCAGGGAATGCGCTCTGTAGCCCAAATCTGTAGAGAGATTGATGGCTCCTTCGTATGCATGTGTGATTATACATGCATATTAAATTGGTAAACACAATTGGATGTACGTAACTCAATCGTTCAAATACTATGACGGCTTACAGACATAAAAGTGAGCTAAGTAAAATATTTAGTTCTACAGAGTCCGTCCCACTTTGAATCTATTGTTTAGTGAGCTGAATTTGGTAGTCACCCTTGAAATAATGAGGTTGTTCCACGATAGCGTATAACTGAACAGTCACTGCGATGTAGGATAATTAATCCGTAGAAATGGTAAAATGATTTATTTGGCAAAGTTTTGAAAAAGTAACTTTAACCACACGACAGGAATAAAAATAAATAATTACAAGAAATGATTTGGAGTACAATTGGTGGGTGGTGACTGACGCACATTTCGTCCTATTTGAGACTCGTTAGCTGGATGTACCTGCATTCCCCGGTAAGTGATGATGTTCCCACCACGGAGGCTCAAACCCAGTGCCCATAGTTTCAAACGCCAAAGCGTTATCCACTAGACCACTTGGGCCACGAGAACCACCTCTTGTGCAACGGGTCATATTAATTATTCAATTGAATGCAGATACATCCAGCTGGAAGACGAGTCCCAAATAGGACGAAATGCGCATCCTGGATTCCACTGCTCAGACATCGTCGAAGCACCTGCACAAGAAGCTGACATGTCAACCTGAGACCGAGCACTTCTGTCCAATCAATAGACGGGAAAATCTAAAATTCAATTAAATGATTTGTAATACACCCGTAAATTAAATAAACAACAAATTTGAAGACATTAAATTCACACAAGAGAAGAAGAACTAGACAGAGAAATTTCATTCTTAGATGCCTTAATCATCAAGAGGATAAACATAGGAAATCTGGGAACACAAGTATACAGAAAACAAGCACGCACACACAGATCAAACACTCAACTACAACAGTAATATAATTGGACAGTACACAAAAGAAACTGCCTACAAAGATTGCTTAAAAGAGCTGAAACACACTGCAGCACTCCAAGTCCTGAGGTGAACAAAAAAGAAATATATTTATCAACTGTCTTTAAGTAAAAAGGGATACCCAAGAAGAAATCATCCTCAAAGATCATAAGAAAATTGATTCTACCCCCCCCCATATATACAGAATATCTCTGAAATAAATGGCTTGAATATTTAAGACCATTTGAAATAGACATAGTAGACAAGCCGATGCGCAATCACTTTATTCAATATTCTGCAGACCAAAGGATCCAACCAACAGCAAAAGAAGAAAAGATCAATGCCATTTAGGAAATAAATTGGATAAATTGTGGTAAACAGTTAGCTGTGACGAAAAGACACGATACGTATTCTTCCATCATATCACAATGCGTGTAGATAATTACGGAGACCAATTTGGTTGAGAAAGTGTAGAAATTTCAGACAGTGTAAACATCAAAAGTGCCAGGGAACCTCTTACAAGTTTGATAGTCACATGAATCAGCAATTAACAGACACATTACTCTATAGATCAAACTTACAAACCAATAAAGAATAAGCCATACGACAAAAAGATTCAAATTCCAAATCAATAGAAATGACAACCAATCACAATTGTCTGTCTGTCTATCTATCTGTTTTTGACATAGAACTTTGCACATATGTGCGACAGTTCAAGTCGCCACACTCCATGTAGCACACAAAGCAAGAGAAGAAAGTAGAAGAAATGCATAATATAGACAGTTGACAGGGATGTGAGGCAAAAAGAATAGTAATAACGAAGAACAAAACAGTTTCATTGGAAATCATAAGTCACAAGGAGTGGATGCATCTGCGCCAGCCATTGAGAACGATTTTGAGCCATGTCACCAATTGTTTCCAACCATTGGTTTTTACCGTCCCGAGGACCCCAACGAGGAAGTCTACACCTTCTTACGTGGCCTAGACTAACTGTTGTAGATTTTATTGACTGGTGCCATGTTTTGGTTTGACCACCGCTAGCTCTTTTCCAGCCTGACTCTATATCAGCTAACATTGGCCGTCGAGGAAGGCGATGACTAGGCATACGTAACACATGTCCTAACCATCTCAGTCGATGTAATTTCAGTCTCGTCTATTGATTTACCCTCCTTACCTAACACTCGACGCCTAACCTCAATATTGCTCACCTTATTATACCACTTCACGCGGGAGATAGAACGCAGACACCTATGATCGAAGACAGCTAATCTTTTCATGTCTTCTGCTCTCAATAGCCAGGTCTCACAGCCATAAAGGAAGACGGAGTGGACTGTTGAGCAGTACACACGCCCTTTGGTCGATAGTCGGATATCACGTCTACGCCAGAGACAGCGTAAACTGGCATATGCGAAACTAGCCCTCTGTATTCGTACTGAGATTTCGCCAGAGATCAACCCGTTGGTGCTGATGGTACTTCCCAAATAAGTGAAGCGGTCAACGTGCTCTACCACTTCACTTCCTATTTCTAATATAGGAGTCGGTGTAGTCCAATCCTGCAACATCATCTTACATTTTACAGGGGCACATCGCATGCCAAACATACGAAGATTGCTGCTCAAGGTGTTCAGAAGATCAATCACAGCAATGGTTGTCAGGAGGAGATACAATTATATCATATTCACGTGAGAGAGAGAGAGTGAGAGTGAGAGAAAGAATTCAATCAAGTTCACTTCATATTGAAGCATGCGCTGAAGTGATGTTGTCTAGAAGGGCTATGAAAGCTTTGCAATTAAATCAACCAGCTTAGAGAACATAACCAAATGAAAATAAAAGCTTGTATTAACTAAATAAATCCTAAATAAAGTGTCAAATTACGCTTTATAGTCAGAAAAGTAAAAAATAATATTTATGCTAACCTGATTTGTCACTCTTAAGGTGTCTTTATTATACGTCGTGACACCGAGTGTACCGATTGTAAAGAGACGTTTATAACTGTGAAATGAATAATAAAAAAACCAGATGAGAGAAAATTTGATTGTGAGAGTGAAGTGAATTATTTTAAAAATATAAAAATAGGAATCTAAGTAGTATAGTTCACAATTTAACCCAGTTCAAGCTACCGCATGTATCAAACAGTATAGGTATAAAACTCAACTACGACAGTAAATTTTAAAATGGGCCCTAAAAGGGAATCAGTAAAGACTGAACATAAATGCGGAAAAAAATAATATATACTTTGAACAGTGTCCCTTATGGGATTTAATCACTCAAACTCACTTGTAATACAGAATCATACAAAAAGGCTCACTTTTGGTACTTTCCAGCTTTCGTAATCTTCGGTGACAGCGAAATACCACTTGGCTATCCATCAAAAAACGTGTATACTAAACAGCAGCTCGCTTTGTCCTACCTTACAGTTGAGATATGATTATTGAAGTTTAAAATAAGAAAAAACTAGCAGTCTTTTGAAATAAACATGCCTTCATTCAATCTTCCCTCTGTCATAATGAGGTTAAGTATATAGTATTTGTTAGGGGGAGGGGGGAAGTCAATCGATGAGGTTGTAGAGCTTCATTAATTCACATATCTAAGACGTGTATTACACTTACCAAGCCGATACCTTCCTCGACAAACAATGTTAGCTTGGAATAGGGTTACGGCTGGTCACAACAAGATGTGGCACAATAATAGTTGCATCCACATTAATGCACTTTGACAGACTGACTGATTGGTTCCAACACAGAACTCTGCACAGATCTGCAGCAGTTTAAGTTACCACACTCCCTCTATTTATCACACAGAGCAAGAGAATAGAGCAAAGACAGATTCAAGAGAGAGACAACAAACAGAAGTGTGAGGGAAAAGGAGTATTAACATGGAAGAACAATAAAGTTTAACTGGATATGACAAATCATAAAGAATGGATACATCTGCGCCATCCACTGACAACGATTTTGAGTCACATCACCAATTGTCTCTAGCCCACACTGGTTCTTATCATCCGGAAGACCCCAACCAGGAATCCAGTCTACACCTCCCTACGCAGCTGGCCAGCTTAAACTGACTGTTGTGGATTTCATTGAAGCCATGTCCTGGTTTGACCACTACCACTAGCTCTTTTCTAACCTGATCCATCCTAAGTCAGCTAACACTGACCGCTGAGGAAGGCGATGGCTAGGCATGCAAGCGTAACACATGTTCTAACCATCTCAATCGATGTAACTTCACAACCACGTCGATTGAGTTCCCATTAATGGACGTTGTAAAACATCGAAGGAAAGAGAACTATTTTGTCACTTCTCTAGGAAGTAACCAATGTCATAGCGACAAAGAACTGTGGTAGACAACCAACCAAGAACATACTGTCCAACACATATGCCAAAAGAAATGAAGATGGATCGGACATACACAGAGGAAATGGCTTTAGTGACATAACGCCCCGGGCTCACTAGTGGAACCCGAGTGCAACACGGCGGAGATCGTGTGAGAAGTAAGTGAAAACTTATGGGCAATTTCGGAGTCAACTAAAGAAAAGACTTCAGAGAAAAATGATGAAATGACGATGTGCTGTTGAAGCCTTATGTCCCACGCGGAACCTAATGTCATGTTTTTGATGCTTAGTGACGGTACAATTGAATTCTGTCAGTCGAGTTTATAAACCAGTCACTAAAATGGGTGACTCACTGTCACGATTGCTTCTGACCACAGAACTCGAGGACGCAGGTCGAAACCCCTGAGAAGGCACCAATTCCCTCGAGGCCATGGATACGCCTTACTGACAAGGGCCATTAAACACGAAAGCTTAGTCTAGGAACTATCGTTGACTGCCTCCTAACACCTAATATGACAAGCTTTATACATCAGATGTGGAAGTCTATAACTTTAGACTGACTAATCATTGCATGGATTCAGCTTAAAGAATGCTACCTCCAAATATTTTCTATCTTTGCTTACTAGCTTTGAGTTAAACCACTTAATTCTGAAATGCCAATCACAACTCTAATAGTGTGTATTCAAAAGAATATACAAGTAAATTCCTTGTCTTATATAGAGTCATAGGTTGAACAAACCAATTCTGACATTATGAATTATCAACAAAAAATTACAAAAACATGCTTGAGAAAATCAGTTTAACAGCTCAAAATATGTGGCTTAACTTACTTTCCTTTCCATGACATCTTTGTCAAGAGATAACATGATATCTCTCGATTCTTTTGCATACATCCTCTCCGCATATCACTAGGCTGAAAGTAAAAACAAAAACTACTATTATTGAAGTAGAAGATATGTAAAGACAAAATATTCACACCGCTGGTTAACAGTTATTACATTATAGGTGCGTTTAAGCTTAAGATCTAAGATTTAGTATGGCTCTGTTTCTCCTCATCTTAATATTTACCGCATGCACATGGTGACAGTTAGAAATCATGTTAGTTTGACCAACTGACTGACTGACTGTTTTCAAGATAGAACATTGCACAGATGTGCAGCAGTTCGAGTCGCCACACTCCATGTAGCACACAAAGCCAGAGAAGAAGTAAAAAGAAACGCAAAATAGAGACAGTAAACAGAGATATGAGGCAAAAAGAATAGTAATATCGAAGAACCATATAGTTTTATTGGGTATTGTAAGTCACAAAGAGTGGATGCATCTGCTCCAACCACTGAAAACGATTTTGAGTCATATCACCAATTGTCTCCAGTCGTCGTTGGTGTTTACCGTCCCGAGGACCACAACCAGTAAGTCTACATCTTTCTACGTGGCTTAAACTAACTGCTGTGGATTTCATTGACTGAAGAAGCTATGTTTTGGTTTGACCACCAATGGCTCTATTCCGACCTGATCATATGTCAGCTAACATTGCCTGTCGTCGAGGAAGGCTATGGCTAGGCATGCATAACATATGTCCTAACCATCTCAATCGGTGTAACTTCACAGCCTCATCTATTGATTTCCCCTCTTTACCTAGCACTCGACGCCTAACCTCAATATTGCTCACCCTATTATACCATTTCGCACAGTGCCTGTGTTCTATCTCCCGTGTAAAGAGGGGAAATCAATAGATGATGCTGTGAAGTTACACCGATTGAGATGGTTAGGACATGTGTTATGCATACCTAGCCATCGCATTCCTCGATGGGCAATGTTAGCTGACATATGGTCAGGTCGGAATAGAGCCAGTGGTGGTCAAACCAACCGATGATACTGTGAAACATCCTGACGAAGGCCTTTGTTAAAAATCCAGGAACATTTCTGAAGACTAAAGTCTCTGCTCATTACTTGGTCTGTGCTTCGAATGGTGTCTTAAAGACAACTTAGGATTAGTTGAGAGAAGTGTTTTTGCAACACATTTATATGGCTACAAAGAAGGAACTATCCCCCAATGGATTAGAAGCACTTGCTCGTGTCTATGATCAATAGTCACTACAGACCTTATAAAAGGAAGTTAGTGGAGGATAACTAAAGCTAACCCAAAACGACTCTCTCACATTAGGACTAGAAAAATGATGAGACCGGATGAAATACACCCTTGACTTTTGATAGCAATACATCAAAACATTATAAGCCTTTGAAGTTGACATCCAGATGTCGACATTGTGTAAAATATCCATAATAGTCCTATTGAAAATAATTCCAGTCTCTGTAAGTAATTGAAGGGTAAGAAGTCAAGAACTAAGAAGTACCATTTGCTGGGTTTCGGGTTCTCTGAGGTGGATATTGTTTTTGTGAAGCTCTATTTGTGACTTTGGAAAGATATCCTACGTGTTAAACTCGGTTTCCTCGTAAGTAGTGCAATATCTCAACCTGTAGATCTTGGTTACCACTGGCTGCTTTTCTGAATTTTTTATTACTGAATTACTTAAAATAATCCTACTCTGCTCACAGAGTCAAATCAAAGGCTTTCCTAAAGTTCCGCCAGAGAAGCCACAGCCTCTTAGGCAGACTTACTTGTATTCTTATTAAAAATCAAAATATATAGTCATATAGTATCTAAAATAAGATAAATTTGTGTTATTATCGCTTTCACAGAAGTTTTGAGTGGTTATCCCTACTGCCTTAAATCTGATTTTATTTGGTAGAGCATTTCTGTTATGAAGTCTGGTGTAGCCTCTTTAGGAAACAACATTTCAAACATTCACCTGTCAAGACAATTCACTTGATAACGAAAAATAATTAAAAATGAACGAAATATTCCCATAGTGAGTCATAAGAAAAAGACATAAACAGTGAAGAAAATTTCCTTTGCAACGATTCATTTTCATAAGCTGTTCTACACAATCGTGATTATATTTAATAAAGAATTCATAAGACGACCAATCAGATACTTGTAACATCTGTCCTCGAAAATGTATTACTTAATGTAAGGTGTAGTCTAGAAGGAGTGACCAACTGGAAAGTAGAATAGGGGTAGTAGTTGTCTGAAGAAAACATTTCAAGCAGCCACCTTACGCAGACAATTTATGCAGTTAAACGTCAAGCATAAGATATCTTAATGGCCACCTCAACGTGTATTTATCAGTTTACTAGTTCGTTTGGAGCACAGTATATCGGCCGTACGCAACGTCAAGCCCGCAAACGTATTCTGCAACACTGTCCACCTTGGTTAGCCAGAGGAGAAAAGAGGAATACTAGTAGTGTAACAGCAGAAGGTTAGACATGGAAGCCAAGGTATACTTTTCATTGATCAAACCGCTGTTTATATTCTTTAAACAATCATTGAGCGTGTGATTTTGACATGAAATAGAATGTTCAAATACACTGTATTCTGTTGCTAATGCCGTATTGAACTGTGGGAATATGTGAGAATAATATTCCGTTGGCACATATTGCCTGCATCATACCACAGTGGATAGTACTCATAAGATGAAGCCATATCTAAACAAGTCTCATTGGTTTAACTTAATGCCTAAGACCAATACTCACAGTGGAGTGTACGCCGATATTAATCGTAAGAGACAGACCAACATATAAGCTAAACGAACATCTAGCAAGAATTTTATGTTCAACTAGAAATAACTCAAAACCCTAGTTAATTACTTCCTTGGAATTGAAACAAAGGCTAAACACTATACAACTACAGAAAATCGTTAGCTTTGACATAATATGGCTCTTAAGACACTAAGAAAAAGGGCCTAACAGAGCCAAGCTACCAATCGATGGAATCATATTAGGAGTACAATTACACCCAATGTACATAGCTTTTAAAATTCCAAGAAACTACGGACAGACAAACAAGAAGTATCATTTGGATCCCCCAATATTTGCTGTTTGCTACTAGAACTCAGTCACACAGTGCCAGAGAATGACACTTATTGTGAAGGCTGATAATATTACTCATTTGATCAGACTGAAGTAGGTGGAGCGGAACTCGAACCCTGGACCTACTCTATCTGAAAAGTGACGCAACTATGGACAATTAGCTGTGAAAAGCCTTGAATACATTACAACCTCCTCCAAAAGTAGAGTGCACATATGCAGGTGACACAGCAACATAGCCAAACATTTCACACATATAAACTCGGTAATAATTCAAAGTTCAGGTCAAAGATGGATTAGAAGACGAACAAGGAAAACTATCGATGTTAGATTAGAAAATGAGACAAAATAGTAGTCTACATTCAACTGTTCACAATAAAAACTGATACTTAAATTTCAACCCCTCTTAGTCTATCCCGGTTTACTTATATGTGTTTAAGCAACCTAGGCGTAGCTTCCATTGGTTTTAAAATTCTCAATAAGGAATTTGTACCCATTTAAGAAGCACTAATGACCAATGATTGCCCTCCAACTTTACTGAAAAATTTATAAAGCCTAATAAAAAGAAGACGGTAAAGGATAGACGTTAGACAGTTTAAAGCTTTTGTTATGCGGCTATACAGATAAGGTATATTAGGAGTTGTATGTGATATACATAAAATAACTGCGATTACAGAGGCATTTAAACCCAAAAATTCATCCAGACAAGAGCTACACAGGTTGAAGGGCCCGACAGTATCAAATAAGTCAAAAGACCTCATTTTTAGAATACTATGTAACGATTGTAAGTTCAAAAAACCTATGTTAAAGTATTGTACTGGGATGACTCAGAATGTCTGAACACAGAAATCAGGCCAATTATAGACTGATACACCCTGGTAAAATCAGCAGTCCAGAAAGCCGCTGTGTTAAGATTAATAAATCAACTAATAATCATGCTACTAAGGGGGAGGTAGGAAACCCTAGAGAACAATATAGTTTGACAAAGAGATTGATTTTTCAGTCTCTATTTATAGACTTTACGATGAGTGTACCAACTGTGGGATAAGGATTATTTTTTTCGATTCCTATCAAAGTTATATTATTAGTAAGATACTGTGCTATCTTGTAAGTTTCTTCCTTCTCCTAAATGTAATAAGTTGCCCAAATACTTAGACTTTGGGATTATTCTTGTTAGTAAGTCTTTAATTGCATTAGAAGCAAAAGCATGCTATTCTACGTCGCAAATAAGCATTTAAGTCATTACCTCGAGAATAAAATATGCTTGTTGATTATCTTGCAACAAAAATGTCAACGATTTCAAACTAAAGCTGGCACAAATTATGCTTTTACACTAGTGAAAACAGCTGTGTATATGAGTAAAGCTTTACCTAAATTAACTCGCAAACAATTCACAATGGCGAGACCAGAGAAATATAGTAGGAAAGAATATAAAAACCAGGGGACAGATGAACAGGATAAACGAATAGTATAAGTATCATAGGAAATTAGAGAACGATTTGCAAGTAAGGATAAACAAAACCAATAAAACTTTTAATTTTTAATTTTAATTTTTTTTTAATTTTAATTTTATTACAGCTTGATTCAACACAGTATTTTGGTACAAGTATGAAATTTTCAGCATGTGATATCGGTAGCCCAAATTTAGCAGGCCGACCATAGATATTAGGTGTGCGTCGGCGGGGGATCGAACCTCGGACCATGTGCATGGTCGGCAAGAGTCCTAACCGACAGGAATATTTACCGGGTCTTAAATGAATGAGCACATTCCGAGCCACTTGCATAGTCTTGTAGCTTTCTTGAGGCAGCAGAGTGACTGAGAGATGGCGGCCTAAGAACCCAGTGAACTGCATGAAGTTTAATTTTTAAAATAGAATTGCACCGGTGTCATTTCTGCTATAGCTAGCAAATATCCATGTCTTACTAAAGGACACTGTAGTGGCATTTCGGCGATATATTTCTCCTTATGCGGCTTCAGTTTTCACTACTGATAGCATACAGGCTCAATCTTTTAGCTAAGTAATTATACAGAATGTGGTCAAATAATAACCCAGTAAGAGTTCTTACTGATTCATTGTTTTCCTGGGGTTGCTTAGTTTAGATACAACCCAGAAATATTTATAAGATAAAGTGAGATCATGTAGTTTCAGCACTGGGTCTACCTCCCATCATATAATTTAATGTGGCTGCAACAAAAATTTCTTAAGAAATTAACACCACGAGAATAATTGGTTTCCCTATCAATAAATGCCTTCAAGTCTTCAGTGGACTTTTTCAGAGAAAGTTACCGCCGATATTAGCACACCCTAAATATATCCGGTGCCTATACAGTGAAGCCTAAAATATGGACTGAAAACTAACCATTTCAAGGTCGGAAACCAGATATCCCGCTTGTGACCTATGCAGATGCGGGATCAATATGTGTAAGAATCTCAAATAATTTGCTGGTTTTCTAGATATTTTTGTTGACTCTGGGAAGCCGCCACATGTTTACGATCCATAAGATTCAACTTATCACCATGGGTAACTTCACTAATCACGAAATGCAGTCCCACAGTTTTAATAATAGACACAAGTTTTCAAGGTATTATCTCTGGCTTACTTTACCCATGTTCCTTATTGATAATTCTGTGTGAGCGTTAAAAAAATTTTTTCATGTTCAAGGTAATATGCTGATATATTGGTGGTGTCTAATGTATATTCAGAGTAGTAAACGCATTAATGCATGTTTTCCTGCAACGTTTATTTTTCTTGATTTATCCAACTTCATCGCCATTTTCGTGGGTAACTATCTTCATCTGGGTTTTATCCAGGAATGGCACAGAAGTTGACTGGGACATTATACCTAGGAACAATAGGTCTATATCGTGTCCGCTAATGACCAGTTTCCTTTTCTTTTAGTGTCATACGTGTAGTTGCTAGACCCTTTTCAGATGTCGATTTCCACACGAAATTTCATTATTAAACTCAATGACTTACATACAGAGATGTGGCTTTCCCTTAGTTGTCTCTAACCACTTGTTACTGGCAAATATCATATAAAATATAAGAACCCGGGCCTATTTTTATGCAACTCTGCAAACTGACCATACTTTTCAGCAAAAGTGAGTAGTTTCTCCATTTCGACTTGGTCCCACATATTGACCAATATACGCATCAGACTATTAGGTGATAATTTGGCGCGTCAAATAATGACCCTTTACCATCCCACAGCTATTGCTCACTGGGAGAGACAACGGGAATATTTCTGTTAGTTGCACGTAAATCATATCAGCCAGGGATAACAAGAGCCCACGATGTTATCTGTCAGCATCTTCTGACGTGAAGTGCTTCAGAATCTTGGACCATCCAAACGCCACCTTACTATCCACCGACGTCAGAAATGATAAATATTCTTCAACAACGATACTACTTAATACCTCTACACTGCTGTCAGACGGAAACACCTGATTGAGGTATTCTAACAGTTCAAATTTCCAGATACTTGATTAATAGATTTCGTGTTTCGAAATTGGTTTACGCTGCAGCGTACCTAGAACAATATGACTGGACAGCTTGACGCTTCATGCAACCAATCCAAATCAGCTGTTATCTGTCATCCACAACAATTTTGTGTGAAAATAACTATATACGACGCAAATTTGTCCTGTTAAGTGGTACCTGTAGTTAAAAGTAGGTCCTTATTGTTCAACATTTAAATGGCTGAATGAATTGAGGTATTTGGCGTCTAGTTAGATGCTTTGTTGTGTGCAGCATAATCAGTAGCCACCTCTCACTTCACACAGACTATAATGCTGCATTCAGAGACGACCATCCGGCCAACAGAGTGAAGAGGAGAATATCAAATGCACTAAAAAGCACATTCTCTGCCGCTACAATACGACTCGTATTCTCATATAGCCCAGTGCTCTTCAACAAACCTAAACATAAACTATTACATTTGACCACTTCTGTGTATCTACCAATTTTATTGTTCATGTTGATCGAGACAAATAGGTCGTTAGAAGCCTATTTTACCTAAAAATGTCAAAGGACGTTATCCAGCTTGGCTACGAAGAGGTAACACTAGATCAACAACAAGTGCAACAAGTTTACACATATTCAGAAATGATCATTCAGTATGTAAGAAGGACTCATCTGAAGTCGTCTGTAAAGTCGAAAGAAGCCTCCTGAAAACGGCAAGCATCCATACACTTTGAATTACCAAGGCCATGGCGATTAGGATAGAAAACCTAGTAATTTGCTCACAGAAGGAACTTTAATAACCATTCCTCCTACATTGAGTATAATGACAAGTTCGACTATTTTGTAATTAATACTGCCCTGTGCATTTTCGTATGGCATATATATTTATTCCTATCCACGTAGGAACACACTGATTGTAAAGGCACGGATAAGTATTATATAAATTACGTAAGTTTCGTTTATGGTGAATTTACATGGTTGCTGTACTGTTCTGGCTTCACTTTGTGGGAACAATCTGTTAACTAGTCATTCAATGGAGCACATTGAAAAAATATAGGGATATTGTCTTCGTACGTGTTGGATAGATAATAAATACATGGGGAAAATAAAGCTTGAAGTCGGTCCTCCCATATAACTCTGCTGTGTACGACACTGAATCTTATTCTTGACCTATATCCAAATTAAGTATTAGTTTACAATAATTAGTATATTTGTATAATTTCATCAGCAATTTTATTGTAGATAACACCAGAAGTGAAGTGTATCCCATGCAGGTGAACATCAGCCATAGATAGTCAGATTTGTTTTACTCCACTAAAGTCCGTCATTACCGCCAGTTGTAGCTGCATGGTGTTCTGTACGAGTAAGTTGATCAAGATGAAGTAAACTATTTGTAAACCAGTCGTATCTTAATTTTAGCTCATGGATACTGCTTGCATAGGATGTTATACAGCGTCCTAATATGGTAACACGGATCGAAACTTAATGTCTGTATACGTATATATGTATATATATGTTTATACTCACAGTTTGTTAATGTAATCAGTAGAATGAGACAGTCTGTACAGACAGCGTCTGAAACTTATAATCCAGGTGGAGGCTCTGATTTCTAGGGGCGAACTGATTCATGTTTTAGAATACATGACTGTGAAAAAGTTTTCTTAGAGCGGTGATTTAAACGCTTTTACTGTCAGTGTGCGAATTCGGTTACGCAGATCGTAAAAGTCTTGCGGTGGGAGTTGTATGTTCTTGCTGTCCGAGAATGATATTTTATGAAGGAACTTAGAGAAGAATACCAGGATAATAATAAGTCGTCTCGTTTAGAGTGGGTGAAGATTTAGAGTAATACCCCTCGAAACGTAGTCTTCCTTTCAATTTTACGCATGTGGTTTGGACGTGAAATATAGTTGGACATTTCCCGTGTTCATATTGTAACGCATGCGAGTGCAGCTAATAATAAATCGACAGTATCCTTATAGTGGCCTTGCACATGTTTTGTCTGGAATGAGCTTGGCTTCATTGTCGCGAAAGTTCCTGAGTATGCATCCTAAGAGCATCCTCGACTTTCAAGTTTGTGGTGCCACTTTCTCAGAAAATGTTAGGTCACTATACTACATCAGGCCTAAGTCAACGGCACTTTGAAGTTCGAAGCGTTAATTTTATGTCGGTTGAGAGTGTGCCGAAGCAGATCCAACCACATTTGTTCAGATTGAATTTTAGATTCCATAAAGATGACCAAGCAGTCACTTTATCTAATTTATTCTATACCACATTCTGAAAACACCCCCAGGTCATCACATTGGAATACACAAGTCACTTTTATGCCATCTGCAAAGACGTGTGGTTTCCCACGTAAGAAGCAAGAGCATATGTCGTTGATATAAATTTTCAATAGGAGGGGACTAATGGCGCTACTTCGGACTACACCAGAATTGGTTGGGCTAGGTTTGGAAGTCCCAGACCCAGGTCGAACTATTTGAAACCTGCTGTTGAGGAAGGAATTAAGCCATCCTTTAGTGGGTCACGTATTTCTGGGGAATTCAGCTTGTGTATCGGGGGCCAATGATAGACGCGGCAAAATAATTTAGAAATGTTGAGTTAGATGACAAGCGCTAGTTTCCATCTGTCACGACTACCGCTCACAAAATTAAAGAAATCAAGGCGACAGGTGATGATAGGGATTTCAGGAGTCCATGTTGGTTCGGACTTACAATGTTACAGTCAAGCACATGTTTGAGTATGTTATTTTCAACCAGTCTCCACATATTTTTAGATGCTATAGGTGTTATATTGATCGGTCTGTAGTTGATGACCTAGGTGTTTTGAACCTGTTATGTATGTGAATATGGAACCTTGTAGACTACGAGCGAATCTAATTTAATGCGCTGGCTAAACTGTCTTAATCGCACGTCAACAACAACAACAATACCGCCGGGCACGCAAGGCAAAGAAAGAAGACTGGACGTTGATACGAGAGCTTTTACTGTCTCTAACAAAAGTCGAAATGTTAAACAAAAACTCCGTATTTATACAGTTAGGAAAATCAATGTCACATTTTAAAATATTAACAAACCATGTGAATTCAGTAATTAAAATCAATAATCACGCAGATGCGGGAAATCAATGATTATGCAAATGTGGGAAATAAATAATGAATATTAATGAGTCACCTGTGTATATATCAGAACCGCATTTATGTTTAGGTAGAATAAATTCCGTTTTCCGCCTATCTGGGTAGGTTTGAGTTTCTAAGGACATTGTGGAGATTTTAAGCGTTAATATGGGAATTTCAGCACTGCCATATTTATAGAAATACGATTATATACCGTCAGTGCCAAAACCTTTAGTAACATCTTTTTTCAACTAACGCGTCAGTAGCGGTATTATGTAAATTTGTGATAACCAGAGTGCAACTCTCCGGAACTCAGAATTTTATCACATGCATACAACCACTAACTCAATTTCAACGCAAGCTGCATTAAAAGACGGATGGTTGGCCGAAAACTTACTGATCCACCAAGTATCAACCAATATAACAGGTTAATTACTCAGCAGTTTGATCATGTCATTCACAGTTGGTTAATATCAACAAACTAAAAAATTATATAAATAACGTCAGTATAATACACACTAATACTTCTGATAGCATCGTTTCGGTCTCCTGTCAACGAGCCACAACAGGGATCGTTGCCTGTAACGAACAGGAAATTGATTCGAATAAACAAGTTCATTGAACACACAACAAGAATGCATTCATCACGTGGAGCATAACCTTACCGTCTGACGACAACAACCGAAACATAGGTCACCGCTCTTACCAGTTACCAGATTAACTCTTCAACTCTGAAGTATTCTTGAGACTTTGCAGCACAACCCCAAATCGCCACAGCCATTCCTGCAGATGCGAGCATGATTTCCATGGCGATGTAGCCTGTCACTCTCTGCGCGACCTCTTGCTCACCGGTAATCATTGCCACTTCTTGTCACTCTGCCTAGGTCAGAATAATAGTGACGCATGCAAGGAAACCTCTAACTCCCCGGCGTAAGGGACCTCAGCCTTAGATGGGAACATCCTGACACCGCCAATGGCCGTGAAATAAAAAATCTTGCCCACATGTTTATTGAGTGCTTCTCCCTCTATATTATTCCCCTTTAATTAAGCCCTTTTTGGTATAAGCCTCCGAGGGGGATTGAATCGCAGCACCAAACAGTGAAAATTTATCAGAATTTATGAAATACGACAAAATACATAAAACACTGCGGTTGCTCGTTCAGTCCTGGCACTGTGAACATGTGTAGACCTTGCACATTCAGAGTTATATTTTTTTGCTTCAAGACAGATATCTCTGCCTTGTGTACACCTTCGACTTTCAATGACCCCAAATTCATGACATCGTGTCCTGGTTGACAACCACAAGAGAAATCTAAGCCATTCTGCAGAAATGACAGATTTGCGCCCATCTTTGGTGGAATCAGATTAGTCATGGTACCACAGATGTCCCACTTATTTTTCGTACTTCAATATTTTATCCTAATCGTTTCATTATGCCTACCTCTAAAATTCTCATTCTTCTATATTCGTTGCATATATCTGTTCCCACTGTCTTCTCTATCTCACCCAATCTTATCGTCCTAACTACACTTTGTTTGGTTTTCTTATTCTCGTTCCATTCCAACCCACTTAATAGCACCATCTCTAAAACGTTTTACAGCCTAGCCAAATTATTGCGCGGCGGAACGAAATCTGCAGGTCCCAGCGGCATAAACGCCCTGATACGAAGTGTAACCTATCTGCATGAAAAACTCATGTACCTTCTCTTGTTATCCACTAAAACACATGTGTGTGGTGATTTGGTAGCAGAATTATGGCCAGCTACACACGTGATCCGACGCCGTTCACCCCTCGATGCACTCCTAACCTTTCTAAGGTGGTAGTAAGCTCTTCGACGACAGAAAGTTGAGCTAAGGTTTTGCAACCATCTCCCCTGAAACAAAAAATATTAGTGCTACTGGGACTTCAAAGCCCAAAACTGATGACCTTTATTCCACTCGGTGGCACAGCGGTTAGGACTCTCCCCGACCATGCACATGTTCCCGAGTTCGACCCCCGTGTCGACGCACACCTGATATCTATGGTTGGCCTGCAAGATTTGGGCTACCAATATCACATGCTGAAAATTCCATAAAGGTACCAAAAATACTGTATGGTTTCAAGCTAAAATAAAAATTAAAAAAATTAAAAATGGAAAGATTGAAAAAAGGAACTCCTGTTGTTCTGTTCAGCAGGACTGTAGCTGTCGAAGGAATAGACTGTACTGGAGACGACAAAAAACCTAGGACAGTTCCGAAACATAGTTTATCCAAGTTCATTCTAAGGATATCAAACAATACATTAATCCGATAAGTTTTGAAGGTCTGGCGCTACAAACGAAATTCGACCTAGAAAGCCCAGGTAGGTGATCGAACTTGTCGAATCTGTAGGTCTTTTACGGATTCTGTCTGATTTAAGTAAAAGTAGACGTTAGAATAGTGGTGTTTACTCACCATAGAAAGTTAAAATTATTTAAGAATTAATGAAATTTAATTCAGTATTACAGTAGGCTTGGGCCAATGATATAATTCAAGGGGTAATTATCAGCTGGTCAGTAGTATCAACAATATGTTCTACGCTCTATTTCCTGTAATATGTAATTTCTGAATCTTTTCCGAAATGGATTCCTTAATGGCACTGACTAGAACTCATTGATGGTTTTCAGCATGACTGGCACTAATTCAGCACCGTGTTCTTTTTCTAGGCATTTTCAGGAATAAATCAAAACCTACTGGATTTGCTCATCATCGTAGTTCCAGAACTCACAGGATATATTACGCACGGACAAGCGTTAACAAAAAGACTTAATTCAGCAACCAGGTCTCTTTTTAAGCACGAGCAGAGGTAATTCAGAATATAGTGGGTAAATAAAATCTTCATTTGCCATAAAAAGGCATTATCAAAGAATAGGTTAAAATAGGTTTACAACTGTTGTGAGCTTTGGGGGTTAGACAGCATAACGATTGTCAGCCGCGCATGTGCTCCGAGGTTTCATCTTCGGCCTACTCACTCCTGAACGTCGCTAAGCCAATAAAGAGGGAATGCTAGACACTAGGCTAAATAACCACACCCTGTCAAAATAAAACCACTGCTACCGAAACTTCAAGTCTCTAGTTTGAAGCATTATGTTCCACTCGGGGAGGGGGAGGGTTAAAGAAAAAAAATGAGAGATATTATCTTTAGTAACAATTTTTGGGTCTTTTGGGGGGGGGGAATTTTAGGGCTTTGAGGGATTACCGATATGTCGGTGCAGTTTCCAGGATTTTTCACACAAAGATGTTCCAAGAATGGTCCAAAATAGTACACATGACTGAACACGAGTATATAATTGGGAGAGAAGGACGTTTCTTTCTAAACACTTAATGTTTATTGTCAGAAAATCTCCTACAAGCTCCGCCTTATCTGTATTGCTGAAGCTTTGGCCGTCGAAATTGAAAAGCCAGATCTCTGTAAACACAGAAAAAGTTCGTTCAAACCCTCCAATTTTCGTAGTCTATGCCTCTCCATGCTAAAATATGGTAATCCCTAATCGTATTTCGGCTCTACTTATTTTTTGTTTTGTTTATTCAATTTGCATACTCTTCTCTTATTGCTTCAATTGTTACTATTACTATTCTCACTTTGAACTGTCCCCGGTATTATTTTACTCGTTCCACTTGTCATTCTAAATCAATTTTCTTTGCCAAGTTAAATTCAATGCTATTAAATTTCACACATTGTCACGTCTTTATTTCATTATTATTTCCAAAATTGTGGTTACTTAACAAAAAATACTCTTTTCGATAACTTCATCATCAGGTTCTACAGTTGTACATACATAATAGTGAATACATTAGTGTTATTAACAGCAATAATATCTAAATAACATCGAATAAATGATAATAATTTCAGTGGATAACAGTTCGATAGCGTCAACATAACAATAAACTGAATATCAGAGAAATTCAGGAAAAATATTACAAGTTCTTGAATTTATAGTTTCTACTGAAGGCCAGGGCAGTAGCAGTAGCTGGACCTGCTTCTTTTGCACACAAAGCACTAGTTGCTTCACGCAGATTGCGATATCCTCTACTGTTTGGAGCATGAGGTACCTGGATGTTTCTGGAAATCTTTTTGACACCCGGTAGATGATGCAGAAGGATTGGTCAATGCTGACTTTGAGTCTGGTGTAGACCAGATGGTCTAATATCGAATTGTTGATGATTTCGACTAAGCCTTTGCTTAGCCATACTGGGAGATGTTCTCGAGCACGAAAAATCAACTTACTAGACCAACGGCCGATACAACTCGCTCCAAAGCGCAATTAAATTGGTAGATATAACCAAAAGTGGCTAGTCCAGGTACTTCATCTTTCAATCGAGGAATCACCATCGGCCGTGTAGGGAATAAGACGTGTAGTTGGTCAGCATTAAAAGTTCTTTGAATAGATTTTTTAAAATTTTTTTCCTTCACGTTCCCCAGTGGAACATAGGGCTTCAAGCTAGTGGCTTAAAGTTTCTGTAGCGGTGTTTATTTTACAGGGTGGGGTTGCTAGCCTCATGCTCAACCTTTACTCTTCACCAGCTTTATTTCTGGCTTAGCGAGGTAAAGGAGTGCGTTGGCCGGGGATCAAACTCAGGACCATGTGCATGGTTAGCGAGCGTCCTAACCGCTATGCCACCGACGCACTGATTTTCTTAACTTCTTCGTAATTATTTCTTTAGGTATATCGCCCTTGAACTACAGTCGTATGTATAAAGGCAGTCCTTTTCAACATTCTTTGTCATGTGTCTCTTGATAAATTTGTCAGGATAGCTATTTTCAATCAAGGTGTCTTACACAATGTTTAATTTATCTTCATTTACTTCTTCTGAGCATATAGCTCTAACCCTGTGGCTGAGGGTCTTTACTAAATTTCTTTTGCACCGGAGAGGAACGAAGCTGTGAATTTTATTTGCCTCCTGATCCTATAATTATACACCCCTTTCCAACATCTATACATCTTATGAATTATTCTGTATATGACATCAATATTTTGACATTTAACTATGATTGTAATCACAAATATTTTAATTGCATTTCACACTACTTCTATTATTTGATTTATTCACAGCTTTGACCTAATTCCCTCACCGGATATAATTTCTTTAAAAGAACTATATATACGATTGTACAGTTTGATAATGGATTCGTTGAAAAGTCTCTTCGTTGAAATACTTGTTTTGATTTTCTATATTATTTCTATTGCTAATTTGAACTCAATGATAAGCATTATTCAACATCCTAACACTTTTTTTGTTTTTAGAATAATGTCAACGAGCTTAAAGAGTATTTGTCGAAAAATTATCGCAGTCGGCAGAAACTATGCGTACATATACTAGCCATTCTTAACAAATCATCCCACAGGGAACATGCAAAGGAATTGGGGAATAAAGTTGGAAATTCACCAGTCATCTTTATGAAACCATCTAGTTGTATTATAGAAGAGGGTGAAAATATTAAGGTTTGTTTTCGCTATGCACGCAACAACAGTACCTTCAATCAATTTTTTTCCAACTTTTTTTGTTAAGGTGCCCAATGGAACAACGGAAGTTCATCATGAAGTTGAATTAGGCTTTGTTATTGGAAAGCGTTTAACAAATGTGAAGCCTAATGAGGTAAGATTTGGTTTCATATTTTGGATGTATAAATTTTGTACCATTAGTAATCTCCAAATTCTATGGTTTATTCTAGGTATCTTCCTCAGTGATGGGTTATGTGGTTGCTTTAGATCTAACCGATCGATTATTACAGAATGAGCTCAAGTCAAAGCAATTACCATGGACTCTAGCTAAATGTTTTGACACTGCTTGCCCTGTGGGTCCAATTCTTCCAATGACTTCACTACCGATCAACATCTTAAAATTACGTCAAGAATTTCAAACAGTGAACAATGAAATTTGGTTAAAAGTGAATCATTCTGAACGTCAACGATCAAAGCTGAATATGATGATATGGACACCGGCAGATTTGATATCAATGATCTCTCAGAGAATATCATTGGAATATGGAGATCTTGTACTGACTGGTACACCTGCAGGTGTTGGCCCCCTGAAAATTGGCGATGAAGTTGAAATTGGTTTAGACAATCTATGCTGTGTAAAATTTAAAGTTCAATAATTTTTGTAAATAGTAAACAAAAAATAGTGATTGCTTTTGTTAACTTTATAGCACTCCTTAGCTTATATATTTATAAAGCTTTGTGTTTAGACTATTGCTGCTCTTGTCTTTTTTGTTGTGTGTTGATGAATTAACTAAAAGCAGATGCTATTCCTGGAAGTTGTTCCTTTGACTATGCAGTGAACCTGTGGATCCTGTATTAGCGTCTCAATTAACTCTGCTGAACCGTATATTCGTGTGCTATACAGTCGGAAATAAACTTTCCTTGACTTCTTAACTTTTGACAGTTTTTGGTAGTTTGTCGATTTGTTGTCCTCTTAGGCTAATAGCCGTCCACTTATGAACGATACTTAAAATTAGGATGTCTCTAGCAAAATTGTATGCTCATAGTTGTACCAGTGTGTTCATGCAACTTCCTGACTTCGTTTATATACATGAATGAAAAGTTGATCAGGCATATGAGACATTATAAAGTTCAAGAGACATGCGTGAGGCAGAAAGGGAGATGAAGTGCTTTCGGAAACCATATAAGTGCTATCAATAAATAAATATGATACGATCGGAAATAAGACTAGAGTTGTTGGTGCATAAGGTGGGGAATAAGATGTGTTGTTAGTAAAATAATTAAATAACACGTTAGAGTGTGATAACGTGAATTGGAATCAAACAAATTTTAACATTATTTCTTATTCTTTGATTTGACTGGTGGTAATAATATCCTCCATACATATTGCTGGTATTTGCATTGAGTCACTTCTGTTGTGCATGTGTTGGGTGTAGATCATTCGATGAACCAGGATTCAGTAATCAATCTCTCTCTATCTCCACCTACCTATATTACTCTTTCGAATTTTAACTTTGTCCCACACACCCCATTGCGTGTGTGGTTGTGTGTTAATGCATGAAGTGCGATTGCTGAGCTTTTTTCTAAATTACTTGTCTTCGTGGGTGGGATCAGTCATTCTAACCTAAGTTAAATTCTTATGTTCTGATAATCTCACTACTCCGGATCTACTAGTTTGACTGACCTATGTAGTTGACTTAACTCACAGTGATTGCAAGGTATTTTGTAAGTTATATTATTTTGTTTAATTGGGTCAACCTACAGGATCCTTTAACCTACAGAACTTTTCTCTGAGTGAGTTTATAGGTTTGAATGCCACCCTTATTCCTGCTTTATTGAGAATCCTACGTGGGTAGGGTCTCAGATGTCCCCTTCTTATATGGTAGAACTGAAGATGCTTTATATTCTTTATGCTACGGTTATTAGTTTCGCTATTATTGACTTATGGATTAACAACACTCGTCTCATTTCCCATTTTGTTATATTTCATTGGTTACATTAATATTATTGCCGAATATACTTTATCTTCTTTTCTGTTTCACTCGTGTCTATTGAACTTTATATTAATTCATATGTCTAATCAATTTTCTACTCATGTATATAACCGAAGTCAGAAAGTTGTGTCTACAGATTATTATTATTATTATCATTATTAATTATGAAAAGCTAACAAAAAATTTACAAACCAAATATAGAGAGAGGGTGTGGTGGTGTGGAGTGACGGGGTTAATGTAGTGTAGTGTAATGTAGTGCACTGTGTGATGCATTCTACTACTAGTGAGTCAGGTAGGTATAAAATATATATGTATCTCGTCAGTGTCAAATGTTACGAAATGTCATGACAAAATTTCAGTTATATAATAATAGTCTTAAGAAAATCATCAGATGAGGTCGAAAATGTCTAACCGAAAAGAATTTATGAGGAGAAATAGTGTACATTTCAGACACAACAAAAAAATGTATCAGGCACTCACCATTATCAATGTATGTATGCACTACTACTACTATCTCTAGGTAGATTTCGTGTTTCGAAATTGGTTTACGCTGCAGCGTACCTAGAACAATATGACTGGACAGCTTGACGCTTCATGCAACCAATCCAAATCAGCTGTTATCTGTCATCCACAACAATTTTGTGTGAAAATAACTATATACGACGCAAATTTGTCCTGTTAAGTGGTACCTGTAGTTAAAAGTAGGTCCTTATTGTTCAACATTTAAATGGCTGAATGAATTGAGGTATTTGGCGTCTAGTTAGATGCTTTGTTGTGTGCAGCATAATCAGTAGCCACCTCTCACTTCACACAGACTATAATGCTGCATTCAGAGACGACCATCCGGCCAACAGAGTGAAGAGGAGAATATCAAATGCACTAAAAAGCACATTCTCTGCCGCTACAATACGACTCGTATTCTCATATAGCCCAGTGCTCTTCAACAAACCTAAACATAAACTATTACATTTGACCACTTCTGTGTATCTACCAATTTTATTGTTCATGTTGATCGAGACAAATAGGTCGTTAGAAGCCTATTTTACCTAAAAATGTCAAAGGACGTTATCCAGCTTGGCTACGAAGAGGTAACACTAGATCAACAACAAGTGCAACAAGTTTACACATATTCAGAAATGATCATTCAGTATGTAAGAAGGACTCATCTGAAGTCGTCTGCAAAGTCGAAAGAAGCCTCCTGAAAACGGCAAGCATCCATACACTTTGAATTACCAAGGCCATGGCGATTAGGATAGAAAACCTAGTAATTTGCTCACAGAAGGAACTTTAATAACCATTCCTCCTACATTGAGTATAATGACAAGTTCGACTATTTTGTAATTAATACTGCCCTGTGCATTTTCGTATGGCATATATATTTATTCCTATCCACGTAGGAACACACTGATTGTAAAGGCACGGATAAGTATTATATAAATTACGTAAGTTTCGTTTATGGTGAATTTACATGGTTGCTGTACTGTTCTGGCTTCACTTTGTGGGAACAATCTGTTAACTAGTCATTCAATGGAGCACATTGAAAAAATATAGGGATATTGTCTTCGTACGTGTTGGATAGATAATAAATACATGGGGAAAATAAAGCTTGAAGTCGGTCCTCCCATATAACTCTGCTGTGTACGACACTGAATCTTATTCTTGACCTATATCCAAATTAAGTATTAGTTTACAATAATTAGTATATTTGTATAATTTCATCAGCAATTTTATTGTAGATAACACCAGAAGTGAAGTGTATCCCATGCAGGTGAACATCAGCCATAGATAGTCAGATTTGTTTTACTCCACTAAAGTCCGTCATTACCGCCAGTTGTAGCTGCATGGTGTTCTGTACGAGTAAGTTGATCAAGATGAAGTAAACTATTTGTAAACCAGTCGTATCTTAATTTTAGCTCATGGATACTGCTTGCATAGGATGTTATACAGCGTCCTAATATGGTAACACGGATCGAAACTTAATGTCTGTATACGTATATATGTATATATATGTTTATACTCACAGTTTGTTAATGTAATCAGTAGAATGAGACAGTCTGTACAGACAGCGTCTGAAACTTATAATCCAGGTGGAGGCTCTGATTTCTAGGGGCGAACTGATTCATGTTTTAGAATACATGACTGTGAAAAAGTTTTCTTAGAGCGGTGATTTAAACGCTTTTACTGTCAGTGTGCGAATTCGGTTACGCAGATCGTAAAAGTCTTGCGGTGGGAGTTGTATGTTCTTGCTGTCCGAGAATGATATTTTATGAAGGAACTTAGAGAAGAATACCAGGATAATAATAAGTCGTCTCGTTTAGAGTGGGTGAAGATTTAGAGTAATACCCCTCGAAACGTAGTCTTCCTTTCAATTTTACGCATGTGGTTTGGACGTGAAATATAGTTGGACATTTCCCGTGTTCATATTGTAACGCATGCGAGTGCAGCTAATAATAAATCGACAGTATCCTTATAGTGGCCTTGCACATGTTTTGTCTGGAATGAGCTTGGCTTCATTGTCGCGAAAGTTCCTGAGTATGCATCCTAAGAGCATCCTCGACTTTCAAGTTTGTGGTGCCACTTTCTCAGAAAATGTTAGGTCACTATACTACATCAGGCCTAAGTCAACGGCACTTTGAAGTTCGAAGCGTTAATTTTATGTCGGTTGAGAGTGTGCCGAAGCAGATCCAACCACATTTGTTCAGATTGAATTTTAGATTCCATAAAGATGACCAAGCAGTCACTTTATCTAATTTATTCTATACCACATTCTGAAAACACCCCCAGGTCATCACATTGGAATACACAAGTCACTTTTATGCCATCTGCAAAGACGTGTGGTTTCCCACGTAAGAAGCAAGAGCATATGTCGTTGATATAAATTTTCAATAGGAGGGGACTAATGGCGCTACTTCGGACTACACCAGAATTGGTTGGGCTAGGTTTGGAAGTCCCAGACCCAGGTCGAACTATTTGAAACCTGCTGTTGAGGAAGGAATTAAGCCATCCTTTAGTGGGTCACGTATTTCTGGGGAATTCAGCTTGTGTATCGGGGGCCAATGATAGACGCGGCAAAATAATTTAGAAATGTTGAGTTAGATGACAAGCGCTAGTTTCCATCTGTCACGACTACCGCTCACAAAATTAAAGAAATCAAGGCGACAGGTGATGATAGGGATTTCAGGAGTCCATGTTGGTTCGGACTTACAATGTTACAGTCAAGCACATGTTTGAGTATGTTATTTTCAACCAGTCTCCACATATTTTTAGATGCTATAGGTGTTATATTGATCGGTCTGTAGTTGATGACCTAGGTGTTTTGAACCTGTTATGTATGTGAATATGGAACCTTGTAGACTACGAGCGAATCTAATTTAATGCGCTGGCTAAACTGTCTTAATCGCACGTCAACAACAACAACAATACCGCCGGGCACGCAAGGCAAAGAAAGAAGACTGGACGTTGATACGAGAGCTTTTACTGTCTCTAACAAAAGTCGAAATGTTAAACAAAAACTCCGTATTTATACAGTTAGGAAAATCAATGTCACATTTTAAAATATTAACAAACCATGTGAATTCAGTAATTAAAATCAATAATCACGCAGATGCGGGAAATCAATGATTATGCAAATGTGGGAAATA